GCTAAGAGCCAGCGCACTGCTTTGTCGCAATTCCTTCCTGCGCAGTTCACACGCTCACTGTAATCTCGACGCGAAGTACGTCGTCACGGCGCTTGCGTTTCAACAGTCGAACTGCAGCAAGTTATAGTCACCCATGCCCAAAGTAATGCGCTGTATATGACTGAACGAAGCCACGAGTGAGTCAGATTCACCTTTATACACCCCTTGCTCTGTCGTTGCTCTACGTTTTCTCATCGCATTAGGCGGCTTGAGAGTTCTGCACGCTGTTGTGGCCTGGGCCTCCTTCTAATATCGACCGACCGACTGCCCCGCCGTGGTTTTCGGTGATGGCAGGTCATATAGTCTTTTGTGACACCAATCAGGGTTCAAACTCAAGGTGGACAACACGTCGTGTTGGAGTCAGACTGAAAGTACCCATACCGGGAGGGTGTTTTCAAAGTTCTTTTCGACGGGAGATACCGTCTTGTCATCACTGTGACGGTCGTCTTCTTGGTCTTCAGTTGGGTCTTATAGTTGCGACGATGGGTGAATTCAGGATGGGACATGAAAGGAGAGGTCGAGCTGTCGTCTGACCCCTGTATTGCAGTCCCAACGAATGACCTCACAGTTATCCACCGTCCGGTTTTGCGGCGCGCAGGCAGTTGAGAGTTATGCAGTGGCAACCGGTCCGACCAGAAGGTGAAGTCAGATTGTATCTAAGGGAACAAGACAATGGTAGGCCAAAAGGTCAAACAGACTTATGCAACGAGACACGGTCAATAGTACGGCGCCTTCGGACGAAGCATGGATATGAGGAATGATTAGGAGGGATTGGATCCCAAGTGTGTTTGAAACGGGAGGCGCAAGAAACGGCGATGAGGTCGAAGTTGGAAAAGGTGTATGGCCATTTGGTTGTATATCACAAGTTCAGAAGAAGAAGAAGAAGAAAGAGGAGATGCGTCGGCCCGAGAGCCATTCTAATTTCGTTGACCCAAGGGTAAATAGATGCGCAGAGATGTCGCCTTACCTGGATGCGAGCGCCACACCGTTGTGCTGCGGCCCATGCGGTGCGCCCCGAGTCCTTGTAGGACAAAGGTGCGGGACCATTGGTTGCGAAGGAAGACTCCAGCCTAATCTCTGGAAGGGGGGCCGTAGATGAACGGGATGCCGGCCGCTGACTTGGTCAGGTTCCGGCGCCCGGAGCACACAGGGGCCCCCGGGCCGTGACGTAAGAAACAGTCCCGGGGGGCCGTGGGGGGGGGGGGGTCGAGTATGCCCAGTGATCTTGGCAGAGCCTGACAGAATGAGCATTTTGATCATGTTAATTTACAATCCTGTTAAGATTAATTGCCACAATCAAGATGGCAGTCAAGATGGCAGTCAAGATGGCAGCTGAGACGCTGTATGCGTGTATGACAATCATCTGAAACTAAACTGAAGGATCTACACTGAAAGACGCGCCACAAACCACAGAGACATAACAAATATCGGTCATCTTGCAGACCGACTCAGAGCATAATATGCCCAAAGAAAGACATAAGAACAATCTCAATCCATCGACGATGTTTTGCTTCATTCATCCTCCGGTCTCCTCCGCCACCCCCTCGGTATTTCTTTCTCTATCTTCTTCTCCGCTTTTTTCTCCGCCGCGTACCTCTCCGCCTTCGTCCCCGGCTCCACCAAATCTTGGGCTCAGGGGTCCTTCTCCGCCATTCGAGTCATCGTCGCTTGCCTCTGCCTCCGTATTGTCGTTCGGGTCCACCGAGGGTACGATAGCGAGGTGGCCGTGACGGAGGTCGTCAATGATAGCCTTGAGCTGAGCAACGGTTTGCTTGGGCGATGTCTCTGCACTATGATGCAGAGCCATTTCGTATCTACTCTTCGTTCCGGGCTTGATCCGCAATTTGACACCCAGTGCCTTCAAGCCCTGGGTAGACCATATCATCTTCTTCTGAGGTGTGAAATCGCCTGTCGATGATCCCGTGTCGGAACGGCGATGTATAGTCTCGAGAGCAGAGTCTGTAAAGGCGGAAATGATTAGCATGGAGTCGAGCCCGATCAGATGCAGACTACTTACTGAGTTGGGCGCGGAACAGAATGCCGTGCCATTTGCCAAGAACGCCGCGAGTAGCACTGTCCATCGAGCGAGTGTTTGCTGATAGATGAGACGAAAACATATGTCACATAATTGGTAACGGTAACGTGGTCTCATGCGCGCATAATCTGCGATGAAAAGCTCACCCTCTTTCAGATCTGTCGCTTCATTGGCCTTGAGTGTCTCATCCCAGCTCATCTTGGAAGCAAAATTAGACAACAAGGAATTGCCGGATGGATCCTTGAAGTCGTTGCAGTGAGCTGCAAATCTGAGCCCACCTATCGAATGCACGGTTGCCTTCGTCGCTGGCGATACGTCGTCTTGATAACGAGGGACAATGAAGGCCAGGGTTTCCACTCCGTACAGCTTGGACATGCGTTGCGCCAGGTCTCGCAATTCTGCAATGTACTTTTTGCATTGCTCCATCCGAGTTGGGGAAGGAATGTCGGATGGCGACCGTGTGATGATGGTGGGTGGTACTATCGAAGTGAAAGTCGTATTATTTCCTGCCTCTGCCGCTGCAAAAGCCGCGCGAACAAGCTCTTCATCGTCCTCGCCAAGTTGGGCAGATCCGAGGTCCCCCTGGTCTCTCAGGAAGTTCCAGAGTTGAGCGGCAAGTTTGGTGATGGATTGCGATTTCGAATGATCCGATTCTGAACACGTTTGACACACCCAGGGTATGTAAGAACAGATATTGCGGACGCAGCGGTAAGCATAAGCGAGAGCGTAGGAGAGTGGAGTGGGCATGACCGGAAGCGCCCGGAGGACCGACTCACCCTTGCTTGCTCGCTGGTGTAAAACCTTGACTACAGGGTCCGAGAGAAATCTAGACCACGCATTGCCCTTCGAAGCGAGGCTGTTGAACTTTTTGACGGCCTGAACGAGCCTTGCATGGGATATGCCGAGTTTCGCGGCCATCTTGAGCTCCGAGTAATATCTTCGAGCGGCCCAGTGCTTCAGCGAGGTCCACTTTCACTGACTCATACGACCGGTCGCGTTCCGATGCGAGCCATGTATGGCCGTCCAGAGCCTGATAGCTCTTCGATGGTCGATCGCGACATCTTCAAACTCGCTCTCACTCTCACTGTAACTGTCGCTGTCGTCAGCCGAGGAGTGACTGGAATCGCCCCAATTGGGCTCGTCAGAGTCGGAGTCGGACGAAGGGGTTTGGGGCACGGGCATGCGCCGCTTTCTCTTCCGAGTCGGGCGTGGAGACGGTTCATCCAGAGTTGTGCTGGCTTGTGAGGATGCTCGACCGCTTTGATCGTCCCTCCGACCTGCAAGAGGTGTGAGAGAACAGAGAATTCTTCAGCTGTCCGGCAGGATTGAGTAGATAGAAGGATGAGGTCGATGACCGGCACTCTGCTCTCAGCCCTGCTACAAGGGATCTTAGTTGGCACACCAGACAAGAGCACTCACTCGGATGAGCGCCAAAGGAAATGGACTCTGCTGGAGAACCTTGCCTAGATCCCACGCGTATGTCTGACGGTCGCGTCATGGTGGAGCAACACAATTAGGCCCATGAAGGGGGATGTGAGGCGGGGAAACGCGTCCACATACCTCCATTCGGCCATAGCATCGATGTTCGTTCAACAGGCGCAGGGAGGTTTCAACGTATTGAGATGCGGGGCGTGGCGTGGGTCAAGGGTGCGCGTTGTCGCGTTGACGTGAGTGTGCAGAGGTCAACGTGTTCACGCAGAGCGCTCGCCAATCTGAGCTCCGCGTGCGGCCGCACAGCCAGGCACAGCCCCGCCTCAATTTTGCCTGTTCAATTACTCTCTGGGAATTGATGCAGGACTGATTGCCGCTGGATCCAAGTCGACCGTCCGAAGGGGCTTCACTAGATATTCATTTTCTATACACAGTGCACACCGTTCAGAATAAGCGTTTGTCTGCTCGAGGACCGATCCAGGATTCCAGGGACCAGCACCGATCCCTCCCTCGGGCCCAATCATAGACACGGTGTGTACTCCCTCGGTCGTATCCAAACTAAGATTAAAACAGGACGAAAAGGTCTACACAGAATCTGTCGTACACATATCAGTTGATGGTATATGGAACTACACGAATTGAATGGACTGAGTACGACAAGCTGTATGACATTTATGACATAATTCGAACTTACAAGTCTTCGGAAAGTGTTATTCGTGATGATGGTGAGTCTTACACGAACTAGTAGCCCTTTATTACTTATGACCATTTGGGGTGCACTGAGCCGGGGTGGGACGGGGTGGGGAGGGCATTGGTGCACCCAACCTGTACCAACCTCCAACCGGGCCAAAAAACAGAAAAGCTGCCTTAACTCGCCCGCGCGGGGGAGCTCATTTGGCTGGGTTAACTGACCTGCCGATCTGCCGCCAGCCGCCTCCAGCCGCCGCCGACCTAAAACAGACCAAGACGAGATAGTCCGCGAGACTGCGAGTTAAAAATTTCGGAGCAGCACAACACTTTTGGTATGCTCCTTCGAGAACGAAGCATACTCTTTACTCCTGTCATTGAAGTTGATTGGGAAAGCACTTGCTTTGCGCCCATATGAGATTGCCAGCTGAAGTACGGGCAAGGTCACGGGACGTAGTACTAGACGTTCGGACGGTGGAAAAGGCCGGGATGGACGTGGCGACCAAATGCAATCGCTTGTGCTCGATGTTAGCCAAAGGGGTCGTACTCGAAGCTTGCCTCCATTACGAGATGATTACCAAAAAAACTGCTCTTTGCGGCTAGAGCTGAATCACGGTCGAGGTTCAATTGACGATCAAACATTGTCGCCCGACTACTAGTAGCCATCCTCCGGTGGTCCCGATGAGCCGAAACGCCAATGAAGAGGACGAAGGGGGAAACCACAATTTACACACACAGGAGCACATACAGTACACAACGTAACAAGGTGTCATTCAAGGCGAGGCTAGTGATTGAACGCGAGGCGAGATCATCGCTTGCTACGAGATCGGCCGAGCCCCGTTCGCTTCTTCTCCCCTCGGGCCGGGAACACGGTCTTGGGTGTCGGTCGAACCTAAAAGTTGACGAGGGCACAAGATCAGATAACGGGTCAGGTCATAGGAATAGACCAAAACCACTTGTACTTACCATAAAGTTCTTCTCGGTCCTGAACACCTCTCTGCGGGTCATCCTCGGACCCGAAGTCGAAATCTTTTGCTTGGGAGCGGGCTCGCTTGTCTCGGCTTGCTCACCATCGACGGCCATCTCGTCTGTAAGGTCAGAATCGAGACCAGTACGGCGATCGGTACTAGAGCTCCTGGGTACGTCCTCGTTTCAAAGAATTCCCGAACTGACCAACAACCTTATCCTCAGTTTTGGCATCCTTCGGTGCAGCTTGCTCGCCCTCGCCCTCCTCCTCAGTTTCATACCCATCCTGTTTCCTCTCCCATTCCTCCTTGTCAGTCCTTTCCCGAGGCTTCAGAGCCGAAGCCTTGAGTTTGGCCGAGAGCCTCTGCAGGCGCAGGTCGTCGGCTTGTTTGAAGACCGAGCTGAGTGGGAATGAGCCAGTGGAGGTCAGGTTATGGATCTTGCGGGAAGTGCTGGGTACAGAGTCATTGCGGGATCGTACTTGGGGTCCGTTCGCTTGATCGCTCGGAACGCTCGCTTGGATTTAGACTTGAGTGATTTGGCCTGTAGGATGGTGGTAAGATTCGAAGAGGCAGCGAGGTTGGATGAGGCAGCGAGCAGTGAAGCGGGAGTGGCGGAGGGGTCAGTTGGGACTATCGCTGAGCGGAAACATTCATCCGGAGCTGGTGGAAGGGCTGTAGACTGACCATGGTGGTGGATGTGGAAAGAGGACCCAAATGTGCTGAACGAGAACCAGAGGCAGAGCCAATCTTCGCCGGCGATCGTGTCGGTCGAAGACACGCGGCTGCGCGCTGCGCTGCTCTGCGCTTGCTTCGCACGGCCAAAGCCTTGGCTGAGTTGGCGCGCCCAAATTGATCGAAGGCTGCGAAGCTCGAAACGGCCGTGACTGAGCTCCGCGCGGGTCGTGCAGTAACAGCTCTCTCCCACACACCCCACCTCAGCCACCGCTCACCGACTTCCTTGACCCAAGCGATCTCCACAGCAAAGCATCTTCACCACATCATGTCGTCCAAGTCGACGCAAAAGAAAATGCTCGCGCAGGGATTGCAACGACGTGCCCTCGCCGCCGCGAAAGTGAACGGGGACAAGTCCCAATCGACCACCTCGCAACAGGGCGCGGGTCCAAAGGTTCCGGAGCCGGTCATGAGTGATGAAGAGGACAGTGAAAGTGATGAGGATGATGAGGATGCCGAGGACGAGGCGGGTGCAGCTCTGGCTTTCGATTCGGAGGATGACGAAGACGAGAGCGACGACGAGGATGATGATGAGGATAGTGAGGAGGAAAAAGATGATATCACCGAGGAAGGGTGGAACAAGATGATGGAACTCTTGGGTGATGTCGACCCGGCTGAACTGGGTTTGGATGTCGAAGGAGACGAGGACGATCAGGAGGAAGAGGGAGACGAGTTCATCGAGGGGGAGGAAGATGACGAAGACGAGGACGAGGACGACGAAGAGGACGAGGAAGACAGTGACGAGGGCGAGGAAAAGCTCTACGAAGACCTCGATGACGAAGAGGTCGGCGATGATGCCGATCTCGTCCCTGTCGAGCGCGAAACACTCAGGAACGATGTGAGCCTGCTCTCCTATCCCTGGCCGATCCGTGCTTTCGTTGGCTCATCCGTATCTGCTCGCTTCTTCTCAGGCCGCACTCGAGCGTATTCTGGCCACCATTAAGCTGCCGACGACCTTCTTTGACACTTTGGCCCTTGCGAACCCGAATTCATCTGCCGAGATCGACGCTGACAACGATCTCGAACGGGAGCTGGCCTTGTGAGTTTCGGTTCTACGAGTCTATCACTCGCGGATTACATCCGTTCGCTCATCCTTGTCCCATTCTCCCATTCAAATCGCAGCTACAAGCAAGCTCTTTGGGCCGCCCAGGAAGCCGAGAAGTGCTTCAACAAAGCTTCGCTTCCCTTTTTCCGCCCCGCGGACTACTTTGCCGAGATGATCAAGACGGACGCACACATGGCGAACCTGCGTCAAAAGCTGCTCGACGAACAAGCGGGCATGAAGGCGTCCGAAGATGCGCGCAAGTTACGTGATGCCAAGAAGTTTGGCAAGAAGGTGCAAGTCGAGAGGCTCAAGGAGAGGGAGAAGGAGAAGAAGGAGGTCGGCAAGCGATTGGACAGCCTCAAGAAGAGTCAGCTATTTTGCTCTCGGTTTTCGGAATGGCAAAAAAATGTTGACTCTGATCCGTTTGATACTCTACAGGGCGCAAGGGTGGGGAAGGCTTCGCTTCGACCGAGGACTTCGACATCGCCCTCGAAGACGCCATCGCCGGCCCGTCCAAAAAGCGCAAGGTCGTGGAGTCCGAACGAGGTGGGCGTGGTGGCCGAGGAGGCAAGATCTCGCGACGAGGCCGCGACAACAAGTTCGGGAACCCGACTAGCTCGCGACGACCCAAGGAGAACAACTTCAAAGCTGATGGCGATGGAGGCGAGAGGGGGCCGAGGGGTGGGCGAGGAGGCCGAGGTGGAGGACGTGGTGGACGTGGTGGGGGTCGAGGTGGGGCTAGCAGGGGCGGTGCAAAGAGGTTGGGCAAGAGTAGGAGATCGTAGTCGTTGCGTCTTAGTTGCCCTGTTATGCAATCTCTTTATCGCTGTATGTCACTGTCGATCGTGTGCGCCAGACTCATCTTTAGTCACCTCAAATCATCTTGCTCAGCTGTGGTCCATGAGAGCTGAGTGTAGCTAGACTATGTCTCGTTGCGGCGGTGCAAGGGTATGTGACTCGTGTGTAATGATCATAGAGAAATAAAGGGGAATGTACTGTCTTGCTTGTGCATACGGAGTTGTCGGTGAGACCCCTGACTGGCCTGACCTGTAAGGTATGCGCCTCTGATATGCATAATACCAACCTGTCGCACTTGATCATCATCCTGGGCTTGTCTCCGAGTCGCGAAAGCGCCGGCGGTGCTGAGTGTATACACTAAAGGGCCGGGGATGCCTCACATATACAGAAGAGCCCTATGATCAGCCTCCGAGTAGAGGGATATTTTGAGTTCTAACTACGACCCACTAGGCTAGCCGTCAAGAACGGCGCATGTATCCTGGCATATACTAGTAGAGGCGCTTATCTTACATGACCCCTGACTTGGCAGTGACTTGAGACGGGTACCCGTGCCACAGGCTGGTGAGACACGCTTGATTCAGGTCGCGCGCGCGCGATGGCCAGCGAATCCCAACGACGCGACGGCACTGCGCGACAGTGCGCGACACGCCTTTTTATAAGTTAGGCGCGTCCGCCTTGCAGCTGGCGCTCCTCTGCCTGCGACTCTCCTGTGCCGCCACTCCCTTCTTGTCGGCTGAGCAGGTTTCAGGTACAAGGCGTGCGTCGTATCGCGGTCGGAGTAGCTCAGCCTAACCTAGCGTCGTTCAAGAGAGGCCGCTGGACGTGCCAGTGACGTGCCCCGATCGCCTGCTCGCCGTTGCCTCGCGCCGCGCGCCGCTCGTCCCTTGACTTTGACCCGTCGTCGCCGCCGTCGCTATCGCCGTCGCCCCGCCCGTTCGTCGTCCACTGGCCCGCCGTCAAGCTCAGCTCAGTGGGCTCGACTGGCTGCACGCTTGCCGGGCTCGTTCGCTGGTCGACGAGTTACTGCACATCATACGCTCGCAGCATCAACATATCCTTTCCAACGTCGCTGTCGTCGTTCGAGCCGCCTTTGTCCTACTCTGCGACACCGATCACCGGTCTATAGGCAGTGTGAGTCACCACGTCCCAGATGGCGGAACACGACGTAGAGCTCATGCCTCTTTCACTCCCTTCGCTGCAGAAACCGTCATGGACGTGTACCAAATGCAGCAGCAAATGCAGCGACTGCAGCTACATCAGCAACAGCAGCAGCAGCGCGTTCGGCATCGGTCGGCCCCTGGCTCAGCACGCGCAGGGACCTTCTCTGCAGCCAGTGGTGTCCCCTCTTCGGCCCGTTCACCACGCATGTCGGATGTCCACGTCTTCCACAACCAAATGAACATGATGCCACCGCGTTTACCACAGCAACATGTCCCCATCCCCTATACCCCCGAGTCGCGGTACCTCGCCCAGTTGCAAGCCCAACTGCAGCAACAAAGCCAGCTCTTGCTCCTGAACCAGCACGCCCTCGCCACGCAGCGTCGCGAGGCTGAAGCCGCGTTCCAAGCCATGGCCCTTGGTCAGCTCGCCCAACACCCCAACAACTTTGGTCCTGGCGCCACGCAAGTACAGACGTTCCAGCCGACGCGACCGAGGACGCCTCAGCTCAACGGCTTTGGCATCGTCAGCCCGAAAGAAGCCGTTGCACTTGAACGGGTCCCGTCCGCCAGGTCCGACACCACCGGTCCTTCGGCGATCGACGAGATGAACGCAATGAGCAACCCTCTCGTCGCCTCGGCGCTCGCTCGACGCAAGCGGCAAAGCGTCAACCTTGAAACAGCAGCCTCATCGGGGCAAACCTCTCGCGTCGCGGCACCACCTTCATCGACGACCGAAGCCGACCCCTCGATCTCGCCCTCGACCGGTTCGAGCTCGACGTGGGAGCGACATGGCCGATCGTCTTCGATGAACTCCTCGTCAACGGCTTCTTCTCTGATTCGGACCCCACCGATGCCTAGCGACCCGCCTGCGTTTATCCTCAGTCGACCGGGAGAACCGTTCCCCGATACCTCGGGCTCGGAAGGTGAGAGCAGTCGCGCGGGGAGCCCGACTACGGCCGAGATGCCTTTCAAACGACGCCCCTCCATCAAAGCTCGACTCGAACAGGTACCCACTCTTCCGGGGGAGGGACCGAATACGTTGTCCGACCCCGAGGTCTTTGAGCTCGTCCTCGACAGACCCGGCTCAGGCGGAGTGGGCGCGTCGCCACCCCGGGCATCCCATCTCAGCAAACTCGAGTCGGTTCTCAAGGGCCGTCGTCAACGCGTCACCTCGACACCTCCTACCTCGACCGTCGAATTACAAGACGCTTCGGTCCAGGTCGTGAGCTTCGCCCCGAGTCTTTCCCCCTTTGCCGCGGCTTTCGTTCCCCCTTCGCCCGTCTCGTACACACCCTCGTCGCCCTTCTTCAACAGCTCATCGCCGCAAGTGCCATCGTCACCTTTCTCGGGGGGATACCGATCGAATCGTCCCGCTGCCGTTCCTGGGACGGCTTCGGCAAGTCGACAACCACGTGGACCCCCGAGTGATCTCAATGGCAACTTTGCGACGAGAATGAGGCGCAAGGCCGTCCGGGCCCTGTTGCAGGGGAGGGTCGATCGAGTCGCCGCGGGTCAAGATGAACTCGTGCCAGCAGTCTAAACACCGTGCCCAATCTCAAGCCTACTCTGTCAAGACCCGATTTTTGTGTGCATGCGTTCCTCTTCCCCTTTCTTTCTGTTTAGTACGTTGTCACAAGTCCTTGAGCCCCACGCTCTCTCTGTCTCCGCCCACCATCCCTCGTCGCATAGCTCGCTGCAGTAGCCCCACCCCACCTTCCCACCAATAACCATGTGATCACTCTTTTTATGTCCCTGTTCAGGCTTTGTTCGTCAAGCCACGAACGCTCCTGCAAATGCATTACCTCCGCAAGTAACCCGAGAGCAATGTCATGACATGATGAGCCTTGCGGGCAACAAAGTCTCCATTGGTCAAGCCACCCCTTTCCCACCTTCGCACCAATCGACTCTAACTAACCCACACATCGTCCCACTCGCCAACAAAGCACACCGATCCAAAGCTGGATGCCAAGCGACCCTAGCAATCCCTACTTCAGGCGACCATGACGCCGTCGACATCGATCCTCGGAACATAATCTTCCCCTTTGAATCGGCCGTCGGTCGAGCTTCGGGTAACATGTTGTCGATCATGCGATACTCGCCCAATTTACGGTGGAAGTCCAGGCGGTAGATTTTTTGGGCGTAATTGCCCTGTCGTTTTGGAAGCGGTAGAGAGGAAAACGGAGACTTTAGGAGGTTAGTCTTTTGAGGGCTTTAGATGAGAGAGCCAATTGGAGACTGAACTGACTTTGACGACTCGATCACGGTTGGGTCGGATCGTGTTGGCAATGATTAAACAACCATCGGCACTAGCTGAGGCTGCGAAAGGGTGATGTGGAGAGGAGGCGATTGACTGATATAAACGACCAGCAGAAGAGTAGTTAGCCAGGCTGGATCGCCAATGCCTTATCCAGGCAAACGAGCGCGTAAATTATCCTCACCCAGATTGGGCCAGTATGGGCCGAGAGCCACACCCTTGCCGCCGACTTGTTGGGCTTGAGCACCGAACCACGCACGCGGGCTTCAGGATCATCGCTGAGCAACAAACCTGATTGCGAACAGTAGGCGAGCGCGATTCCCGTGCCTGTGGTCGCCGTGGGAAGCCAACGAAGTCAGTTCTTTTCTCGGCCGAGGCAAAATACTTCAACATCCCACCGACTCCGACTCACTTCGCTCGTGATGCATTAGAGAGACCGAGGACAGATCGCGTAGATCGGTCTTGAAGACGCTTCCATCGTACCCCGTCGTGGCGATGATCGTCGGCTCGCCGTCGAGATCCAACGTACCATCGAGTGCGGTGGAAAGCGGGGGCACTCGGATGACGGCAATTGATCGGATAATGGCAAAGTGGACGTTGAAGTAATGAGTCGGCCGCGCCGCTGTGACAGCGAGGAAGATCATTAGCTGGACACTCACAGCGTCAACGCTCAACTTGCTCAACTTGGCTCGCACTCACTTTGGATTTTGCCACCAGATCGCAGCGCATCACCGACGGACCACACGGCAACCCAGCCATTGTTGCACCCGGCGACAATAGTCTCGTAGCTTGCCCAGTCAAAGCAAGTGCACTTCGTATCGGGCAGTTCCATCCTCAGTGTCGGCTTGGCTGCCACTGCGTACAAGGAAAACACGGTTAGTACGAGCGTTACGGATGGGTCGATGAGTTTGAGGACTCACAGTAGAGTGTATCGTCATTCATAATCTTGTGTTGTTTTCTCGCCTCGACTGGATTAGGCACAGTGAACACGGCCACACTTCCGTCTTCGAAAACACCGCCGAGCAAACCCAGGCTCTCTTCGGTCTCATCGTGATCCATCAGCTTCGTTCGATCGCCTCCCCGAGGGCACCACTTGAGTTCCCATGCATCCCCTTGATCGACGCAAAGTGCCATCTCAAACTTCATTTGAGCCTCGGCTGACGATGAGGTAACCAGCGAAATATCGCTGGGATCGGACGTATCAAGAGACCAGATTTGAATCATCGTCGGACCGGGCACTTTGGTCATCTTCAGTGTCGCTTCGGCCGAGCAGAAGCACGAGACGGCAAGGTATTCTGTTGGAAGACCTTTTGATGAGTTGGCTGCATCATGCCCTGTTTCGCTCGACCGACCAACCTGTGCATGGGGCGGGGTCGGGGCGTGGACACCAAACAAGGCCCGAGACTGGGCCCCCAGCGTTCAACATGTGGCCAGGTTTGTTTGGAAGGTATTCGTCTGTTGTTAGATATCAATCAATGAGAGCCATCAGCGGTGTCACACCTTTCTTGGCGCGTCCACGTCCTAGTCGCAGCCCGACGTACCCAGCCGATGCGTTTCGAAGCGCTTCAAGTGGACAAGCTGCTGCTCATTCTCGTCAAACAAAGGTCCAGCCCAGATCTTGATTCCTTCTTCTAGCTCATGATCATCTCCAGCCTCCCCTTCATCCTCATCGACTGGCATCGCAGCTGAATTTGCTTCGCTATGGTGGTCGACCTCGGCAGCCAGTTCTTCGCCGAGGTAGACTTTGGTCGGTCGGGAGGGATAGACGAGAGTAGGAAGGTATGCAGTGCACTCTCTGTGAGAAGTCAATGCGGACGATTGGTGAGCAAGCCACCCTCCGGCTGTAGACGTGTTCAGGCCTTACTCCGCGGAAAGGACCGAAGTGGAGGGTTTAGAGTCGTACCAGCCGCCCCACTTGGGCGACATGCCCGTTGCGGTCCACTTGCCCTTCTCCCATGCATTATCACGGAGCAATGATTTGTGAATGCCGAAAGGGTGCATCGCCCACGCCTCCATGAACTTGGACTGTGCCTCATCATCGATCGTCTCGGTCGTTTCTCCCTCATCACGAATCGTCCAAGGCGAACTGTCGGTGCCTTCGTCAAGTGCTCGATACGGTGGTTCGTAACTCGCACCGATAGTGATCCAATTCGGGTCCAACAATCTCCTTTGCTTCTGCCTCGGTGGCTGAGCTCGTCTTGAGTGGACGTGGTCGGTACGGGTTTTGGTGTGTTTGCCCGAAGATCTCCTCCTTGCGGCTGTCGGTTTCAGCACCTTGCGATGCATCTTGACTGCCGGTCCTGCATTGGCATCGCGATCGGTCGACCCAGCATCCGATCTTTCAGGTTCAGAGCCTGCATCGTCGTCGTCGGATGCTTCGAGCAGTTCATCCACCTCGTCGTCATCGTCAGCGGCCTCCTCCTCCGCTGCGTCCGAGCTCCCAAACACCGATCCACTGTCTTCGTCCGACGAAGCTGCACGTCCTTTTCCCTTCCTTTTGGACTTCGCCTCGCTCTTGCCTGCCTTCTTGGCAGAGCTCTTGCCCTTGCTGGTGCTCGCACTCGGCTTGCGATCCGACGCGTCGTGACCCCCACTTGACCCCTCGCCCTCTTCGTCGCTGTCTGAATCTCCAGACGACGATGATGACGAACCTGAAGTTGATGCAGGTGCGAAAAGGTTGATATATGAGACGGTGCGAGCTGTGGATCGACGAGGGCGGGCTGTGATCGCCATCGCGACGCTGACGGTCTCGGTGCTGGTGACAGCCGGTGACGTGCGCTGCTGCCGAGCGCAAGCCAGTCGCTTCCGGGAGCAATCTGGAGCGATCGAGCAGTTCGCCTTTTGACTTGTCCGAAGGATAATCTGGTTGTCCGTGCTACCTATAGCAACAAATAACATTTTTCTCGTTCAAACCTTTGTTTTCCACATCAAGTTGGACCCAGCGATGACGATGACATGTTCATGACACAGGGGCCCGTGCCTCGTCGGCGCCGGCGCGTCCCGATTTGAAATTCTGCGGAATGTTGGAATGTCGACGCGCGCCAAATCCGAGGCCTTCGCGGAAGGAGCCTGTTGATCACTTTGACTTTGAAAAGCCCGGCGTCCATAGGGCTCCGGGGAGAAGGCTCTTTGTCGTGGACTTTTCCAATGGCATTTCCTCTTTCTTAGCGTCGACTTTGGTCAAATGATCTAGATCCACGGAAGTCGAAATTGCTCCGCCGGAGGCTCGACCACACCCGTCCCGTCACGCTTGCCAGTTCTCCCAGACTCCCTCTTCAGACGGACAATCCCAGTCTGAGTGGCTTTAGAGTGCAGCAGATTCTCGTTGAACGAAATCGCTTTCTTCAGTCCACTGCATCCACGAACTCGACTGTTTTTGCGACCCAACGTCGTGTTGTCGGACGCGATGATTTCGCTCAACTTGCTCGCAGCTGTTCTCTCGCTCGCGTCGGCCATTGTATCGACCTCTGGGGCCGCAGAAACAAGAAGAGCCCTTCCAGGCCGTTTCATCATCTCTGTTGGTGGCTCGAGCAATACCCTCAACGAACGTGCCGATGTGGTCAGTTTTCCCATGGTACCAGTCTTAGTCTGCGCCAACCACCCTCAGCGCGCAGACCTCGGCGCATCTCGTCGAAACCCTGCGTACAACCGTTTTGGTGAAGACGATTCAAATCACGAGCTGACCACCATTCTTGTCAAATGACAACGTGTCTTTTGCAATCCACAGACCGTATCGAGCGTTCTTGACCGGATCAGTGCGCGAGGCATCGATGTGACGACGCAGCGGACGTTCCTTTCCCCAGGAATTTTCACCGGGGCCAGTATCTCTGTTCCGTTCGGGACGACGGAGGCGGATCTGATGACCATCCCTGGTGTGACGGTGAGCCGACAGAGGCTACGGATGGAACTCATTTGCTCGATGTTGCTGATCTCTGTTCGTAATGTTCGCGATCCGCCAGGACGTATGGCCTGTCCGGAGCATCCCCCACCCCGACAACGACGTCCAGACGATCGGTACCTCCTTTTCCGCCTCGGACTCCGATTCCACCAATGCGTCAGTGATCTCGCGACGGGACCTCTTGCCCCGCAGCGATAACGAGTACAAGAACGATCAGTTTGCGCCTCACCGCATGACGGGCGTTGACAAGATGCACGCCAAGGGATTCCTCGGTGCTGGCATGAGGGTCGCCATTATTGACACCGGTGTGGATTACAAGCATCCCGTGCTGGGCGGGTGCTTTGGAAAAGGTTGCAAGATTGCTTTCGGGTATGCTTACTACGATGATAAGAGCAACACGCCGAAGAGCGGCCCGGACCCGTACACGAGCTGCTCCATTCATGGTACTCACAGTCAGTCTTCATCACCAAGCCATGGTCGCACCTGATGAGCATCCGACTCAAATCGTTTGAGGCTTTCGTATTCGCAGTCACCGGTATCATTGGTGCCAACGCGAACAAGTACGGATTCTCAGGTGTCGTCCCCAAGGCCACTCTTGGCATGTACCGCGTCTTCAGTTGCTCGGCCGAGACGACCGACGACATCCTCATCGACGCCTTGCTCCGAGCCGCCAAGGACAAAGCCGACGTGATCAGCATGAGCATCGCGAACCTCGCCAGCTGGCTCGACGCCACGCACATCCAAGCGGTTGTAGAGAGCCTCAATAAGCAGGGGATTTACACAGTCTTCTCGATTGGAGCTCATCAAGCTGAAGGCATGTTCTTCGCCTCGGCGCCTGCGGCCACCCGCTCCGGGGTCGCGGTCGCGTCGGTGCAATCCATCGCTTTGCCGGGTTACGACATGATTTTCAAGTCGGGAGGCTATCCGCCCCTTCCCTACCTCTCGGCGACGCCTCTGGATACGAAAGAGACGCTCTCGGTCTACTTTACTTCGGACAAGGCCGATACCGGCAATGACGCCTGTGACCCCTTGCCTTCGTCCACACCTAATCTCCGCAACCGACTGGTTGTCATCCAGCGAAGTGATTGCTACTCCGGTCAACAGATCGATAATGCCAAGGCCAAGGGTGCCCGATTCGTCGTCCTCTACAACCAACGCTTCGGCGACAAGCCTCTTGCCAGGGCCTACGTCCAAGGCTCGATTCCGACGGTGAACATGCGTCGAGAGGACGGCATCAAGCTGCTCAAATACTACAATGCGCAAAAGAAGCAGGGGCCCAAAGTCGCGTTCTCCGCGAACAGCAAACCCAATTTCAACATCCTCGATACCGAAACCGGAGGTCAGATCAGTTACTTCAGCACCTTTGGGCCGACGAACGACTTGTTCGGCCAACCCAGTTTCGCTGCCCCGGGAAACAATATCATCAGTACGATTCCGCTTTCCTTGGGAGGGTACGCCGTCTTGGGCGGCACCGATATGGCCGCTCCTTTCGCCGCGGGCTCGGCTGCATTGATTCTTGCCGCTCGCAAATCCGAGAAGTTCGGGCCGATCGAGCTGCGCCAACTCTTCTCGTCGACGGCTAAACAAGTGCCCGTCAAGCGTCTCACAACGAGCCCTTTAGAGACAACGATGCTTCAAGGTGCAGGACTGATCCAAGTCGATCGAGCGTACGGCGCCAAGTCGTTCGTCTCGCCGAACCAGTTGTACCTCAACGACACGGAACATTTCGCAGGGACACAGATCATCAAGATTACGAACAAGAATTCCAAGGCCGTCACGTACCGTTATTCTGACCTGGGAGCTCAGACTCGAGCGACGTACGACAAATCGGGGGCGTACAACCCCTCGCTCAAACCTCCTGTGTTGTCCCGCTCTGCGTCAGCCTCATTCCGCCCCGGTCGCATCACGGTGCAAGCTGGCAAGACTTCTACTTTCCAAATTAAATTCACACGCCCTCAAATTTCGTCCGGTCAAGTCGCCCTCTTCCCTCTCTACAGCGGCTTCATCGAGATCCAAGCCGACGACCAGCACAAGCAGACGTTCCATGTCCCTTACTTTGGTATGGCCAACAACATGAGAGACATGCGCATCCTTGATCAGACGACGACGTATGCGCAGGTGTACAAGGATGGTCTGAGGTTCCCTTTCGTTTCGGATGTGAAAAGGACTAGTGCATCGATCCAAACGAGCGCTACGGCGGTCAAGAGTTACAACACGAGCTCGGGCGTTCAATTGACCTTCCGCTTGTCTCGTGAGTGGTCCTCACATCGATCATTTGTGACGAAGAGATTTCTGACCAACTTCTCTTGGCCTTGACCCCGGTGCACAGAGGCGACCCGTGCTTATAACGTGGATCTCGTCTTCGCCAACACGACGTTCAAGCCCACAATCTCGCCCGGAGACAATGCAGGACTGAAACGCCGCTCCGAAGAGGACGACATCCCCACTCTCGAGAACTTCGAATCCACCGATCTCGCCGATCTGAGCCCCTCCATCCTCATGTCCCGCGCAGCGCAAACCTACGCCTCCGTGTCGACCCTAGGCCACATCCAAGGTCTCATCAACCAAGCGAGGAATTACGCCGTCGATGGCTTCACATCTAGTCGTTTCACGGCTGTGCATGTTGATTTCAAGGGGTCCTACGAGACGGCTAAGAAGGGGGTCAATGCCTCGGTTGTGGTTGGGACGCCGTATCGGTTCTTGCTGCGGTCAGTCATCTCGCTCTTTGATATTGTCATGCTTCCGTCACCAACTGAAAAAACATGGGTCGCTCCACAGTGCCGCACGAACAACCGCCGATTCGAAGCTCGATTCTAGTTGGGAGAGTTGGCTCAGCCCACCTTTCAAATTCGATGCCTGATCTTGTGTCGCTCGATCGGCTTTTGTCATATTCATATGTATTCGGTTCTGGTTCATTTTGATACCTTCATCCGTATATACTTCTTACTTCCACCGAGCGTCATGGCTTGCTTGCATTACGAATCTGGGATCCTAGTATTTGACGACGGCGCAAGAGGCTCCTATTTGCCTGACATGACGCGGCGCCGTCGCTCGGCTCGAGTAAAAATCAAAAAAGGCATCTTCGGGAGTATTAAGCGACGAGTCCTAATATTACAGGCAGCAACACATAAAGAAGAAAGCGAAGAGAATGAACAAAAGGTGGAATTAGAAAGACAGAGAAAAAAATGCAGCGGAAGGGAGAAGAGACGAAAAGGACAAGGGATTCCCTTATGCCTTGGCCTTCTTCTCCTTCTTCTGCGTCTTATCCTTCTTCTCCTTCTTCTCCTTCTTTTCCTTCTTCTCCGACTTGTCCTCCGCAACGGCCTCGAGCTCGTCCGCGGCCTTTTGCGCAGCCTTGGCGAGCTTCTTCAACCGCTTCGCCTCCTTCTTTGCTGCCTCTCCATCATCCTCAATCGCCTCCCCAGCCTTGACCTTCTTGCTCGGTTCCTCTTCATCGTCGCCAGCAGCCTTGCGCTTCTTGTCCTTCTTCTTTTTCGGCTTCTCAGCCTCAGCCTCATCTTCATCGACATCCATCCCGGGCAAAGCGACTTCCTCAACGTCCTTGCCCGCATTCTCAGCCTTGACGAGGTCCAAAGCCTTCCTCATCGCGTCCGCATTCTTGGTAGGGTTCGCGCCCGACTCGTAGAAAGCCAAACGTTCCTCGACCTGTCCCCTCAAGACCTCGCCGAACTTGGTCGAAGGTGCATCGGAGAAGCAATCGATGCGGGAAGCGATCGAACACTTGTTGGCGAGGAAACGCGAGATGCGACCCTTGTTCTTGGTCCCCGCCCGACCGATGAAGGTCGAGTGGTAGATGAGACCGTATTTGGGTGTGTTGCCTTTGGTCTTGAGCGCGCGGAACAAGGCCTTTTCGGCACCGAGGATTTGGACCGTCGAGGCGGGGTATTTGGACAGGTTGGTCAAGGAACCGGCGTGCGAGATCAAGCGAGCTCCTACGGTGTCCCCGATCAGGCTGGCCAAGTTGGGAGCGACGACACCCATCTTTTCGGAGAGGTAGGCTTGGAGCGATTTGCGGTATTCGAAGAGGTGGATGACGCGAGAGGCAAAGTTCTTGATGTTGAGGTGGTCAATCGGGGAGATGTCGGTACCCATGGACGCACGGGCGGCATCGACGACGTTACGGGCAAGGACATCGTTGTTCTCCAAGAGTTCGGTCAAGCCTTCGACGGAGTCGTCCGAGAGAGTCGTCTTGTCACCGATGAAGCTGATGACCTTGGCGTACTGGTAGTTGTCGGGCACGATCTTGACCAATTCGGGGAAGTGCCACCCGTACCATTCGCGCACACGCATCGCGAACAAGTTGACGTCCTTGTCGAGTTGGTCGAGCAAAGCGATGGCCTGGATGATCATGTTGTCGGATCGGTTGACGTTGAACTTTACCTTGGCGCGCGAGTAGGCGTGTCCGAGACCGAGTTGCGAACGACTCATATCGCCATGTTCGAGGCCGGCGAGGAGTTTCTCAGAGTGGAGTCGGACACCACGGATCAGTTCGAGCGATCGGTCCGAGGTGTCGCAGTCGATGCCGAGGATGGATTTGATGGACGAAGCGAGGCCGCGTTCCTCGACGCCCAAGACGACGCCGGATTTTTTGCCGAGGTTGAGCTCGAGCAGGCCCTGCAGGAACTCGTGGACGACACCTGATAGGGAGCGAGGAGTGACAGGTCAGTCCGTTGGCTTGATTGCGTAGGATGTTGGAAGGCACAGTCGTCGCCAGTAGAAAGGCCCGAAGCGGAGGTGACATGACCCTGCCTTTTTGGCCCCCGTGTGACAGCAGCGAACCGTTCTCTCGAACGGAACGCAGCAGAAGAACGCACCTTCTGAAACATCATTCGCGACCTCCAACGCATGCGCGGCGTCCTGGAACGGCACGAACGAGACGAGTTTGACCATCTTGCCGAACTTGCTCAGCTCGTCGATCGAGGCCTGCACATTCTTGGCGGATTTGCCGACCTCTTCGACGAACGAGGACGAGAAGAGCGCGAGCCCTGTGGCTGACTCGAACAGCACCTGTTGGGGAGGGGGAGAGCGGCGATGGGAGAGGGAACGGCGGTGCGATCGAGGCAGGGATAGGGTAGGCATAGGCGTAGGCGTAGGCGCAGCCGCATTCAGGGGGAGCGGAGGTGCGAGACGGGTCAGCGGAGGCACGACGGGCGACGATCGAGAGCCATCTCTGTGACGGAAGACTGGTACTCACATGAGTCGCCATGATGCGAGGTACAAATGTGTGAGAGTGAGTGCGGGGAGCGAAGCAGCAGTCGGTGTAAGCGCTGGCCCGGGCCGCAGGAAAATGGCGGCGGGCGCGCTACTAGGCGCTACTGGCGCGCTGGCTGCGAACTGCTGCGAACGGTTCCCAGACTGTTCCCAGTCGTTCAAGTGGGCCGCTCCCAACTCGCACGGACCGCTTGGGACTTGGCCGTCACTCCGCCGTTCACGCGTTCACGGCGCGCCTTGACTGCGTGTCCGCTCACTCACCGCACCCAGCCGCATCCGAAACGAGCCGGATGGCGGACGACGACTCGGCACCGGCACCGGCACCGGCACCGGCCACGACCAGGGTCAGTGTCAGTGTCAGTGGCAGTGTCATGGCCAGCAGTACATCGGAACCTGCCCAGTCCACCTCGGCTCAGGACACGACTGCTGCTCCGATCGCCTCCGCAGCTGCTCCCGAGACAGAGCCCGTGCAGGAGCCGGTCGACGAGCCGAAGCTTGAACCGGTGCTAGCGCCCGAGCTCGAGACAACGGCCCAGCTGGTCGAGGCACCCGTATCCGTATCGTCACGACCCAAGATCGACATCTCGTCTCTCGAAAGACCCATCGTCGACGAGGAGAGGCTGGTCACGCCCGAGGGACCGCCGGAGGACGAGGTGCAAGCACTCGATCGATTCGCCTCGGACGCGACGACGACCCGACTGGGCGCCGCGACGGGCACCTCCACCACCACAGCCACCGCCGAGCACGTTCAGCCGCGCTCCGAGATCGATCGCGCCGACGCAACACCATCACCACCATCTAGGGGTGAGATCGGCCAGCTCGACGCGGCGAATGGCATAGTCGAGACCCCCGATGGACCACCTATCGAGCACGCCTCCGAGCAATCGCCGTCGACACGAGCCAGCGCCACGTCGACGAACGACGACCCGTTGGCACCCGAGCGGTCCTTATCCGAGCCCCCGATCACCCCCTCAGAGTTCGAGGACGTGCAACTGTCGACATCAACCCCGGTCGCACTACCCGCTTCCGTCTTGGCCGACGCTGCCGCCGCCGTGGCCGAGGGCGACCCCCAGCCGGCCCGGTCCCAGACACCTCCCCCGGCCTTGCCGACCAAACCGAACCCGACACCCGAACGAGTCGCGTCCCCATCTGTGCCCGTGCACGGCTCTCCTTCGTCTCGCGTCGTGTCTTCGACTTCGAGCCCTAGAATCGACTCTGCAGAATCGCAGCCGCACAGGTCCTCGATCGCGTCGACGACGACCATCTCGGCGCCAGGATCCCAGTCGCTCGTCTCGGGCATCCTTGTCATCTCGGCCCTTGAAACGATCGGAGCTTCAAAAGAGGCAAAGAAATCCAAGCCGCTCAAGGATGCGGTCGACGTCGCATTGGAAGCACTCAAACACCCTCAGGGCTCCACCTCCGCAGGCTCAGGCGCAGGCTCGGATGGAACCGTCGATCCTCATCTCGTCTTTGAACCTCTACGGCTGGCCTGCGAGTCCAAGTCGTTGCCCCTGATGATCACCGCCCTTGACTGCATCGGCAAACTCGTCTCGTATGACTTCTTCGTCGACCAGCGTCCGCCGTCGCACTATGCTGTCAATGACGCCGCCTCGGCTACGAACGACGAGGGCGAATCAGTGGGTTCCGCCAATGTGCCCATCGACCAGATCCCTCTCGCCGATTTGGTCACCTCGACCGTGTGCGATTGCTTCTCCCCTTCTCCCGCCGGCGCGGCCTCGAATTCGACCTCGGCCGGTGGAGCGGGTGCGACGACCCCACACGACACACTACTGCTTCGTCTCTTGTCTTCCCTCTTGTCCCTCATCCTGTCGACCTCGCTCGAAGTTCATCAATCATCTTTGCTCAAAGCCGTCAGGACGGTTTACAACGTCTTCCTTCTCGGAAGACCGGGGACCGTCCAAACCGTGGCTCAAGCGACGCTCGGGCAAATCGTCGGAGGCGTATTCGGTCGCATCAAGCTCGGACCGCAGTCTTTGATCCCGGGGGACGTCACGCCTGCCACGGCTGCTGGCTCGGTCAACGGCAAGAGCGGGTATTCGAGTCGTAACGGAAGTCTTGCCGGCAGCAAGGCCGATTTGGCCAGTGTCGAGGAGGAGGGTGAAGCTACCAAAGAGAAGGCTGACGTTGCAGAGGAGAATCAGACCGAGAAGGAGTCGGAATCCCTCGAGGCTCCACAACTCGTGGTTAAAGAGGCCGTTGTAGAAGGGGAGACCTCGGAGGTGAAAAAAGAAGAGGCCGGGACTGAAGCTTCCACATCGGCACCTGCACTTGAGAATGTCAACACGTGAGTGATCCGCACGCATATAGGGGGATGTCGGTCGGCTGGCTGATGCAATGCGCTTTCGCGGCTGTAGTGCGACCACGGATAGCCAGCGCTCGTTCGAAGGAACGCCGATTACGGCTGGGGGTGACGTGACCGTCAATAGGAACGACCTCTACATCAAGGATGCCTTCTTGGTGTTCCGAGCCCTCTGCAAGCTCTCGATGAAGCCGCTGGGAAGCGATAGGTACGTGTCCTTGGCTGTACCCCTCGACTGAACGCAACGACGCTGACATTCGACACTCCTATAAAATCATGCAGCGAGCGCGATTTGAAATCCCATGCCATGAGGTCCAAGCTCCTCTCGCTTCATCTCGTCTTGAACATCGTCAACAACTATCTCCCCGCCTTTGTCGACCCCCACGTTTCCATCATCTCCTCGACCTCGCGCGACCGCACTCCCTTCATTCAGGCGATCAAACAGTACCTCTGTCTCGCGCTCTCACGAAATGCGGTCTCCCCCGTCATCCAGGTCTTTGAGCTAAGTTGCGAGATCTTTTGGCGCGTGCTCCAGGGGTTGCGAACCAAGCTCAAGAAGGAGATCGAGGTGCTATTGAACGAGATCTTCTTGCCCATCCTCGAGATGCGCAACTCGACGATCAAACAAAAATCGATCCTGCTCGCCGTCTTTGGTCGGGTCTCGCAAGACCCGCAGGCGTTGGTCGATATCTACCTCAACTATGACTGCGATCGCTCATCACTGGAGAATATCTATGAGAGGCTGATCAACATCGTGTCAAAGTTGGGGACGACGCAGTTCCCTGCTTCGACGGACGGTAAGGCTGCAGCACAGCCCTCGGCAGCCTCAACGTCCCCTTTCCCTACCCCGGGTCCAACGCTGTCGGACGATTCCCGCATGACCGACCCTGCTCTATCCCACCTCACCCCGGAGATGCACCTCAAGCGGCAGGCACTCGAGGCGCTCGTCACGGTCCTGCGATCGCTCGTCTCGTGGGCCGCCCGAGGGGGCGCGACGACGACGACGATGACCGGGTCCGAATTGAATGGGTCGATGAACGCCAACCTCCCGCCGACACCGCGCTCGGAAGAGGCAGATACCGACTACTCCGACACCCCGCGTCGTTCGCTCGGCGCTGCTCCTGCATCTGTCGATCTCTCTCGGTCACGAGCTCAGACACCCGACGTCGTGCCCGCCGACGATCCAAGTCGGTTCGAGAATGCCAAGCAGCGCAAGACGACCCTGTTGGAAGGTATCAAAAAATTCAACTTCAAGCCGAAACGGGGTGTGTCGTTCTTGATCGAGACTGGCTTCATTCGCTCGAGTGAGCCTAAGGATGTGGCCCGCTTCTTGCTCCACGCCGATGGGCTCGACAAGGCGCAGATTGGCGAGTACCTGGGCGAAGGCGACGCGGAGAACATTGCGACGATGCACGCCTTCGTCGACCTCATGGATTTCACCAACACGGCTTTCGTGGATGCCTTGCGCGCGTTCCTACAATCGTTCCGACTTCCCGGCGAAGCGCAAAAGATCGATCGGTACATGCTCAAGTTCGCCGAGAGGTACACGGCGGGCAACCCTGGTGTCTTTGCGAATGCCGATACGGCTTACATCCTCGCTTTCTCGGTCATCTTGCTCAACACGGACGCGCACAACCCTCAGGTCAAGAAACCCATGTCCAAAGTCGAGTTCATCCGCAACAACCGCGGTATCGACGACGGCAACGATTTGGATGAGGCCTTGCTCGTCGATATCTACGACGAGATCAACCGCAACGAGATCCGCATGAAGGACGAGGTCGAAGCCGCTGGGCCTCAGGGAGGTGCAGGCGGGATCGCGAACGCGTTGGCTACGGTCGGACGAGACTTGCAACGCGAGCAATACGTCTGGCAGTCCGAAGGGATGGTCAACAAGACCGAGGCCTTGTTCCGCACGCTCGTACGAGGTCAACGAAGGGGAGCATCGGCCGCGTCCGCTCAATTCTACTCGGCTTCTCACTTTGAACACGTCAAGCCCATGTTCGAGGTCGTGTGGATGCCCTTCTTGGCTGGGATCTCAGCGCCTTTACAAACGACGGACGATATGGATCTGATCACGCTGAGTCTACAAGGGTTCAAGCAAGCGATCAAGATCGTCTGCTTGTTCGACCTCGAACTGGAGCGCAATGCTTTTGTCACGACCTTGGCCAAATTCACCTTCCTCAACGACTTGGGGGAGATGAAGGCCAAGAACGTCGAAGCGATCAAGACTTTGTTGGACGTCGCGATGGTCGATGGCAACTACCTCAAGGGGTCGTGGCGGGAAGTCGTCACGTGCGTTAGTCAGTTGGAGAGGTTCCAGTTGATTGCGCAGGGTGTCGACTCGCAGGCTGTTCCTGAGTTGGGGCGGAAACCGTGAGTACTGCAGCTCGTGATGAACTCCTGTATTCAGCTACTTATCTCATTCTTTTGTCCTTCAGATCGACAACGAGTCGAAGATCGACGCTCACATCGAGGGCACGCAATTCACGCCCCACGGAGCAAGTCGCCCTCGAGACACGCTCTCAGCACATTACCATCACGGCGGATATGATCTTTTCATCGACACCGAACCTATCCGGTACCGCAATCGTCGATTTCGTACGAGCGCTGAGCGAAGTCTCGTGGGAGGAGATTCAAGCCTCTGGCTTGGCCGAGCAACCGCGCGTGTTCTGCTTGCAGAAGCTGGTTGAGATTTCGTACTACAACATGAACCGTATCCGACTCGAGTGGTCGCAGATTTGGCTTATTCTTGGCGAACACTTCAACCAGGTCAGTCACGATGCACGAGGCTTATCTCGCTTCCCTTATGGATGCTCTCTGACCCTACTGCTCTCCCGCCTCAGGTCACATGTCACACCAACGCCAAAGTCAGCTTCCTCGCGCTCGACTCGCTGCGCCAGCTCGCGATGCGTTTCCTCGAAAAGGAGGAACTCGCCAACTTCCGCTTCCAAAAAGACTTCCTTAAGCCGTTCGAGTACGCCATGGTGCACAACAACAACCCCGATGCGCGCGATATGGTCCTGCAGTGCCTGCACCAGATGATCCAAGCGCGCGTGCAGAACCTGCGATCGGGTTGGCGGACGATGTTTGGCGTCTTCGCTGCCGCTGCCAAGGTCTTGAACGAGCGTATCGCGGTACAGGCGTTCGACATCGTGCAACGCGTCAATCGCGAGCATTTTGCTCGTATCGTCGAGTACGGCTCGTTCGCGGATTTGACGGTGTGCGTGACCGATTTTTGCAAGATCAGCAAATACCAGCGCGTGAGCTTGCAGGCGATCGAATTGGTCAAGGCGTTGATCCCGATGATGCTCGAGTGCCCGCAATGCCCCTTGAGTGAGAACGCGATCGTCAAGTCCGAGGCGTCACCGAATGATGATCCGATGCTCAAGTTCTGGTTCCCGATCCTGTTTGGGTTCTATGATGTTATCATGAACGCTGAGGACCTTGAGGTCCGGAAACGGTGAGTAATAAATGCTTGAGCCGAAGACGACGAAGCCGTCTGATATCGTGTTTCCCACCTCACAGAGCCCTGGATTATTTGTTCGAGACGCTCAAAACGCACGGCTCAAAGTTCCCACCCGAGTTCTGGGATACGATCTGCAAGGAGGTGCTCTTCCCCATTTTTGCGGTCCTGCGCTCGCGATCGGATGTTTCGCGCTTCAGTACGCACGAGGACATGAGCGTGTGGTTGTCGACGACTATGATTCAGGCGTTGCGCAACCTCGTCGATCTGTTCTCGTTCTACTTCGATGCGCTGGCACGGATGCTGGATCGGTTGTTGGACTTGTTGTGCGAGTGCATTTGCCAAGGTACGCTGGTTTTGAGCTCCAGGGGTGGTGACGAGGTGTGCACGCGAGTTCATCCCCACCGCACTCTTGCTTACTACAGAAAACGACACACTCGCACGCATAGGCACGTCTTGCCTCCAACAGTTGCTCGAGAACAACGTCGAAAAGCTCTCGCCCGCGCGGTGGGAGCGCATCGTCTCGACCTTTGTTCAGCTCTTCAAGACAACGACTGCGTTCCAGCTCTTTGACGAGAATCTTCTCTTGCCCGAGTCGACGGACACACCTGCCGAATCGACGGATTCCGCGGCGGCTGCCGCGAACGGCTTCGTCGCTCCTACACCCCTTTCCCCTCCGACCGAGGATGTGCCACACGTTCGCGCACCGGTCACGGATCGTCGACGCATCTTCCGACAGATCATTGTCAAGTGCGTATTGCAATTGCTGCTGATCGAGACGACGCACGAGCTCTTACAGCATGAACGAGTGTACACGACGATCCCGCCGGCCGAATTGCTCAAACTCATGTCGGCGCTCGACGACTCGTACCGATTCGCAAGAAAGTTCAACGCCGACAAGCCGTTGCGGATGGCCTTGTGGAAAGTTGGCTTCATGCGCGATTTGCCGAATTTGTTGAGGCAAGAGTCGACAAGTGCGGCTACGTTGGTCAATGTGTTGTTGCGGATGTACAACGACTCGTCGACGGCCGAACATGTCGGCAAGCGGGCTGAGGTTGTCGAGGTGTTTGCTCCGTGAGTTGTTGAATCGGGTAAATCAGATCGCAATCAATACCGAGACTGACTCTGAACTTTTGACCACAGATTGGGTCTCGATGTCCTAGCCAACTACGTCTCCCTGAACCCGGACTCGCAAGCTCGTAACATCGCGGCGTGGACCCCCGTCTGCGCCGAAATCCTCCAAGGGTTCTGTTCGCTCGAAGACGAGGCGTTCAAAGCGCAATTGGCACGACTGTACCCGCTCGTGACCAACACGTTGGTGAGGGATATGGATCCGACTGTTCGCGAGTGCGTGCGAGCTGTGTACGTGCGGATAGGTCGGAGTGTGCTTGGGATTGGAGGTGCCGACTCGGCTGGCACATCGACGACTGGGCCCGCTGCGGTGGTCGAAGAGGCTGTCACGTCGTCGTAGGCTGGGTGTTGGCGTGTATATCCGTGTGTGTGCCGATGTGTGTGAAGACGGAACTCTTTTCTTTCTTTTTGGTAATCTATGTTTAATCGGGGTGCTCCATCTCTCGTTTTTCGCAACGTAGCTTCTTTCTTTTGTTCTCAAAGCCGTTTCCTGCCGTTCCGCTACTGTTTCGCTCGTGGTTGCTGGAGGTCGCCGGAGCGCGCATCGACGGTCGTTGCTCTTGCTCTTGCCTCCCGTCGCTCCCAGGCGTGGAAACCAGCCCCCGACTCCCACCGTTGAGCGACTACAACATGTCCTCCTCCGACCCACGAAGGGCCGATCCGCGACTGCGTCATCGTACTCTCGGCCGAAATCCTCCCCCAGCAGGAGCGGCAACTCCTCCCGCACCACTCGGGCCCTACACCCCACCTGAAGCACCACCTCAGCACCTGGCTACACCACCCCCTTCTTCGCTCCCTTCCGCACCCGCTGCACCCCCTGCACCCCCTGCACCCCTCGCAGGACTTGTTCCCTCTCCTGCACCACTAGCAGCAGCAACAGCGAATGCCTCCCGCTCGACAACCCCTCCTCCACCTCCACCACCCCCAACGGAGAAACCCTTTGAACGACCCACCACGTCCAGCTTGGGCGATCCCTTCCCTCCTTCGACCAAGGACACCAAGAATGGCCATCGGTTGACGTTCTGCGTCGTGTGCGCGAGCAATCAGAACAGGTCCATGGAGGGGCATAACGTGCTCTCGTTCGTACCTTGAGCCTCTGATTCGCAGAAAAACAAACCTTCGCATACTGACCCCTCGAGTTCCGCAATGTGCCTCTCCAGAAAAGCCAACTTCAACGTCATCTCCGCCGGCACAGGCTCGGCCGTGCGCCTGCCCGGACCAGCGATCGACCGCCCCAACATTTACACCTTTGGCACCCCTTACGAGCACATGTACCAAGACCTCAAAGCCCAAGACGAGCGACTGTGAGCCTCCTCCTCACTCGACTCTTTCCTGCTGCTTCCCTCGCTTGATCTCATGTCCCATGCCTCTCGTGCAGCTACACCGCCAATGGCCTCTTGAACATGCTCGACCGCAATCGAAGGATCAAGACCGCGCCGGAGAGGTGGCAAGAATCACAAAAAGTCGCCGACGTCGTCATCACCTGCGAGGAGAGGTGTTATGATGCCGTTTGTGATGGTCAGTCTCGCACACCTCACTTTGGCTGGAGATACCAGAATGAGAAAGCTGACTGAAAGCGATCGCTCCATACAGATCTCCTGACTAGGGGAGGCGAGATGAACCGCCCGGTGCATATCATCAATATCGAGATCAAAGACAACCACGAAGAAGCACACATTGCAGGGAAGGCGATGCTTGATCTATGCTCGAGTGTGAGTTACATCGTATATGCCTTCACATCATCTTCGAAGCGCCGTCGCTGACTGGCTCATTCGGCGTCCTCCGGTTCTGCAGATTGAGGCGGCTAAAGACCTGGACGAAGAGATGAATTCGATCATCGAAAAGCACATGGCTAAACATCCCCATCAGCTATTACATACTGTGTTGTATTATTAACAAGATATCGAAGCCAAGCTCGGCTTTCTTTTCACCATAAACGCCATGCGCACGAATCGCCCGGCCGGGAGATGAATTACAGTGAATGGATGCGAGACCAGGCCTAGTTGCTTGGTATCACATAATATCAAAATAGGGATCTTAGCTGAGCGGAACCGACAGAGGCCTCACTTCCTCGGCCGCTTCGCCGCCGTCCCTCCACCCCTCTTCTTCCACCCCCCTCTCCCCCTCCTGAACCCTCCCCCACCCCCCCTCCTCCCCGTCGGTGCCGAGACAGTCGTCATCTTCTGCGATCCCAAAGGATCGATCCTCCCCCCTCCCCCTCCATCTCCCTTGGCTTTGTTCGAATACATCCTTTCATCTGTGAGATACCATCCCCATCGTCAGCGGTCTAGAACTAGACTCTATCTCGATCACGTGGACGAAGCACAACTCACAAGCACCTCGAATGACCGCGCTCATGGTCGAGACGTACAACGACCCACGAGGAGGCGAAGACCCATCCTGAGGTGGACCAGGTCGATGTTCGGTATTGATCCCCCCGCTACCTCGAGCGCGTACGACATCGTCGTCGTCTTTGATCTCGATCACTTCGTTTCGACGCGCACGCGTCGAAGTTCGAGGTTCGTCGAATAGGTCTGTCTCGGCTAGGGCGAGGGTGTCGGAGGACCAGTACTCTTCTTCGTCTTCATCATCGTCCAACTGGAGCTCTGGTTGTTGATGACGCGAGGCAGTCCGAGGGGCCGCAACGATCGAGGGCGGCTCTATTGCACGACCTTTCCCTTTATCTTGCGCTCGCGATGCAGTCGCTCGATGCGGTGGTGAAGGCGAGAAGAGTTCCGCTGCCAATCGAGCACGTACTTCTTGACTGTCATGCACAGGATCATCGTCGACAATGTCGAGTGCAGGGCGTGGCGGCGCGGAGGGCTGGTACGGGCGTGGGGGCACATTCGCTTGGGAGAAGTCGTCTTGGGAGAAGCCGGCGTCGAGGCATTGGTTCGTATGGGCTTGTAGTTCGCTCTTGAGTACCTTCAATTTATGTTCAAGCGTCAGAACTTTGTCAGAACCAGCCCAAGGAAGGTGCATGAAGAAACACCGTCGAGGGCTCACCTCGGCATTGCAGATCAGACACCGTTCTTTAGCGATCGACATGGACACCAATAGGTTGTCGACGGACAGTTGTTTCGGACGAGGTGTGTTCGATGAAGTGCGACCTGATTTGGTTGATGCTGCTGCGGCTGCTTCGGCCTTGCGTTGGCGGACCGCACGGAGCTTGGCTGCGCAGGCAAGGAAAGGCTACGAATGAGTGGCTGACGCACGATAGATCCCTCAGCAAGCCGAGGAGACTCCTCACCCATTGACTCTGCCTTCTCTCTTTTGGCCTTTGCCGCGACCGTCTCGTACTTGTCCGCCGTCTTGAACGGTATCCCCTGTGCTCCTCCCTCGCCCCTATCCTCGTCCTCATCGTCGACGATCTCATCTTCCAGATGCGAAGTCTGATCGATCCTGGGTGCTCCGAGCTCAGACATTCTCCTTAGCGCCTCCGTCGCTGCTCCATGTTGGTGTCGATTTGCTTTCTTGGCCGTCGCGGACGTCATCACAAGTGCTTCTGTACCCCAGAATGGTTCGGGTGCCGGCGCTCGGGCGGTCTCGTCGAACTCGACAGGCGGTTCGGGCGTCGGGGTAGGTGAGACTCGCCGTGGCCGTTTGATTGTTTGCTCCTTGGCTTTCCCTTTTGACACCTCACTTCTAGGCTGACGAGTCGCTCCATACCTCGCCTTGTCGAGCTGATCATCAAGATCCGAATGCGACGTCGGGGCGGTGGAGCTCGTCCTCCTCCCCCGGGTGACAGTCGTGGTCGAATCTGACTCGCTCGTCGGATCTTCCTTTTCCTTGCCCTTCCCCTTGCCCTTGCTTGCAGCCACACCGTTCCGAGGTGTCAAAACCTTTCGTTTCGGCGGTGATGCGGTCGCCCCCCTCCATCCGTTGGCCTTCGCCATCGCTCGTAGTGCGGCCCCGCCTTCAGACTTGAACAAGTCGCCCAACCTCGGGACGTTGGCGATCGGGGGTGGCAACTCTTCGTCGTCGTCGTCGTCGTCGTCCGATGCTTCTTCCGCAGCTTTGGTCGTTCCTCCAGATCTGGAATCACCCAATCCAAGTCGTGACGATCTCGCTTCAAGTGCGGGTCGTGGACGTGACGCGGTGCTGAGGCTGCTTCGTTTGGTCTTGGTCCTCGACCAATCATCTCGGGACGAGCCGGCGACGATAGATTTTCTTCCCTGTACGCGTCTAGAAGTCGAAGCGATGATCTCCACATCCGAGGAAGAGGCTACAGAACCCGGCGTTTCGTGCTCATCTTCTTCGTCCGACCGTTCCCTCGCTCTCCGAGTCCGAGTCCGATGAGGGGGAGAAGGCGAAGGAGAGGGCGAAGCGGAATGGAGTTGACTCGGTTGGGTAGGTGAGGGAGGCTCGGGTGTTCGCCTTGGTAAAAGGAAGAAGTTGTCCAGATCGTCGTCGGAGTTGGACATGATCCTAGCCGTTCCGACGCCTCACGCCGCCCTCACGCCCCGGTCGTCCGAGAGCGCGCGTCGCGACGAGTGTGCACGACGGACGCGACTTGGTTGGACGCGAGAGGGTACGAGTCGGAGGCAAGGCGAGGTGGGGCTGGGGCTGGTGCTGGGTGGCCACTGTGACCTCGGAGTGTCGGGAAGGGTATGATGACACGTCCACGTGCGATGCCGAGGATCGGGGCCAGGAATGGGCTCCGCACGACAGCGCACGACGCTCATCGTCGCCGAGCGAGTTGAGTGTCATCCTCACGCGGCGCGCGCGAAAGCCCACTCTCGCACGGACCATCTCAGCCGGGCTCAGGCTCAGCCCGATCGAATTTAATTTGCGAACGTCGTACGAAGACGCCGCTCGACTAGCAACACATCAATCTCTGGTCAAAAAGCCTCACACCTCCCTCCTCAGAATAGCCAGCCCCTCCGCATGATGCGTATTCGCGAACAAATCCGCCGCCCTCAGACTCTCGATCCAGAAACCCTTCTTGCCCTTTCCCTCCTTCTCGACCTTTTCCTTCGACTGGGAGACGATCCAACCGATGTCTCGTGCTTGGGTGTGTACGTTGCAGGATACATAGATGATCGTTGAGGGGTTGAAAGCGAGCAGTTGGGAGAGGAAGAGTTCATCGCAGCCTTTGCGAGGGGGGTCGATGAGGATCGTAGTTGAGTCGGCTGGGAAGTCGATCGTCTAGGGGACGGTCCGACAAGACACACATCAGCTAGTTGAGACTGTCACAAAGAGGTACGTGCAAACTCGCCCCAAAGATATCCTCCGCTTTCCCATCCCTGAACCCAACCTCCCCTCTCCCCGGTCCCTTGTTCCACTCGGCGTTCATCCTCGCCCACTTGACACTCTGCTTATCAATCTCTACCCCTTCAATCCTCTCAAACTGATCCGCCAACGAAATCGCGAACAACCCCGAACCGCAATACGCATCTATCAAATGCGTCGTCTTTGGATTCGCCGACCGAACGGTCTCGGCGATGCAGTCGATGAGGGAAGGGAGTATGGACGAGTTATTTTGGAAGAAGGAACCCGCGACTTGTTCGAATTCGTTCGTGCCGACCTTTTCACGCACGGTCGCGTGATGGTCGGAGATGCAGACGTGCTTTTCTTCAACGTCCGGTGGGGTTGAGGCTTTGGTAACACCTGCGGCTCGACGGGGGAGCGAATCACGAAGCAAGAGAGTCGAGCCTCGCTTGTACTTGGCGATATTCCTATAGGGCAGTTCGAGAGAGATGACGCGCCTCAATTCCGAGCGCACTCGTCCAATAACGTGCAACAATGACCAGCTGGACTTACTTCTTCACCTCCTCCCTCTGCACCTTGTATTCCTCATTAATGACCTTGGTGCCGATCACGCATTCCTCAATATCAATCACCCTCTTCCTCCCCTTCTGCTCGAACCCAATCGTCAATTCCCACTTCTTCGTCGGCACTTCCTCCTCCTCCCCTCCTCCCACCTTATCCTTCCCCTTGAACTGTTTCTTCTTCGGCCCCGTAGGAGGTGTTTGGAAGTGTGGTGTCAACTTGGTCCTGTATTGGTATTCGAGTGGGGAACGCAAAGTAGGCCCGATTGGCGGAATTGAACTTGGGGGGAGTTTGGAAAAGTTGGCAAAGGCTTTGCGTACGACGGTGCGCTTTATCTCGAGTTGGTCCGAATACGCCAAAGGTTGGTACTGGCAGAGGAAGAACAGGATAGTCTTCAGGATTAATCCCAGTCAAAACTATACGTAGCTGAACTGCTCACCTGACATCCCGAACACGTCCCAAAATACTGGCACTGCACGCGATTGCCAAATTTCTTCCTCGCCTGCTGCAACGCCAAAGTCGGCTCGCCCTTCCCGGGCAACTCGACGATCTCGGCCTCTCTCTTCTCGCTCGGTTCGATGATATCGATCAGATCAGAGTGGGATAGCAACAGGTCGGGTTCGTGGCGCGTGACTTTGATGTTGACGAGTTCGCCAGGGATTGCAAAGGGGATCGTCACCAAGCGAGTCGGTTCGGTCGACCCCGACGGGATCAACTTGGCGAGACCGTCACCTGTATGACGGCAGCAGCGTGATCAGCACCGCATCAGGAATCCAGCTCGGCCGCTTGTGAATCCCCGCACTGACCATGTGCATTCAAACCCACCACCCTCACCTGCACCGACTTTCCCTCCGCTCCAAACCCCCATTCCTTCTCCGCCTCTTTACGACTCCAATCCCTCACCCCCGACCTCTCCGCTTCCTCCTCTAAGGCCTCAACCCTTTCCGGTCCCAAGAATTCGACGACGTCAAACGCACCGACTTCTTCGGCCCCTCCGGGTTTTACGGCTTTGATCTTCTTCTTTCCCTGTTTATTCTTGTTCGACTTTCGTGCTGCTGCTCCTCCTCCTCCCGGGGCTGGTGTTTGGGGAGGTAGCTGCGCTGCTGTTGTCGCTTTAGGAGCAGAAGATCCATTCTGCGTGCCCGCCTCGTCCATCTTGATTTTCTTATTCGCTTGAACGGACTCGACATTGCTCAAATTGGACGTCGACGTCGACGGTGACTCCATAATCGAGGCTGTCGATCGACCGGGCGAGTTGGGCGACAAGGCTCGCTTGGGAGCAGTAGCTGCCACGGGGGTGGACATGATGTATCGTTTGGTGTACGAGATCCGTTGCGGTCGAACCGAGAAGGCTAAAGAGCGATGCAAGGATCTCGCGAGCATGCGCTGAACGCGCGAAAGGAGGTGGGAAAGCAACCCCGGACAGGGATCAAGTTCGGGCGCCAGTCTGCGAAGAGACACCGGCGACAGCTGGCGACTCACCCGCGTCTACCGGCGTCGAGCTGATTGGCCGGTGCGACGACCAGCTTGATCGAACTGAATGATACCGCGCAGCGTTCTTGACACTCTCATGGAAACCGGATTCAGCGTATTACCGGCAAGGGGTTATGTGCAAGTCCCATTCTGTGCTCTGTAGACGCTCCGGCTCTCGTCTAGAGACTCTCCTCTCAAATTCAATTTGGCTCTGGATCGAAAGCTTCTTGTGTGGCAAACTCGCATTCTCGGTCATTTTTGTTTAGTATACGACTAGTAGAACGAAAAACGATTGCCTCATATCTGCGAGCGTCTTCCCCAGCCCACGCAACACACCACTTCCCCTCCCCAGAAACGAATCCAACACGCCGAGGACGAATCGATCCGTCTAGAAGACGAGGGCGGCACCCTTGGTCTTCTTGTCACCACCGAGCTCAAAGTGCTTGCATCGCTTCAACGCCATCTGCATCTTGTACTTGCACACGGTGCACTCCAATCGCAGCACGACCTTCTTGGTCGTCTTGGCCTTCTTGTGGAACACCGGCTTGGTCTGTCCACCGTATCCTGTTGGGCAGCAAAGTTTGAATCAGAATCATGTTTCTTTGCCGTCGTCGCTCGTTCATGCCCAACTGACCCGACTGCTTTCGGTCGTAACGACGCTTTCCCTGGGCGAAGAGCGAGGCCTTGCCGGTCTTGTACTGGGTGACCTTGTGGGGCGTGTGCTTGCGGCATTGCTTGCCCTTGCAGTATGTTCGGCGTGTCTTGGGAACGTTAACCATCTAGGCAAACGAGAGGACGACGGAGGATCAGTACGGATCGGCGCGCGGTCGGTCGTTTGATCTGCCGGGAGTGCTCTGCGGCGTGCGGGCGAGCCTGTAGTACTCCAGAGTCGAAGGTGGGACCGAGAGTAAATATGTACCTTTGGTGATCTAAGAGTGTAACAACAGCAGGGAAAATGTCAGTGAAAGGCCAATAGAGAGGAAGTGAAAAAATGCATTGTGGATGAGTCGGAGGGCCGGCGAGGCAAGGCGAGGCGAGAGACTGCGATGCGATGGGCCAGCCAAAGTCCGTGGTGCGAATGGCCCAGAGCGGACCCGCCAGCTAGCGACGGTGCGACACGGCAACATGCCACCTCATCAACCTTTCGAGTTCACCCGACATTCGGTCAAGAGGGTCGAAGTGTTGACCGGGTTCGAATGAGCCGGGATGGGTGTGTCGCCGCTCGTTCCATATCGCGGTCTCTCGCGGTCGTCGGTGTCGTCGTCGCCCGCCTGATGCGTCCTCCCTGTGAGCCTAGCCAGACCGACGGCCAGCCAGCCCTCGACTCGACCACGGTCAACCCTCCATATCGACCCCCATCCACCCTCTACAGCCGCCAACACACCAGCCTTCCCTCCCTTCCTATTCTCCTCCAATGTTCGCCCATGTTCACCATGTCCAAGGCGATGTCGAGACTGCAACAGGCGCACGTCGCTTTTTTTCGCGCCAGCCGACGACGACGACCCTGAGCTGCACGATCCGCACACCGCGTCCTCAATCGTCGACGGGTCGATATGTTGTAGATGGGTCGGTCGGTCGTACTCAAGACATCAAGAATCCACAGCCGTAGTTTGGGTAGGGGCTAAACTGACCTGAACGGGTGCTGAGATGACAAGACAGACGACAAGGAACTCACACGGCCTAGCCCGCGCCCTTACAGCCCGCGCGAGCAGGCGCGAGCGAGGGCGAGCGATTTTTGGCCCACCAGTAGCTTGGACCCAGCGCCTGTGTGCGCCGCGCGCTTGGCTCTATGCGCGTGCTGGCTGCGGCTGGTCAGGCCGGTCAGGCGCGCTTTTCGAGAGCCGAGGCGCGCCGCTCCTGGCTTTACACTGACTCGACACCCCCTGTCTTTCTATCTCCCGCGCCGCACACCCTGAAAACGATCACGTGACTTTCCTTTTTCCCTCCTCACGATCTCACGGTTTAACGTTCAACGCTGGTGTCACCTTCAACATGTCACCTAGATGCTTTGAATACTGAGTCGATCATCATGTGGGGGTTCTTCCCGCGGCGAGTCTTTGAGCTCGATCGCTCGAAAGGTCACCTCGACCAGTCGGTTGCGCAGGCCTCCAGTGGGTGGACTCTGACGTACTTTTGTCTAGACCTGGCGGAAGCATGTACTTAGTACCATTACTATTAGCCCGTGGTTCTCTGTCTGTTTTTGGCCATAGGTGTTATTTTGCCGCAGACCTTTTGACGGTTGGCCAATGGCCACCCTCGGAGCAGCCTCCCGTACCGGTTTGGCAGTTTAGCCCCGGCCAAAAGAGTGCGCCAAAGAAGGCCAAAGATTTGCCGGAAGCCTCGTAAACGCCGTAAGTCGCGCGGAGCTGGGGCTTGACGACCTTGCCCCCGCTTTGCCCCTCTCCGCTTTTCAGCCTTCCGCCATCCGATACCATGGCAACAACATACACCAACGAACAATTAGTAGAGCTCGAGTTGCAAGCACGCAACCTCGCGGCGCCAGGTGCGCTCGTGCCGTTGCTTCCTCCCAAGTCGTCAACCCGAGGCACGTTGCTCGACCTTGCTCTCGGCTCGTCTACTCGATCGCCTTTCGGTGCGTCCAAGCATTCCGATTGGAAGGTCGATACGTTTGTCGTCCCTGCCGCGTTCCCACGATCGCTCAAGAGTGGCACGACAAGCACTTCGAATCCCAAAGGCTCGGCATCGCAACCAAGTGGGGCACCAGCGACAACGGGACGGATCGATGCGAGTCAAGCGTTCCATGATCTGGCCGTGAACCAGTTACATGGCTTGAGAGGAGGCAAGGTTTCAATTGCGGATCAGCAAGAACTACGGGAACAGGAACAATTGTTCCTGGCGGTGAATCGTTACGTCAATCGAGCCGCGGCACCGTCCAAGGCGGCGCCACTTTTGACTTTGGTCTTTGCCCATGCCAATGGGTTCCACAAGGGTGAGTCGACTTGGAACCTGAATAATCGATTGGAATCGCGGGATTAAACAGTCTTCAAACCACCATATGTGGGTGAATAGAAACCTGGGAACCCGTCATTTCCGACTTGCTCGACTCGTGGGACTCGACCCTGATGCCCATTGGCGAAATATGGTGCTTGGACGCCGTCAACCAAGGCGACTCGGCAGTTCTGAACGAAGCCGTACTGGGTACTACCTGTACGTCCAGCGTCATACTCTGGGCCCTTGTGCATAGCTCGCTGAGCGGAGCTGACGATGAAAACTCTTCCCTCTTTCAGTCGACTGGTCCGACCATGGCCGAGACATCGCCAACTTCCTCATCTCGTACCTCCCCGACCCTCTATCCGCTTCTTCGACCTCCTCCATCAGTCTCCCCTACATCTCCACCCCTCAAAACACGACCCTCTTGGCCCTCGACAATCTCTCCGTATCGCCCGGTGCATCCTACCCAACCCGACGGATCTTTCGAAATCGACTGATCGTCGGCATCGGTCATTCTCTCGGAGGAGGAGGTATGGCCTTCGCCGCAACCGCGCAACCGAGTCTCTTCTCCTCCATCATCCTCTGCGATCCCGTCCTCCCACCTCCTGGTGCGGACCGAATCATGTCGGCATTGACCAAAGGGGCCTGCGTGAGGAAGGAGACGTGGGTCTCCAAGCAGGATGCTAAAGAAGGTTTCTTGAAGAAGGCCTTCTTCCGGGGATGGAATCCCAGAAGTCTGGATTTATATGTCGAGCTGGCGACCAAGCACGTTGTCGACAAGGATGGCAAGAAGCATGTGGCTTTGAAATGCCGAGCCAAGGACGAAGCCGTAAGTCCCACGAGGTTCTTTGACATACTTTGCTTTGAGGACCCCGGGCGCGCTGATACGCTCCAATCTGGACTCACCTACTACAGCTCGTCTTTGGCGACCTAACCGCCGGTGCGGCACGACGAGCCGCCGGTCGCCTAGCGCTCCTCCCATCGACCCTCCCCGTCCATTTCATCTTCGCCGAAAAGGGTTCCGTCGTCCCTCCTTCCCCGGACCGCGAAAACCTCTTGGGCCTCATCCCTCTCGCGACTCATTTCACGATCCCGGGTTCGGGTCATTTGATCGTACAGGAGAGACCGACCGAGACGGCTATGGCGATAGGACAACAGTTGAGGAAAGTCTATGGCTCGAAAGGACTTTGGGGGGTTCCCAAATTGTAGAGATTGCTTGCATCGAGGCGCCTGTATGTCTTCGCTGTCAATCTTACGCAATTGAAGCCCTCTTTCCGTTTATCCGTCTGATCCGGGTGGACAAAGTCCGTGTTCGCAGCCAGAGTCCCTGAAGGACGTACCAAGAGGCGAGGGCTGGTGCGTGTGAAGACGAACGATGACGATGATTATGGTGAAATTTGCGAGGTCCTTGCGAGGCTCAAGCGGGGCGACCGGGGACCGATCGACGGTCCGAGCTGACGGTACAGTCGCTCAGAAATCTTGGCTATGTTCTCTACTTTCAAGTCAACTGACAAGCGAGGCACTGAGCAGTGCACCCTCCCTTCAATTGTCCAGACACCATGGATATTGCTCTCTGTGCCGCCTGATGCGCATGGGATTATCAGACAGTGTGTGTGCATAGGTAGTACAATTGAAGGCTACGAGCAAAATAGGACGAAAATCGCAAACGAGAGGCTCTCTAGCCGTACGGGTGAAGGTCCTCGTTGAGGCTTAGCTGAAAAGCGTCTCGGCTCCACCCATCTCGAGCGTCATACCGACACTGAGCCTAACGAAACTTCGCATGTCTGCCAGAAGGAAGGAGGGGGAGGGGCCAACAATCAAAAGGTCAGTACACCAATCGTTCCTGATACATCCGCTGATTCACGCCCGGACTGACGCTCAAAGCTAAAGCCCTCATTCTGGATCGTATCGCCACTCGAGTGGATCTTCTTGTTCGAGTCAGGAAAGCTCGACTCGATCGCGAAAGCCGAGGGTGCGCCGACCTTGGACCACGAAGCATGGTCCGAGCAGGCGTACCCGCATTGAGTGTCGGTGCGGGAGATGTCTCCGTACTCGTCAATGAGCAAGGCGACGAGGTCGGTGAATTCGGGCGAGACAAAGTCGCGGATGATGCCGTAGGTCGGGGTCGTGCCGGGTTTGACGAAGGCCGTCACTGTGAGGAGTCGTCGTCTAGGCCATCAGCTAGTCGCATGAGGGATGGGCGCTAGGTCCAGCGAACTCACTGTCCATCTGGAGCATGGATCGGACCTTCTTCCCATCCCTGGCATAGCTCTGCGCAACGGCTTGCGAGCCCAACAGCCCACCTTCCTCGGCCGAGTACCTGGAGCGTGAAATAAAGGCGCTGTGAGCATCACACTTGTTGGAGCAGGTCAAATAGCTTCGAAACTCACCAGTGGAACTCGACGGGGTGATCGCTAGGGATGAACGAGGCGTTAACGAGAACAGTGAGAGCCTCGACGAGGGTAGTCGTTCCCGAACCATCGTCATCAGCACCCTGAGAGCGTTCAAAACACGCTGTTTGTCAGTAATTATCGCACGAGCACTTCTTCGAGTACATATCTTTCAACTCACGGGAGCAGCCAAAAAGGGAAACATGTTAGTCGAATCCTGATGAGCGCCGAGGATGACAACCTGTTCCTTGCCCTGCTTCTTGCGCAGAGCCGAGGCCTTGGACGAGGGTTCAAAGCGAAGGATGATGGAGTTTTGTCCCCACGAATGCGGGAACTCCTTGACCGAGATCGAGTCGGCGATCTTGGGATTCGACTTGATAATCTGGTTTTCGAGTCAAATTCCGATGCGTCAATGTTCAGGCTTTTTCGTTCCAAAGAAGTCGATGCCGATCTCACCTCCTTGACGTGGTTCAACAAGAACTCCTGGGACTGCTTCCCCGTTGAGGAGCGGTAGTAGCGCGTGTGAAATCCGGAGAAGCGGGTCAAGAAGGTCTTCATCCTCTCGAGGGAGATGGTGTCGAAAAGGGGCTGCGCCTGCTTGACGCTGTAGCTCAATTTGGTCGGGAAGGCATCTGTTTATGAGCAAAGATCAGAAAATGTCTGGAAATGACTAACGGCAGGAAAGAGGGTATGTTTCGACGCACCCTGACCGGCGATGGCGACCTGAGCAGCGGCGACCAAAGCCGGGTCCTCCTCCGTGACATCGACGAAGCGAATCCCCTTCATAACGAGGATCGACTTTTCCCCCTCCGTCACCTCGATGGGTTGAGCATCGTCAGCGAGTCGTACGAGTCGTTTCTCGGGCAAGGAAGCGATGTGCTGGTCCAAGCGAGATCGAATCGAAGGCTCGATGTTCAGCGAGGCCAAGGAGAGTTCGGGCTGAGCGATCGAAGTGTCCGAGAAAGGGATCTGTTGTACCGGCGCCGAGAGGGCGACCGAGGATAAGGCCAGGAGGGCACAAGCTTGAGTGAGCGGGACGAGCATGATGGGCCAATATCAGAAGGCGGAGAGGAGTGGTGGTCGGGGATTGAGGTCAACGAGTCGAGAGTCGGGAGGCGAGCTGGTCGGTCGTCGATCGCTTATGATGAGGTCACGCGGGTGGCTTATCGCACAATGCAGCGAGCGGGGACCTGTTCCGGGATCTGCCTGTGCAAGGGGTTTTTCAGTAAGGTGTGGAAGGGATATGCAAAGCTCAGGATGTAGCAGCTCAATTGACGCACCAAGGTGTACGAGTGGTGAAAGAGGAAGAGGCGGACAGGCAAGGTTCAACCCCGAAGTAGCCATTATGGTACAGTACGGTACGCGCGTCCCTGCCCGCAGCTGGCCCGCGTGGGATCGCGTGCTTCTTTCTTGTGGCGACGAACGGCAACGACGCCGGCCGGGCCGAACGCTGTCGTTCGAAGAGGTCCGTGCGCGTTCAGGGCCAGTTGATCGCTGCCGTTCCCCGGCGCGTCAGATCGAGAAGCAGTTCGGCCTGCGTCTACACCACGCGACACGCACACCTCGAAGCACCCCTTTTTTCAGCTTGCATCGATCGTGGAAGCCAAGATGCCTTCTCTGGCCTCTCCACCCACGGAGAAAGGCGCCCTTTCTGACTCGGAGGAGCTCGTCGCCGAATCGACCTCCACATCCGTTCAGCTGGATGGGTCACCTCGCTCGACTTCACAGACGCGTGAAGCTTCAGAGGTGGGGCACCTTTGACCTTGTGACCTCATTTGACGTGTATCTGTAGCTGACCTGGCTGAAATTGCCCTCGTAGGAACGTGCCGTCGCGGGTCGACTTGGGAATGGCAAGCGAAAACTCTCCCCCATCGCGTCCACCTCGACGGCCATCACCACCGTAGTCACCGCCAATACCTCCTCAACAACCTTGAACACCTCAAGCACAGGCCATCAGATGAACTACAATGCCGTCCCAGCTCGAGGAAGACTCCCTCGCGATCCGATGATCTGCGCCGCCGCACCTCAACTCGTCCCACCCCTCACGTCGGTCCCGCTACCGACCTCGACCTTTGAATTCTTCCAAACTCGCGCGCATCCCATCAACCAACGAGGCTACAGATACGTACCCTGCGGACCTTCACCACATTCTCACCTCCCGACCCCCATCCAGAGGGTCATTGAAAGTGCACCACAGCGGGCAAGGTGGTCGTGGGAGGATCGATCGACTTTTGTCATGATCACGGAGGATGCGATGACTGTGACGGCTGAGAAGGGGTGGAGGGCAGCAAGGGCTAATGTAAGCTTGAGGGAGGGGAGTTGGTATTGGGAGTTCAAGGTTCATCGAGGTGGGGGACCCAAGGAGGTTGATGCTGCCGGCGCAAAGGAGGGTAGTTGGGTCCGACTAGGCGTGGGGAGACGAGAAGCTCCTCTCAATGCTCCTGTTGGGTTTGATGGGTGAGTGGGACTGAGCTAGTCTCCTCGACGGAATCAGAGCTGAAGTTTCGTCTCTGAAACAGCCACTCGTACGCTTACCGTGACAAAGGAGGAGAGGCCATCACCCTAGCCCGACCAGCACCCTACGGCAAACCCTTCTCCTCCGGCTCGACAATCGGTGTATACCTCTCCCTACCCCCTCAACCCGCCCCACCCGAAACAGATCGGTCCCACCCCTCCCATCTCGTGCGCAAACGCGTCCCCATCCGCTACAAAGGATCCCTCTACTTCGAACTGCTCGAATACGCCGCCTCAAAAGAAATGAGCCAACTCGCCGCCGACCCAGCCCATCTCAAACAACAAGGACCTCTCGAAGAAGAACGGAGAAAAGTGGCTCCGGGTAAACGAGCGCCACTACCGAACGAATCGGATGAACCTCTTTTACGAGAGGTGCCGGTTCTGCCAGGTGCGAAATTGGCGTTTTGGGTCGACGGGGAATGTCAAGGCGTTGCGTTCGAGGATCTGTTCGATTATGTACCGCTACCGACGCACGATGGGTTGAGGGTCCCTACGAATCGCAAGAGTGATCCGAGGTTGAACAACCATGATGATGGGACATTGGGGTACTTCCCTTTCGCTTCCGTTTTCGGTGGAGCGATCGTCGAGATCAATCCTGGTCCGGAGTTTGAGTACCCGCCTCCGGAGGATCTCGAGGAGGTTTTGAGGAAGAGTTCCAAACCGCCTCAAAGTGCGGGTGGCATGGAGGAAGGGACGAAGAAATGGCGTCCGTTGTGCGATCGGTATCCCGAGTGGCTGAGGGAGCAGGCTTGGTTGGACGATCAGGATGAGATGGAGCAGGTTAGGCAGTTTCAACAACAAATCGCGGCGAGGATCGAGGAGACCGGTCACCAGCAGCAGAGGCAGGAGGAGGCGGGGCCGGTCAAGAAGTCAAAACCGACAACTTCGGTGGCGGCGACGGTGCCGAAGGCAGAGGAGGTCAAAAAGGAAAGTCCGGAGGTGGAATCCGAAGTCCAAGCCGAAGTGGGAGAGGCCGAGGTGGGTGAAGCGGCGATTGACAAGCCACGGATAGGAGAGGCTGTCGAGGGCATGGAAATGGATACAGCTTGATGATCAGAGCCTGGAGTCAGAGGACAATCATGCATGTATTTCGATTGCATGAGCTAGGTTGTGTGTGTTTCGAGAAATCCAGAGAGGCCGGGGAGGGAATAACCCAATACGATACGGCACAAAAAGTGAAGAGGGGTTCGAAAACCAAGAGAGAAAGAGGAGTGTCTATCGCATTCACCAGCTAGTCACAAGCAGTCCGAGCGCTCAAGCTAGTGAAGCGGTCCGCGTAGTGGAGTAGGATCGTCGCCCTAAAGCTTATGACGCATCTTCTTCGCCGCGATATCGGCGAATTTTTGTTGGGGTCGACCAGAGGCGAACTGCTCGGCCGCAGCGAAGAGTTCCCGGATGTTGCTCGGGTCCGGATCGGGCAAGGTCTGCTTGATCAATTGCTTCGTCTTGAGGCAGGCATCGAGGTCCAAGGTCGCGAATTTTTCCTTGAGGTACGTCATGAGTGATTGCACGAACGCGGCGTCGGAGGATTGAGGGAAGATCTGAGTAAGGTTTTGAGGGTGAGAAGTCAGCTCTTGCCGAGGACGACTGATCTGCCTGTGAAACATACCTTGTTGAAGAAGCCATTCTGGAATTTACATGGTCGCGTTGTTAGTACAGGAAGTGTTCGTACTCCAATTCCGCCATCGCATGAAACCCACCTGTTGAAGCTCCGAAGCGCCGAGCTTCTTGCCGAGAATGAGAGCCTCACTTTAGAAAGAGTCACACTCATCAGTCTTCTGGGTCACGGTGGTAAGTTAATTCCCTTATCCAACATCACTCACTTGGCTTTGACGATGCCCATACGCCTGGGGAACGACAGTGACGACCCGCCTTCGGCGACAAGTGAGAGCGCCGAAAATGGAGTCAGAATGTAGGCGTTCTCGACCTGGTCAAGAGGGAAAAAATGAGGTGATTAGTTTATGCTTGGAACGAAGGCCAAAAAAAACGAGAACTCGTGGTCGTCCAAAACACTTGGGGTGCGCTCGGCTCTGCAAAATCGCGCACCGCCCCCTGACCGTCCACGCAGCGAGTGGAGGAACAGCATCATATACGCTACACGCTCTCGAACCGACGTCACAATCATCGTACGAAGCACTTACAGCGTAAACGAAATCGAAATGCCCCAACAACGCCGCACTCAAGCCAATTGCAGGGCCATTGAGCGCGGCGACGAGAATCTTGCTATGGCGGTACAAAGCCCTAGCGAGATCGAGATTGGACTCGGTCAAGCGACGGAGGGTCGAGCCTCGTACGTCCTCTTCACCGATTTGGGCTCGGGCTTGCTTGACTGTGCAGACGAGAAGGCACGATGAGCATCAAGTTTCGGGAACTGGTGGGACCGAGCCCCCCACCCAAGACCGGAAGCGGGCAGCCGCGCTCGATTCGGACCCGGGGAGGCGCGACGAGTCGACTTACCATCAGCTCCAGCGGAGAAGAAGTCACCACGACCGGTCAAGACGGTGATGTAAACCGATGGATTCACATCGACGCTCTAAAGGATGAACACAGCGTGAATGTCAGCGCTGATCAGCCTCGGGCGCTGCAGCTTGCTGTTGCTAAAGCCGAGACGTCTCAGCTCGGCCATCGTCCACGTCGCCCCCCTCGCCCCCGCTGCGCGCTGCGGGCCGCCGGTTGCCGCGATTGCCGAGACTCCGGAGTCCTCGCTGACTGGTCGTTACGATACAAGGGATGAACAGGCATGAACAGGTTGACGGACTAACCTGGATGAGGGTACTGAGACGCTTGTAGAGTACGAGGTCGAGCGCGTTCTTCTTGGCCGGTTGGTTGAGGGTAATGATCGCGTAAGGTCCTTTGATGTCCAGTAGGATCGGTTCCGACGACGACGAGGGCCAGGTCATGGTTCTTATGATGATCCTCGCGGCAGGGGGGACCTTCTAGGTGGGGCTAAAGGCTACAGGGAGAGACGAGGTGCGAGGGAGTCTCGAGTGAGAGATCAAGTCAGGATCGTGAAGAAACGGAAGTGGGTCGGGGTGATGGCAACTCGAGATGGAATGGGACCAGCTGAGGGACTTGGGATCGGTAAAGAGGCCCTGCGCGAGCTAGCGCGAGCTGGGCTCAAGTTGCCAAGTCGCGTGAGCCTGCGTGAGCCTGCGTGAGCAGGCGTCAGCGCCTCATTGATCGGGCCGCGCGCCAACACCGCCTCGAAAGTAATACCGCGGCGGCGGGCGAGGGCCCGGCACCGTCAACTTGGCAATCGAGGTTGATCACCGTATTTCTTAGGAGTTCGTGTCACTGTATCCAGCTCTCGTGCCGAATTCACTGCTCCTCACCAAATAAATGGCTTGTGTGCGACGTGCCGCGGCGATGGCCCGGGTCACCGACAGGCCGATCGAGGAGCCGATGACATCACGGTGTTCGACATGGGACATGGCACGGCGACCCAAGTCCAGATCAAAGCCAACAAATATTACACTTCAGGAAACGCAATGGCTTCTAGCCATAAATCTCTGTAGCCATCTCCAAAGGACCGCAAAAATGATCATGTAAAAGGTTTTCTCTGGAAGTTGTTGCTGCGCTCGATCTCGGCTTCGACATACCAGATTACATTGCATCGATCGATCAATCTCAAGAAAAAGAACAGGATATGAGTATATAGTCTTGCCATGAGCAACTCCCCCTCCTCTCTACCTCCTTCGCCGATTCCAAAACGACAAAGCCGCCAAGGCGATCGCCGCTCCCGCCGCTCCACCCGCAACAGTCAACCTCCCACTCCCGTTATGCATCGTCGAAACGCCCAGCAAACCACCCCATTTCGATCCTTTTCCATCCGCACCGGCACCCCCTTCGAGCGCAGAGAGTCGATTCGTTAAGGTCTTGAGTTGGTCGACGAGAGTTGAGATTTCACGTGTCGCGACCGGGGATAAGTCATCGTTTTCGTCGTCGGTGAACTCGTCAACGTCTTCATCAACATCGTCATCAGCCTCTGTGCTAGCTCCAGCAGGTGCTGATCCAGAGTCGGGTTTGCTATCGTCGGCGGAGCCAAGGAGAGGGGGTAACCATTCGTCGCCTTCGAGAGCGAAGCGAGACTTGGACAGGTCAAATTCGGCTGCGGTCCGGCCCATGCGTTGCAGAGACTTGGGGAGCATGGTCTGGGTGACGGTGCGAAGAACGGCAGAGGGAATCCAAGCTGTGCATCGTACAAGAGCGAGAGGTGAGATTCCGAAAGTTCTTCGCCTACGGGCACCACAAAGGGAATGAAACTCACATCCAAGACCCGAAAGATCGGTCAGTTGGGTGATCTGACTTCCGCCCTCTCCAAAGTCTTCGATCAAGAAACCAGAAATGCCAAGCTTCATGCGGTTGTACTCGGGTTTGGGTGGGCACTTGGGGTGATCGAAGGACGTCGTCGAGCACGTGATGCGCACTTTGCCATCGGCTTCTGCAGGGAGCCGGTTGACGACCGACACGACGCACAAGTCCTGTAGTATGACGAAGACAAAGCTTGTGAGCTACATAACTTAGTTTCGCACGACAAGGGCCATTGCGCACCTTGGCTTTGATCATGGCCATTCCCTTCATGGCGATCCACGAGCAACTACCCCTCCTACCTCCCAGTTCGACCATCTCAATCTCGCCGACATCAGCACACATCCCATCCCATTCCTTGCGCTTCTGCACGTCGATCAACGTTTCGTATAGCTTGCGTAGAGGCACGTCGGGGAACTTGGCTTGGATCGCGAACAAGGATTTCATCTTGGGGTGGCACGAGACCTGCAACGCGTCGTCCTTGTACATCGAGTCCCATTGTTCCAAGGGCATAGCGGGCAGCGGTGGGGGTGTTTCTGGGTCGGGTAGAAGTTTGAGGTAGCGAGGTTCGGTCGAGGCGATAAAGTTGGTCACGATTTGATCGAGCCAGGCGGTTCGGTACAATCCCGTATCAGCGGGAGCTGCGGCGGCCGCTTTTGAGGAGACTTTTCTGGATCGACGTTTTTTCTGGGTCTTGAGTTTGGTGCCTTGCTCAGTTTGCACTTGTTGCACTTGGCGGGAATCGGTCTTGGCTTCGGAGCTGAATGAGTTGGCGAGCGAGGAACCCAAGGGGATAAGGTTGAGCACGGTCTTGAGCACGAGTAGCATGACGACCTGGATCAAGCCGAGGTGGAGGTTGTCGAGTCCGAGTCTGCCTGTAGGTCGTGAGACATGCCAAAGGTCAGCTACGTTGGTTCGGGAAGCGGAGACCGAGGCCGTGTGGAGTTGCTCAGGGACTGACCACGCGACTGGAGCAAGAGGTACAGCGGCGACAGCGACAGCACGAGCGCGAGCACCGACCTGCTACCTTCCTGTACGGCCAATGAATCGGATCGTTGCATCGTCGCCATGTTGAGGAGATGCTACCTTGCTGCTGGTCGACGAGCGGGTCAGGCTAAGCCGAGCGAGAGCGGCGGTCGGAGACTTGGAGGATGACGTCGAGTTGCACAAGAGTGCACAAGTGGCAAGGTGGCTGTGCGCGTCGTCAACCGAGTCTCCTGAGTTCCTAGTCGATGAAAGTGTTTGTCGAAAGCAGTCGGTCTTACTTCGGGAAAGTCAACCCCGGTCGTAGCGAGGTGATGAAGTGAGAAAGCAGATAGCGAAATAGCGCCAGAAGGGGAAGTCGTGTGAGGTCGCCGTCTCGCCGGTGCCCGAGAGCGAGGAGCAGCAGGGAGCAGCGTGAAGAAGCGCGTGTCGATCATCATCCCGGCTCGATACAACTCCGAGCCGAGCGTTTGGGGGCAAGACACCTGCACGATGCGGTCGCTCATTTAGCTCTGTTCACTACTTGCCTGATGGTAGATGATTTTGAGTCCATCAAGATTAGCGAGCCTGCAACAGATTTCAAATGCCGTGACTCGGGGATCGGGCGTAGTTGGTCGTTTTAGCAAACTGCAGAAGTCAATTGACATGACAAATCCGTGCGAGCAAGGTGGTAATACAGAGTGATGCTAGACCACAAGACAGAAACGTGAAGAGAAATGCAATAGAATGAACCCGACAGCTCCGAAGCTCGACATCATGTCCCGAATTCAGTTCAACCGAGCGCCTGATCGGGTAGCCTTTCGATCGCGTATCGCTTCTTGGCAATGTACATCAACTGTCAAGAGAACAGTATTCGGGGTCAGATTCAAATACGATGGAATCAAAACTCCTGGAGCGAGGCCAAACCGCACCGGAACACCAGGGATCTTGCGTATCCGCCTGCGCAAAGCTCGATCACACGTCGCGACGATGTAGCAACGGTGCGAAGTGACTCGGTTCACAATGCAGTCATCGGCATAGGTCCCCTTGTGCGAGCAGGGTAATCGTTCGAAGCGAGGGTCTCGGGCGACTCTGCGAGGGGGAGGACCGTGGATTAGGAGCAAGGCTTTGCCGATCGTCAGCGCTGTCATCGCTTCGTTCCGAGGCCTAGGGTAGTTCATGGAACTGACCGTAATGCCAAGCGGTATTGCTGTCCCAGTTTCTCCAACTCCGCAAGTACGCAATCCGAGATGCAAGGAATTGCTTTGGCGTAGAGGGTGTCCATCATCGCCTTGACGAGGTCGATGCGGTTCTCTAACGACAAATTGATGAAATTGGTATCGACCAAGACTCGGTAGGGTGGGACGAGGGCCTCGTTGTGCGACAAGAATAATGAAGTGGGTAGAGGTGCGCTGTAGATGATGGTCACACGGTGGTAGAGCCCAGCCGTCAGCTTGGACTCCTTGCTCAGGTCGGGCGAGAATGACGACCCAGGTTGGTCTCGACGACTCGAGGCACGAGTTACCACTCACACATGGTTGACCTCCTTCTCCTTCTTCTTCTCCTGGTCCTTGACGGCCTTCTCTTGGTTGGCCTTGAGGCGCATGTCCGTCGGCGCGATCATACGCTTGACCGCACCGAACTTGCGCACCTTCTTGGCCCCCGACTTGCCCATGGTAGAGTATGACTTGACGGGTTGGGTAGAGCTATTCCTTTCGTAACGTTGTTCGATCGAGCGGAGCGAAGAGGTTCGAAACGGGGCCGGGGCGAGGTCAAGCTCGGTTGTGGCGCGGAGACAGAGCTTCAGGGCCGTGCTCGATCGCACCCGGTTGCGAAGCTCATGCGCGCCGAAGCAGCTGCCGAAGCAACCCGAGCGAGCCCGAGCGGAAGCGCATGATGATGGGCACAGGCTTTGAAGCGGTCGGATCAGAGGGTTCTCGTATATCGTATACTGGCAATTCCGTTTTTCTATTTTGATTTTTCAACCTAAGTACGACGCGAGACTGTTGATGCGGGTCACCTCACAGCTTCCCACTGCTAATCGATCCCGTGCCGGACTCGGCTCCAACTTTTGACATCGCGCCCGTCCCCCAGTGCGCAGTCGGATTGCAACTGCCTCGAGGTATCACGAGCTCACGGCAACTTTTCGTAGCACGAGTTTTGCTTCAAAAAGCGTCAGTTGCCTTTTGAATGAATCTGAGACCTCCCGCTAGATGAAAGCAAGATATAGTTCGGAAATAGGAGTCGTGCACGGACCCGCCCGTTGGACGCGCCCGATCGAGAGCTTCTCGCCGAAAGAGCCATCGGTCCTAACTAGCGCGCCTCGCCTTCGGGTGTCAGCTTTCTTCCGTCATCTTACGGCTCACGTCACGTTCATTTGGACAGCTCTACGGTTGGAGATCGGCAACATGTTGCGGGACCTTGAACTGTGTATGATCGATCCGAGACGGTTGGAGGATGATCAACTTATCGCATTGCGTCAGTCCCCGGTTCTCCGCCGCTCACACTTCTTCGACAGGTGCCGACACACCACTCCGCGCCGGACAGCTTGCACCTTCCAAGCCAGTTTCACTTACCTCCTCTTGCTCCCACCTCTGCACCCTCACCTGACCAGACGGCATCCAACTCCCCGCCCACCCGAATCGCGCCCCACAATACACCTGTCGAGCACAATGTCCGCGACGCTCACCGATGACGCGCACGAAGGCCTTGATCCACTTTAGAACCGATCGCCATTGGACGTATTGGCAAGGACATGTTCGGATGGAGGCTAAAGTGGGGAGATTCAACAAGGGGCATTCGGACTCGAAGTCGCGTCCAACTCTCAAAGGTCAGGAACCGAAGGCCGGGAGTCGAGCCGGGGTCGTCAAGGGGTCCATTTCTACTAAACGCTCCAAGGCCTCAACGTCGACGGCGCGGGGCGATGATCTCGGACATGGACAAGGGAGGAGAGCGAGTCTTCCCGTTGTATGCGACACTTCGTCCCCGTACAATGCAAGTGACACCTCCTTCTACGATCAAGGCATTATTTCCTCACCTCTTGCTGAAGCAGGGCCCTCGCTTCGGGATCCAACCGGCTCGGCCTTTACCATACCGAACCCCAACCTCGCTGCACGGCATCCACTGTGTCCACCAGCTTTGTCTATCGATGATGAAGACGACGAAGATGAAGACGAATGCGAATGTTCAGATCTTGGCGAAGGTCCTACCCCCCCCAAAACCCTCGCAGCAACCGAAGCCTACCGCCATTGGGCCGTCGTTTTAGGTCTCGGATCTCATCCATTCCCACTCGATTCCTGGGTCGGGCCTCCCAGGGGTGCGTCGGGTGGACGCGAGCTGTTCCAGAGCTGGGGATGGAACGTTGAGGAGCTGGATGCCGTCAAAGAAAGGAGGAGGAGAGAAAAGAAGGGTGAGAGCACTTTCAAGGCGGTTGGGCCAAGACGACCGCTCGAAGTCATCCCTGAAGGGCACACGATCGGGGAAGGCGATAGGGCGTTCAAGAGATCTCGAGGGAGATTCAAGAAACAGTCCAACAACAGAAGTACAGCGTCGACACCTTCAAACCGACAAAGTCTTCAGACGAATCCTGAACGGCGAGCATCGTGGGGTCGGAATGCTTCTGAGTCGGGGTACGACTCGGAGAGTAATCTTGAGAACGAGGACTACACGCGGACGCCTATCCCCGCACAGTTGAATAGCAAGCTTCAAATCTCTCCTGAGGTGGTGCATGGTGCATTGATGGGTCTGGTGATGATGTCGAGGCGTTGAGTGATAGTTTCTGCAAGGTGCGAGTTGCATATCGAGGCGTTGACGTTTCGCACGAGGTTTAGCAGTCATAGTATCTTACAGAAATCTTAAATGATCACACCACCTCGTTGAAAGCATTGCGTTGTTGCTGGGCTCACGGAGACATAGTCTTTGATACGACGGAGCCGGAGAAGGATGCCAGTTGTTCGCTGGGCAATCGCCGGCGATATTCGAAAGAGCACGTTGAAAGAACGAGAAGTGCGGATCATTACACCAAACGCAAGGGACTACCAGAGTAACAACAACTACACCAAGAAGATGAGACAAAGCAGTAAGAACATGGAAACTATGCAAATATGAGCTGATGAAAGGATTGACCGATTGAGGTCGGGAACCAATTAAAGTATGCTGATGATATCACTCGTCCTCTTCTTCCTCGACGACATCTTCCATGGTAGGCTTCTTCCTCGGACCTAGGCTTGCATCAGCATCATCGACTTCGACTTCGATCGCTCGGATAGTAGGGAGGTCTGATGGTGCGGAGGGGCTGACGTCACCTACGGGAGGGAGGCCCGAATCCTGCGAGAGGGGGGAGGAGGGATTTCCACCTCCTTCGTCACCGTCACCGGAGCTGGTACGTTGGATGTTACGGCGGCCTTCGCGAGCACGTGTGCGTTGCCGGGGTGTGTTGGATGATGAGGTAGGTGGTGTGACGAACTAAAGACGAAAAAGTTAGACGAGTCAGTTCGCTGGAACGCATTAATACGCCGGCCTCGATGCAAACTCACCCCATCCCCTGTCAAAGAAGCCAACAGTGACCGAGCAGCGCCCGCTAGATCCTCCGTTTTGGTAGCAGGATTGGCAGGCGGTGCCAGCTCATCCGCTTCGTCGTCATCGCCTTGAGAGATGCGCGGCGACTTGAACACTGACGATCCGTTGCGACGACGATCGCGGCGGACGGTTCGAGGCGAGTCGGCAAGCGACCTCTCTCGGAGACTGCGCATGATGTCGTCCACGAGCGTGTCACCTTCGGCAGCTGCTGCTGCTGCTGCGGCGGCGGCAGCCTCTTTTCGGGCCTGTAATCGGGTTTACCCGTCAATCAGTACATGCCCTGATACGAGGGTTGCGGCCATCACTTACCTTGGCTTCCGCCGCCTTGACCGCACGCTCCGCGGAGAGTCGATTGTCTTCTCGCGCACGCTGCAACAGAAACCCTCGAGACAAAGTCAGCCCAGCCCCGAGCGTACGTTCGGATACGTTTTTCGACGCACCTTGTAGGACAACACGAACGTCTTGAAGATACCAAAGAATTCCTCGGTCGAAGTAATCGTCTTGGTATCCTCGTTGTAGAACTTGAGCGCTTCTTGGTACGTGTTCTGAGCCAGGGTGACCAGATCAGTCAAAGCGAGGATACGCTCGCCGGCATCGCGAGAGAAGCGGAACATCTTTTTCGGGAATCCGTCATCCTTGTCGAGGTCGGAGACATCCTCAAAGTCTTTGAGAAGCTCGACGAGCGCAGCTTGGTCTTGGTGAAACTTGGCGAGGGCGGTGCGGACACTGGACAAATCGGCTGAGGAGACGAGGTGATGTCTTAGTGCAGTGTCCTGATCGAAGGTGAAGATCAGATCAGAATTTGACTCACTCTTATAAGCGTCGGCAGGCTTGGCTAGTTCCTCCAGGAACGCCTCGGTCGACGGGACAACGCGCGCGACTGTCTTTGCGACCTGATGCAGAAGCGTTCGGTCCGTCGATTGCCCTTTCGTGTCAACGAGCTTGTTGATGGACGAGATGCGGAAACCGTGCGCTCCACCCTTGTGGCCCCCGCCGTTGAGATGGTTACCGAGAATACGGATGAGCTACGGGAAAGAGAATGAAGTGTGAGTGACCCGGTTAGATGAAGCCAGTCATAGAGAGCTAGGGTGAGTCTCACTTCTAGCAAATCAAAGAACCGAGGAGCGTTCAAGAGGGTCTTGGCCGCTTCATACACGCGCAACGCCTCTTCCTCATGCTTGGCCATACTTTCCAGGAACTGCTCGCGATAGATCATCGCCTTGATCCTGCCCTTGATACGATGCATCTTGAGGCATTCGATGAGGAAGCGATCGGCTGGGTCGAGCATGTCGAGCTCGAGTGGTGGTGTCGTCTTGTGTGGGATGAGTGAAGCTTCTTGCTCGGCATTGGGGAATAGGGCTTGGAACTCGCTCAACATGCCTTCTTTGAGATCGTCATCGTAGCGAAGGATACGGAGCGCAGCAGCCTTGATTGACGGCCAGGGATTTTCGCCTGGAGCAGCTGGCTTGAGCAAGGAGATGTCTGCAGAACGAAAAGAGTCGACATCATCAGCTCCGTCATAGTCTGAGATAGACAGAACGGTGAGTGCACGTACAGATTCGTTGCCTCTGTTGAGGCTGCAGGACCGTCATCAAATCCCTCTTCTCGCGCTTCGTCACATCCCGTACCATCTGCTTGGCCCGGAAATCGTCCTCGATCTCATGGAAGATACCCTCGGACTTGAGCTTGGCAGCAAGGGACACAACATCAAGGTTCATCTTGTCCCACACCGTCGAGGTGATCGAGTTCGCGGGTACCTTGTCCCATTGGAACGTCTTGAGCTTGCGCTGCGGTGGATCGACGCCGGGAAGGCCCGCGACTCGAGGGGTTGCGGCAGCACCGGGTGCCATGGGTGCACGGGATGCGCCAGGTGCTGGGGAAGCGCGAGGCGCACCTGGAGGTGGTGGAGGAGCGGGCGGAGTAGGAGCTGGCGGCAAACCTGCGGCGACAGACCGTGGACTCGAGCCCGTGTCGGATCCCCCTTTCTTGAGGCCCGATTTGGCGGCGAGAACCTCGCTCAGTGTCGCGGGCGCGCCGGTCTTGACGCCGAAGCGAACTTTGGGAGCTGGAGGTGCTGGAGGCGGCGGCGGTGGTGGCATAGCGCCTGTTCCGCCGGCGACTGCGGTAGACGGTGGTGGAGGTGGAGGGGGCGGTGGCGGAGGCGGTGGCGGAGGTGGCGGAGGCGGAGGAGGAGGGGGTGGAGGTGGGGCCGAAGTCGAAGCAGACTTCGCTGGCGAAGACTTTGCTTGCGGAGCGGAAGGTGGCACAGGCTGGAACAAATCTGAAAGTACGACGGTGGGCGTACTCGTCGGTTCCTTGAGAGTTCTTGGGGCTGCTGGCGTGGGCGACTCGAGTAGTGGGGATTCGGAAGTGAAGATTCCAGCAGGGATTCGCGTCGGCGGCGTGCGCAGACTTTGACCTGGAATGGGTGAGCTCGTCGCGGGGATGAGCGGGGTCGAAGGCGCAGTTTCGAAAGCAAAGCGGAACGAGTCGTGGTCCTCCGCCGATCCTGTATCACTATCGAACGCGAGCGCTGGGAGGAAATCGAAACCCTTGCTCGTCGAAGAGGAGATGGACGAAATGCCGGCACGCCTCGAAGGGGATGCCAACGATTGGCGAGCGAGCACTTCCATTTCTCCTTCCTGTTCTTCCTCGTCTTCGAGTTCTTCGACCCTGGTCGTGGCATCTGCGTCGAACGTGGTAAGTAGAGCAACACCTTCGATCCGGCTTGCTCCGGTTGGCGACGTTACAACCTCATTGTCGGACTCGGATAAAGCCATGCTTGATCTCGGTGTGGCCGAGCGTGTCCCCGGTACCGAGCTGGAATACTCCGAGTCGGTCAGGTCGCCGCCTCGAGACGGGGACATTTGGTGGTGGACCTGCCGCAATTGCTCGGCGAGTGTCGGTGCTGGCAAGTGGGCATCGCGTGAGATGGGCAAGGCTCGCAGTACTGAAGCGAGGTTCTTGGTCGGGGTGCTCTCGGGCGTCAGTGGGCGTGAGACGAGTGACCGGCGCGACGCTTGTGGTGTCGAATCCGTCTCGGGAATGTTCAAGGGGAGTGCCGGGTTCGGCCGTGAGGCAGGTGAGGCTCCGACCACAAGTGGAGACATGGACGGGAAGGTGCTGAAAGTCGGGGACCAATCCTCGACGATCTGAGCAGGGTCAAGAAACTCCACGGCAATCAGCTACAGCACAGCATCCTCGACCAATAACGAAATATAACTCACAGGTGCCTCGGATATCGTCTCATGCCGCCTCCTAGCCATCGTCGAGCCAAGCACGGTCGGTCCCGGCCGACTGGTCGGTCTCTTCTGACTCTCCGGTGAACTATCCCCTTTACTCCCTTCGAGGATCTGCACCGTCTTGCTCCTCTGTATCTGCTTCTCCATCCTGTCCTTGAGCTCATCCGCAAGATCCTCAATCAAGCCCGCCTTTTGCAATCGCTCAAACATGACCCGGTTGTCCAAGCGCAATCCAGCAATCTGCCCCTGGTAATCACGTTCCTTGATCGCGCCTTCGGTCTTGGTCGAATCCGTCGCTGCTCGGGAAGTAGCCAGCGCACGCTCGAGCGTCGCGATGCGGGTCTTGAGTTCCCCGACTGCGCCTTGGGCACCTTGGTCAATCTCGGATTGCAGCTCCTCGCGATCGCGCTTCATCTTCTCGATCGTAGCTTGAGCGTCCGCCAGATCGTCGAGTGCATCCGCGAGTTTCTCCTGACTACCGAAATGAGCCACCATCGAAGCGACGCTCGAGCCCAACAGGGCCGAGAAATCACCGTCCAAACCCTTCTGGTCCGTGACGATGCTGGCGACGAGTCGATCGATGAGCTGAAAGTACCGCAGCCGCAACTCTGGTTCAGAAGGGATGAGCAAAACATGCTTGAGCGCTGAATGCCAAAAGTCCAACGCCCGTCCCTCGGTATTCTCCATGATCGCGTCGAAGCATCCCCTAGGGTCCGAAAAATTCATGCGCACTTCCTCCTTCATCAGATCGGCGAGTTCGAGTTCGTCGTTGTGCGCGTCCTCGTAGTGGTTGATGATGAGGCGATGAAGGTTCGCATGGTCCAAGACGCGGTGCTTGTCGAGGATCCGTTTAAGGCCCGAGGTTTCCATCTCGGCGCGGAGGTGCAGCCGGACTTTGAGGTCGCGGTCGTGCAGCAACTCCTTCATGAGCAGCATATTCGAGATCTGCACGAGCCCAGCCCGGCCAAGTCAGTCCCTCTCCATCGCCGAATCTGCATTACCCGATAGGCAACTGACCGCAAATTCACTCAACCCCGAATCCTTGATATCCAGACCCGCACTATTCAACTCCCTATATCCATTGGCCACCAAACCTTTCTGCATCTCCTTTGCCCCACCACTTCTCAAACTCAAAACAGCTTCACTCGCCCCGACCGAACTTCCGAATCGACCTCGTCCATCAATCGCAGCTTCCCAAAAGTAGAACCACGCGTCAAACCGGCCCGGCAATCTCCTCGAAGTCGAAAAGTCGTTCAGGCCCTTCAAAACAAGGTTCCAGCCCCGATTCCGGTCACGAATGATGAAAAAGGTCAAGAGCTCGATAACGGCTTTCCGAGTCGAGATCTCGGAGGCCAAGGAAGCGGTGATGGGTGAGATGGAGGAGTTGTTGTCGATCGCGTCGCGGGCGCCGTCGGTATGGTTGAAGAGCGTTCGTAGGCATTTGATGAGCTCGGCTTCCATTGCTGGGTTGGGCTTGCGCGTCGGATCCGGTCGGTTGAGCATATGTAACGCATTGCCGAGTACGGCCTGACCTTTCAGAGCAATGAACTGTTGCAACCAGCTGCAGAGACGAATAGTAGGCTTGAGTTAGCACATGCATTCAACGTTCGGCCCAGTAAGAAGTGGCGCACCTCAGTTCATAGGTCCGCAAACAAACACTCAAACTCGCCACCTGGCTCTGCTCAATCGTGCCGTCCATGAACTTGGCAATGTACGCCTCAGGGCTTTCGTTCTTCCCCCAAGCCTTGACAGTTCTCGTCCCGCCATTCTGCGCTCCCCCATTCGCCGCCGCCGCCGCCCCACCTGAAACATCCGTCAAGGTCCCCGAAATGGGATTTCCATTCGACGAGGCCGTGCTCGACAGACTCCTCGCGTCGACTTGTCGTTTCGTGATCTTTTCCCTCGCATTCTTCCAGTTCCTATACGCGTCACTTTTGAGCATGATCCACTTTTTGTCTACGTCGAGAGCCCTGAGATCGGCTTGCGCTTTCGAGGTCGTCGCGACGCGGGGTAAGAGTCCTTCAAAGAGCTCGTCGATCTCGGAAGGGGACGAAGGTCGCTGGAGTTCGAACTCGGAGGAGTAAGGTGAAGGACCGGTATAGCCTTGGTTCAGCGATACGGAGCCTCGAGAGAGCGTCGAAAAGGCCGATGCCCTCCGGGGGGGTTTGTTCGTCGGCGAAGGCAAAGCCGCTAGGGAGGAAGCGACCGAAACGGCATGTTCGCCCTTGACACCTGATCGACTGGTCGAAGCCAACGAAGGAGCGTAGGACGAGTGACTGCCCGTCGAATTGGAAAAGGTCGACACCATCGAAGCCGTTGGCCGAATTGCTTCACCTCGATAGCCCGTGTTCGAAGATGTTGTCGAGAAGCGCGACGAGCCAGCAAATTTGTTAGCGCCTGAGGACGACGATGAGGTTTTGGTTGACGGATTTTGAGTTTCGCGTTCCCTCTCGAAGGAAGACCCATGCGAATCTTCGGCTACGGATGAGTGGCGATCATAGTCGAACGAGGACGCGGGGTCGGACGCGGGTAGCGAGTCGACCCTTTGCTTGCCGACGACTCTGACGGATCGGATCGACTGGTCGTCGTAGCCATCCCCGGGCGGCGAGTAAGACTGTGACGTGGACTTGGACTTGGCCGCGCCATTGGGATTCCGGGAGGATGAAGTACTGGGTACGACCTGGGATATGAGGTTGACAGGAAGGGATATCGCCGTTGGTCGCGACGAGTAATAAGGCCCCCCTGAGGACGAGGCCGCGGTCGACGACGAGCTGGACGAGGCCTGTCTTGCCATGAGCGTCGACGTCGATTCACCACTGCTTGAGACGGTGCCTAGATTGTTGAGGGCCGCAGTCAAGCGATCACGATCGTGTTTGCTCGACGAGGAGATGTTGCTGGTCGTTGGATTGAACGGGTACTGAGAGGGGTGTATGCACGTGTCCTGATCGTCGTGGTCGTGGTTTCGGTTCGGGTGTGGTGATGAGGTTGGCAGGCTATCGAAGTGTGTCGTCGCAGAGCGGGGCGAGTCGAGCGAAGACTGCTTGGCATAGTACTGTTGATGAGCGACCAGATCTGCGGTTTGGATCGACAGCGAAGGCGAGTGAATCGACGATGACCACGACGCCGACGACTGGGACGACAACGACGCCGACGACGAGGGGTCAAGGCTGGCGCCGCTGCTGCTGGTCGTGCTCGCGGTCGCGGTCGTCGCGGTCGATCCACGCGCCGCGGCCTTCTTGGTCTTCTTCCACAGCCCGTCCAGTTTGCACTCGGGGGTACCACCACCAATCGGGGGGCGGAAGAGAGTTGCGGTGGCTTATCACCGGCGTAGGCGGTCCGAATCGGTCGGGAGCGAGGAGGCGGACGGCACGAGAGAGGCGTGGCGCGCGAGGTGGCTCGAGAGCCGACGCGTCGAGCAGCGTCGAGCGGGCACGTGATACCGGTCTACCGCGCGGGGTCGCAGAAGTCGACCGACGGCGGTTCCTTCCCTCCCAGGCTCCCATGAGCTATGTCAACAAAACGCGGAACTTTCACGGGGTCGATATTCTTGTGTAAGAACGCCCGTTATACCAGTCAAACACATGACATCGATTCGGACGAAACGAGCGCATTTTATCCATGGCGCACGCACCCTCGGATCATCTGACACGAGCACGGGCCGTATCCGACGCAAGGGCTAGGGCCATCTACAACATCACACTTCTACCAGATCGAGTCGCAAGGATCCGATTTTTTCCCTGTAACCCCCGAGTCGTACGGGATCGGCATCTCATGCGCACTTGTTGAAGATCCTTTCCGATAGGTTGATTTTTCATAGAACCTCGCGTCCAAAGAGAGGTGTACAGAGGAACATGGTCTCGTTACAATCGATGCGGCAGCCGCAACTACCTCTTCCTCTTCTCCAAAGCCGCCTCCCGCTCCCTCGCCTGCTTGACGATGCCACTGACCCCGACCAGTCTGTTAACAACAAAACAAACAAAAAACGTGGCAGAAAGTTTTCAGGCGTCAGCTCTACCATAGCATCCTTGGCCAGCGCTGAACTCGTGGGTAACACGCACCGATCGGGTTGTTCCCTGACAAAGTACATCTTGGCCCTCCTGCTCGCCCTCAGTACAGGCTTCCTCCTATCGCCACTCTTTTTGCCCGATCCCGTCGCCGCGACACTCTTGGTCGCACGTTGTACGATCTTGATCTCCTTGATCATGGGGGAAAACACCTTGAAGCTCTGTTCGACGCCGGTACGGCCGACCAAGTTGCGCAACCGGATCGACGTATCCCTCCCTGCGTGTCGTCGCCTCATCGCCATCAACACACCACTGAAGGTCGTTGTTGAGGGCTGCGGGTTCGCGGTGGTGGGTAAGGCGGTGTAGGAGATGACGGTCAGGACGGAACCGGACTGGACCCGGGTTGGATGGCGCCGGGAGAAGAGCGCGGTGTATTCGGTCGCCAAGGGGTGTTGCGACGTGAGGTGTAGGTTCAACGTGCGCAAGAGGGATGTCTTGGGGTGCGTTGGGGGTGGTGATGGCGGTAAGACTTGAACAGCTGATGCAAAGGGGTAACTGAGAGGGGTCGAGGACGAGCAAGGTCGACTCGAGGAGAAAAGTCGCTGTTGTGACCGATGCACGGGGATCACGAGTTGGGCTGTTGATGCATGCCTCGGCCGTGTCGTCAGTGCTGTGCGTATCCGATTCGAGAGCGAGGCCATGGTGGGAGTAAGGGCTACGGAGGTGTTTGGGGCGGGATCCAAAAGATGTGCGAAGGAGCGCTGGTGCTCGTTCCTCATTGAATTGACCTCATTGCCCCCGCCTTTCGGGGGTACTAAATGCGCCAGCGCCGGTAATAGAATACGGTATAATTGGCCGGTTAATAATGGCCCGTGCCCGTTCGATTCTGTCGCGCTCTGTCGCGCTCGTACGCGTGACGTCTGGCCCGAACCTGCTCCCAGCTCGATCGCCTGTGGCCCTCTTCAAGTTGTGGTCCCGTGTACACTCTACCTGGGCTTGTATCAAAAGCCATCCGCGCCCATCACCTCGTACGTCCATCCTGATCGGGTTCGGTCGCGTCGACTGCACTAGTTGCCCGACCGGGGCCATCACACAGAACCACACACTGGCACGCGGAACCACACACGGCGCTGACTTGACGGGCCTCCTCTCGTGCCGTTGCTCTCTCCTCTCTCCCTCCTGTTTGCCTGCGCTCTTTTGCGTTTGCGCCCTCGTCCACCTTTGTCCTTTCCGGGGTGCACGTTACACGTTTGCCGTTTCTGTGCCAGCAGCCAAGGCTGTCCCGCATCCCTGAACCCCGGCGCTACATTTCTCCCCCACCGTCGATGCACCTCACTCGCTAAGGAGCGGTCCTCTCCACCACCACCACCCACCGGCAGGCAGGCATGCTACCCACCGCTGCGAGCTTTGTCCCTTCGACTCGCACCGCCGCATCGTCAACCAGCTTCGACCACGCTCTGGGCTCCACTCACCACCGCAACGGCAGCAGCAACGGGCTCTTTGGCGACTCGTCCCTGCTGTCGTCGTCTTCGGCGTCGTCCTCGCCCTCATCCTCGTCGCGCCTCGACTCGCTTAGCTCCTCTCCCGTAAACCAATTCCACCACGGCGCGAATACGAACGGCAGCGGTCACTTTGACCAAGGCGTACGTCCCTACTACCCCTCGACGGACTACAATCACTCGCTTATAGACTCCTTGGGCCTCTCCGTCGATTCGATGCCACGCACTTCCTCACCGCAGCGCGACCCGTCCGTCACCCCCACCTCGTCGGCCTTCAGCGCATCGTCGGCGACCGGACCCATGTGGGACGCCGCTCCTTCCTCGACGGGTCCATCAAGGCCGACACCGATCGGTTCGGGGCGTTCGACCGCCGCCGTGTCAGGATCCAACCATGCGGGTCCACTTTCATCGAGCGTCGGAGCGATCGGTGATCGTCGTCGACTCGTCAGTGGCACCATCGCCACCCCCGAAAAGAGGATGGTAGACGCCATCAACGGTCTCGCAGGCGTTTTCGACATCAACCGCTCCTCAGGCGCAACTTCGCCCCTGCAAGGTCTTGGTTCAGGCAGTCGGGCACTCACACCTTCGCCTTCCGACGGCGACGCGTCGCTTTCGTTGCGGCCAGGTTCGAGTTCAGGGGCGGTTGGAAGTGCACCCAAGAGCCGACCTTCGTCGTTCATACTCGGTGTGCTACCTTCAAGAACCGATGATCGTAACCGTTCGGCGTCCGAACGCTCCAACTCGTCCCCGCTGGCCTCGCCAGCTCATGAAAAACTGAGCTTTGACCTCGACTTTTCCAACTCGTCTATCGTGCTGGGCAGCTCGCCTTCAACGTCGAGTACGTCGCTCATCGCGCCGGGTGCAGTTGAAGCGACGCCTCGAGCCCCGACACCCGTGCGAAGCCCTTCACCGGGCGTGCGTCGCAGACCCCTGTTCGGTGGCGGTGGGGACGAGCAGCAACAGACCGTCGAGGCGCGTGTACACTCGCTCGAGGCGACCGTCTACGATTTGGCCTCGTTCGTTCATGGCGAGATGCGATCTATGCGAGACGAGATCAACTCCCTTCGCACCCTCGTGCAACAGCTGGCCAACTCGGCCGGCGGTGGTGGCAACTCGGGCCTCTACATGAACTCGCTCCCTCGAGCTGGGGGTCCAGGTCAACACCTTGGGCTTTCGAGAACCAAAGACCTGTTCGAATCGCCACTCTTGACCGTGCGATCACCCTCCCCTCCTCTACAGCCCGCGCCAGGCTCACGACCCGGTCTCGTTCGTTCGGCGTCGGGCTCGATTCTCGAAGGCCTTGGTGGAGGCTTTGCGCCAGGAGCTTCGTCGCCTGCTCTTTCGTCGTCGGGCAAGTTCGGCTCTTCCGAACAGGACGGAATGGCGGACAAGGACGAGCAGATCGCCGCTCTGTCACAGCAGGTCAGCGCCTTGGCTTCGTCGGTTGCACACCTCATGAGCTCGGCCGCTGCTCCTCAAGGTTCTCCGATGCTCGGTCCCGGTGGAATCGGATCCCCGGTCATCAATCGAGGTGGGCATCAGACAGGTCCGACGGGCCTTGGTGTATCGCTGTCGAACAGTTCTGCTGCCGTCGGGCGATCACCGCTCATGAGACCCCTAGGCGCCAACGGTGCTCCACAATCAGGGTTGAACCGCACCTCGTCCTTGAGCAAGTCCTTTGTTGGATCGAGATCACCCAGCCGACCCAACACGGCACCTGGAAGTGACTTTGGCGAATGGGACTCGCCCGTGATTGGTGGGCAGAGTCCTATGCTCGGCGGTTCGAATGGGAATGCTCCTCCGCCCGGTAGCCTGGGGAGCAAGTGGGATGCTCTCGGCGTTGGGAACGAGTTGTTCCGAGCGATTGCCAAGTATGGGTGAGTTCTCGCTGTTGAGAAAGCAACAGAACATTGTGCGCTGGATTGCTCATCGCTCCCCGGTCTTTTCGTGCTCACAGCCTGGGACCGCCGACCAAGATCCAGGCCAAGGCCATCCCTTGTGTGCTTCACAGTCAAGACATCGTGGCGCAGGCCCCGGCGATCCAAGAGCGCATCCAATGCTACGTCATCCCGGCCTTGCAGCTGCTACATTCGCTTTCGGGGTCGGCAGGCGCTTCGCCAGCTCCGTCCGTTCAAGTCATTATCATCACCGCGACGGTCGATCAGGCCGCCCAGGCGCAGCGTCTCGCCGTTGGCCTCGGTGCGACGCTTGGCATTCGCACGAGCCTTTACGTCGGACAACCGACTGGTGACTTGACCAAGGAGGCACTCGAATGGCAGAACGCACCGACCCAGGTCATCGTCGGCACGCCGCAACGCTTGCACGATCTCCTCGCGACACGCCTCATCCCCTTGCACGACCTGAGGTTGCTCATCATCGACGAGTGCGACCAGTTAATCGCGAGGAATCTGTCGGAGCATGTGACCAACGTCGTTCGATTCCTTCCCCCGCCCCTCACTTCGAATGGTGCCAACTCGGCGAACAAGAGCTCGGGTGGTGGTCCCCCGTCGCCCGTCATGGCCCGATCTCCTTTGCTCGGTCCTTCCCCTTCCGGCCTGTCATCTCTCCCGCATGCCTTCTCTTCCAATTCTTCGGCGGCTTCCCCGTGGTCACATCCACCGACATCTCCTACCCCTTCGGCCGGCGTTGATCGTCAGACCGCGATCTACAGCTGCACAGTCCCTCAAGACGTGCTCAATTTTGCCTCTTCATTGCAACTGCGCGAACCGGTCCGCGTTCTTGTTCGTCGAGAAGGTGCGGGAGGTGGAGATCGTGGCGAGACGACTCTTGGCGGTGCACTCAGTCCGAACCCGAATGGTCTTGCGCCGTCGCCATCGCCGAATTCGGTGCCTCATCAGAATCAGAACATCAACGCTGTCAATGGTTCGGGCTTGCCTCCGGGTGTCAACCCTGCTCCGCCCATGGCCAATTTGCGTGGTCTGCGTCAGTTCTTCTTCTACGTCGCGGCTGGTGGTCCCAACTCCTCGGGCAATGGGACCCGCCGAGACAGCTCGACGGCGAACAACTCGTCGCGTCATTGGAAGCTCGAGGCATTGTGCGACGTCGTCGACGACAGTGGCGTCGACGCCCTCGTCATCTTCACTTCATCGATGGAGAGCGTCGAGGCCGTAACGTACAAGCTTGGGTCGCGGGGGATCGAAACGATCGCTTTGCACCAAGAGATGGGTCAGCCGATGCGTCAGAGCGCGCTCGCTCGTTTCCGTGCCCCGCTTAACCACAACAATGGAAATGGAGCTGGATCGACACCCCGCCTCGGCGTACCCAATGGTACGAGCTCCAAGAGGTGCTTGGTCGTATTCGACCCGTTGTGTCGCCCTCTGACCGAAGCCCTTCAAGTCCCTCTGGTGATCAACTTTGATCTCCCTCGAGCGGTTGAGGACTACGCCCAACGCGTCTCGGCAGGTCCCAACTCTCCCTTCGGTCGCCCCGGCACGACCATCAACTTTGTCGCGCCGGGCTCAGACGCCGACATGCTTCGAGCCATCGAGTCACATTACCGCTGTAAGATCGCCGAGCTCCCCACGTTTGGGTTCTGAATCACATCTCCTCGCTCGCCAGGCCGTCTTCCGGCCGATCATTCGTCTCTTTGCAACTTCCCTCCGCGCACTTTCTCCAAGCATCCCTTCTCCAACACAAGCATCTCTCCGAGCACGATCCTGCACGAAAACCCAATACCAAACGAACCTCCTCCCATGTGACGTATATTAGTTCCCTTCCCCTTCATTTGTAGCAAGACTCCCCCATCCTCCCCAGGTCATTTGCGAGCCGTTTTTCGCTCGACTCTCCCCTCTTGGCTGGGCTTTGTGTTTTTTGATTGATAGCATGCACTCTTTCTTCCTTCCTTGTCGTCACGACGTCGTCTTCTCAACCTATGACCGCTTCCTGAACCTTGTATAGCTTGCACTATTCCTCCTTTTTCTTTGATGACTATCGTTTGCTTGTTAGTACTTTCTCGAAGAAGAAGGAACCTTCTTTCTCTCTTCCGTATCTTTTTCCATCTCTATGAATCGCGAATTGACAATAGTTGCAACTGCAGAACCATTTAATGAAGAGAGCCAAGATAAAGAAGCCCAAACCGAGACGGTAGAAGAATCACCAGGCGACGCGCGCCATCAACTCCTTGGGGTACCTCCTATTGATCGCCTTGCGCACTTCATCCAGCGTGAGGATCGCCACACCGTAAGCGAGAGGCAACCCATAGTACTCGATCCCGGGCGTAGCGGTTTTGAGCACCCTCTGCAACAAGGGAACGGTCGAGAAGAAGACGGCGAGTAACAGTGCCGCGACCATAGCTGGGAACAAGCGGTAGTTGCGCGTGCGTTCGGAACCCCAAGGAGGTTGGGAGAAGATTGACAATCGCCGTGTGCGCGTCGATAGAAGGTTGAACCATTGGATGATGACCAAATTGAAGAAATAGATCGACTGCGCATGCGCCAACATCCTTGGATCGATGGGTGCATCGGAATAATTGAGCCACAGTGAAGAGAAGGGAACGCCCTTGCGTTGGAAACCGAAGTAGAAGGCACCGACGAGGGATGTGAGGGATTCGATGATGCCGAGGAAGAAGTAGGCGTGGCAGATCAATTTGGCGTCTGCGAGGCGCTCCTTTTTGCGATTTCGGGGCTTGCGAGAGAGTAGGTCGGCTTCGGGCTTTTCGTAGCAAAGTGAAAGAGCGGGAAGCACACTGAAGGATTGGGGACATATTGATGGGTCAGTGACTTGGCTCCTGAAAAGAACAGGGTACGCGGCTGAAAACTTATTCGGTGACGGCGCAAATCAAGATCATCTGAATGTTGGAAAGCACTTGAGGCAAGCCGAAGAAGACGTTGAGCAAGACGGGCATCAACTCGGAGAACGATCCGGCCGGCAACAAGTAGAGGATCGATTTGCGCAAGTTCTCGAAGCACAGGCGACCGGATTCGATACCAACGACGATGGCGCTAAAGTCGTCAAGCAAGATCAAATCGGCCGCTTCCATCGCAACTTCGGATCCTCCCGCAACGGCGACACCGACATCGGCTTGTTTCAAAGCAGGAGCATCATTGACACCATCTCCGAACAAGGCGACCGTCGAGCCCGATTCTTGGTACGTCTTGACAATCTGCAACTTTTGCTGCGGCGACGTGCGCGCAAAGACGACTTCGTCAAAAGTCGCGACTTGGGCCCATTGCGATGCCGTCATGGTCAGCAACTCGGCACCACTGAGCGCAATCGCGCGCAGATGTCGGTTCGCGACGGTGTCGATGTCGTAGGGCTCGATCATCCCCTCGAGCAGATCTCGCTGTAGGTCCTCGAGTCCGTGCACCTTGTTCGTCGTGATGATCCCGGCGGAACGAGCGATCGACACGGCTGTCACCGACATGTCACCCGTGACCTGTAAAGGTAATAGAACACCTTTTTCAGTCAAGTCATCGAACACTGACTGTGTGGGTGGAGCTCAGGACGCCTTACCATCATAAAGCGAATGCCAGCACCGCGGCAGACTCGGACGGTCTCGGCGGTGTCATCCTTCAAGGGATCCACGAGTGCCGCAAGGCCAACGATCGTCAAGTCAAAGTTGAACTCCATGAGCGCGTCTTCGTCATCAATATTGTCTTTGACGAGATTGGCGCGAATGATCTTTTTGGTAAGCATGAGCACACGCTTGCCTTGTCCGGCGAGCTCGATTTGACGCTCCGATATGAAAGCCATCGCCGCTTCGTCGAGGGGAAGAACGTTCCCATCGGGGGTCAGGTAGGTCGAACAACGTTTCATCAAAACGTCGGGTGCGCCTTTGACGAGCATCAGGTAGTCTTCGGGGCGATACGCATCCGCAGCAATAGCAGGCGCGGCGACGATATCGACCTCGAGCGCGGTTAGGGGCTGGAACACCTTGATCGCGAACTTGTTCTTGCTGTTAAACGCGAGCTTGCCGACGCACACCCAGAACTCGCGCAACTTGGTGCACGAATCGACAGCATCCTCGGCAAAGCGGAACAGTCCCGTATCGGTGGCATCGCCGTTGACTTTGCGCTCGTGCGTGGGGAGGCCAGTGTCGTCCGACTCGAAGGCGGCGTCGTTGCAGAGACCAGCGATCGAGGCGAGTACCTCGACGGCGGCACCTTTGGGATGTTCGGCCTTGTTCATGACCATGCGCTGAGCCTCCTTGACGTGGATCACGCTGTCACCGATGACGACTTCGGTGACCGTCATGCGATTCTGCGTCAAAGTACCGGTCTTGTCCGAGCAGATGACGTCAACGCTACCGAGCGACTCGACGGTGGAAAGCGTCTTGCACATGATGTTCTTCTTCTTCATCGATCCCGCGATGACGGTCAAACTGACGGTGACGCACACGGGCAGACCCTCGGGAACGAACGCCACCGCGACGGACACGCAGTTGATGAGCAACGCCGAGACGCTGATGAAGCTGGGGTAGTAGCGACGTAAGAACGCGAACCAAAAGATGACGATGCTGAGCGCGACGACGCAAGCGAGCGAGCCGATGATGAGAACGAAGCGCGAAATTTCGACTTCGAGCGAGGTCTTGACGGGTCGGGCACCCGTGGCGGCCTTGGCGATGCGACCAAAGACAGTGTTATCGCCGAGAGCGACGCAGACGCCGAGACCACTTCCAGATAAGCACAAGGTACCCTGGAGGGCGATATTGTGGGATTCCATGCTGCAAAAGAGATAATGACAAAGTCAAGATCGTCAGACGCCAGTGTCAGTGCGCAGACTCTGCTTGGTTGTGAGCGAGCGGGGCACATACAAGTTGGGGTCCGTGTTGCGAGTCGTGGCCGAGATGGGGTTCGATTCACCCGTCAAGATCGATCGGTCGAATCGCAAATCGGATGAGCATTCGATGAGTCGAAGGTCGGCGGGGACTTTGGAGCCGAGCGTGATCTTGACGATGTCGCCCGAGACGAGATCTGCAGCCGCGATCTTGAAAGTGTTGCCATCGCGGCAGACGAGCACGTCCGACGGGAGCATGCCCGAAATGGATGCCATCGCACGACCGGTCGAGTGATCCTGCCATGCGTTGAAGAAGGCTTGCAATGCGATGACGATGAGGAGTACGATCGCGAGGGCAAGGTTGGAAGGGTCGGGATGAGGGTTCCCGAGCGGTTTCCTGCACGGACCGAGGACTCTGTATCAGTCCACCCATGAGCTCTCGGAGCGCCAAAAGGGCATGACTTACCATGCAATGATGCAGACGACGGCGGCACCAAAGAGAAGAGTACCAAACCCTCCAAACATGAAGAAGAAGATCTAGATCACGCGCACGGTTAGGGCCAGATCAGCCATCCCCCCTCAAGATTATCCGGCGCGGAAGCCCCGATTACGCGCGATATGACTTGTGACTTACCTTCTTGGGCAAATTCTGTGGTGGTGGTGAGATGACGTTCTTGCCATCCTTTGCGAGCCTTCGTTGCGCCATCTCAAGGTCCAAGCCGACCGCGGGGCTAACCCCTAAACGCTCGCACACCTCCTCGGACGAAAGCTTGTGCCACTCGACATCGGCAAGTCCCACGGCAGGATTCTTCTTCTTGCTCTCGTCCTTGTTCTCCGGATGCGTCTGCGTCTCGGTGACGTTGATGGTCATGGTCCGGAACTCGACCGGCAGCTGCAGGGCGGGAGCATGGCCTGCGATGGAATTTGCGCGTGAAAAGGGGTGACGATGATGGGTTTCATGCTGAACCGGGGCATCAAACGCGAATCGAGGGGTCGTACGGAAAGACAAGGTAGGTGAAATGGGCGTGTTGGCCATGAAGCGACCTGGACGGCCGCCCTTCTCCGCGTCCATGAGCTCGCCCGAATCCGAATCGGAACCCGACCCCTTGGGTTCGAGACTGTCCATCTTGCTCAGCGAGAGAATTGGCGGTGCCATGGTGCTTGAGGAGCGGGGTGAAGAGGAAACCTCAACCGTTAAATCGGACTGGGAGGAAGGGAGGAACGAGAAAACGATTGTGCCAGGTGGTCGCTGGAAGTGCCCTTGTCGATCGGTCGGTTCGGAGAAAACGTGAGGAAGGCGCGGATGCGAACTCAATCAGCAAATCGGCAAATTCCTGGAAGGGGTCAAAGACGAGCTCGGGTCGACACTACTCGGAACTGAAAGTTGCGGGCCGCGGGGCTTTCGCGCAGAAGGATGCTGGACCGAATCCGAGGAGTACGAAAAGAAGATGTAGGTAGTACTTTGGCTGCAATCGGCGATGAAACGTGTCTCGTCTGTGCGTTCTACGCGGCATTCGCTGCAAGCGGTGGGTTTTGCCCAGATTCCGGTGCCGCTCGCGAGCCTGTCGTATTCAAGCGCTCCCGAGTCCGATCGCCCAAAGCGGCGATGCATGCTCGGCCGCGCCACCTCCTGCCAGGTCACTCGAATGTCTGTCCTAGCTTGATAAGACTACATTTGGCTGGGTATTGTATATCTGATTTGGTTGTGGAGAATTATGTGATTTGTTCCTCTATTCAGGTTTGTCGCAGTGGAACGTGCTGTTGGACTTCTCGGCGTGCGACCTACCATATGAAAGGTGGTCTTTTCACGCCGGTTCGAACTGATCGGCGCTTTTGGCCGACCGCTCGCATGTCGGGAATGTTGACAGATGTGCGGCATCAGAGCTTACATGTACCGTGTGTAAGGTACTCAACCTTGCCCCCTTTCTCAATCATCTTGAGTTGACGTGGTGTACTAGGGTGCCGGTCCGCTTTCCAGTGTCAACGTATCGCCTCGCAGGAATTGATGGATGCCGATCAGTTTTAGGCGGGCGCTCAGCAGGGCTGGGCGCGGCGCAACCACATCCAACCTTCTCAATTTGGACGTAAGATGCGATCGCCCAAAGGCGCGAAGTCTTTGATACCCTCGTAGTCTCGGAGTCTGAACGTGATGAATTACCTTTCAAATTGTGATACAGTTACTGACTGAAGATTTTGAATTTCGAATCCCAGGGGTGGACGAAGAGGTAAACGTGAGAGCAGTGTGGACGTCGGTGATGCGAAAGGCGCTCTGCGCCGCAGACAAAGCCCCTATCTCACCTGGGCTGTCGCCCCCGGTCGATAGATCCGCCTGCTTGCCTGTACCATCCTTGAAAATGGATGGCCCTACTGCTAGAGGGAAGTGGTCTGCTCGACAGAATGCTCGGGTCAGATCATGCAGCCGGGAAGAGTTGGGAAGAGTTCAGCGTCTATCCGATGTGGGGGTCGCTCGAGCGCCCCAAGTGGGGGAGACGCGGCTTCGGGATTCGGCGAGCAGCTCCCGTCCCTTCGTACATGGCCCAAGTACTCTGCACCCTGTTCAACTGATGGATACCATGTGGTTACATGTGCTAAAATTGTCTCGTGTCAAGAAACTCTTCTACGTGACCCCAAATCCACCCCGTGGAACACGTTGAGCGCGCGTCACATCGCACCAAAATGCTCCAAACGTCGGACTCTTGACATCTCTACGACGAAGTGCTCTGAATGCCAAGCAATACCGCATGGTTGGCCATGTGCTGAACAAAGTGTTTCTTGACTAGCGACCATGCGGACTGCGCACCTTGACGCTCGTGCACTGTGCCAATTTTCCGAAGTATCCCGACCGAGCATTCTCGATGGGCGGTGCGAGTCCACACAACTGCGCGCCTGATCCAGTCGAAGCGGTGCCCGCTCTCGGCTCTTTCTTCCTTCCTGGTGTGGCATGAACGCGATCTTGGATCGGGATCCCACGGGGTTTTGAGGCATTAATCGATCCTCTGTGGAAGAGACAGTGACTGAGGCCTACCCTGTTCTTATCGATCTCTCAGGCCTCGATGTAATGTAGAAAGGTCACGCGCCGCGCGCGGCAGATTCTTCCCGGAGTTTAGGCGACGGAGTGGAGAAGCAGCTTTGCCAGCCGCCCAAGAGGAGACTTGCCGCAGTAAGTGATCTACACCGATCAATATGAACTATTTTTGGGTTACCGTGAAAAGCACTACCAGTGGGTGCTTACAGCCCCACAGCCCGATGCGATCGATCTCCAGTCGGTGTACAGTCAATCTACTTCCGAACGAACACCGCGGCCCCCGCACGCAGGCAAGGCGTTCGGACACGTGACCATTTTCTGAAGTGCTTACGATATTCTTTGAAAGTACAAGAGGTGCAAACGTTCAGAGCATTATTCTCGCCAGACTATAGCTATAGCATACAGTTGCAAGCAATGTTCCTCGAGCTGGCCCGTGCGAAAGCGCTCAACTCCGGAGCTTTTTGACGAAGTGTCACGTGATTGATCGTTCGCTCAGAAAAGGAAGCTCGTTACCCGATCCTTTGGGGTGCTGAAGGTGTCGTGCTTCGTCAGTGAGTGAAATTCGGGCTCGTGTGTATCTTTCACACCAATCACAAGGAGCCCAAGGACACAACTCCGAGCAGTCGGGATTCAGCGAGCAGCCTCGAAAAATATGCCGCCCCAGCCAGATTGGGTACTCTGCACGTGTGAAGATATACGCTAGCAGGGTCCAAACTCAGGAAACACTTGTCTGTTACCTTCAAACTGCGTACAAAGAAGTCGCAAGGTGCGACTTTGTGAAGCGATCGAGAAGCCGTCGAAGCTCGAAGACTCGGCACCTCGAGGCTGTTTCACCCAATGAGGAAGCTACTCACGAGATGATACAACCCAGCACACCTCTTTAGAACGTTTCCTGGATTTCCGCCATGTGGGATGATCAAACAGGGGCCGATCTTGTCTCACATAGGACCTTCGTGACGAGCATTCTCCGAGGAGAGCGCGTTCGGCTTTTCGGGATTGCGGTGCGCCCGCGCGCTTGATCGAGAGAGAGAGAGCTGTGCCCGCTCCATGCGCCTACATCGATTGGCTCGTCCGCTTCCTTGACGCGGAGTTCTCATCGCGCGTTCGGATCTGAAACCTCTCAGTATTCTGCGGGTGTCTTGACGGAGATGTTCGGTATCGGATGGAGAATGGAACATGAGGTATTGTGTCTTCGATCGGTCACTGGGCATCCCACGCTTTCGTAGCGAGGCATGATGCCGGTGGATGCCGAGAAGTCACTGCACTTGCCGATATTTAAGTGAGCGGTGGAGTTGGCCCTCTAACCCTCGTACCGGATCTACAAGTAGAGCAGAAAAAGATTCAGCACCCCAAATTTGTAGGGCACCATATACAGAGACACCAGGGTGAAATCTGCTACCCCAATCCTCACACGACTCTCAGAGCAGGAAAATGCGAACCCCCAAAATTTTGCGATCGGATGGGTCCCTGTTCGTTACAATTGACGTTCTCAACGAGGGCGTGACCTCTGTTTTTGCTGACAGGAAAGACTATTATTGAATGAGAGCCCCCGTGTACACTCTCAAGTCCTTCTTGGGAGAAGAGTGGAGTGCACGAGGCTTCCAATCCGGGCCAGCGGGCCGCGTATAGGAGCCACTGCGGGATCCGCATACAGGGACAATCGAATTGATGCTTGCTCATCTTGGACCTCCCTGTAGTACCCGGACGTAACCTAGAGCGAATTCACTGGTAGCTGGGTGATTAAATCCTCAACTCTGACTGAGAGTCGTGGGGAGGAAACAAATCCAATGGCTTGCGCCGGGGGTGCGATGACGCCGTTCCCCCACACGCCGTTCGAGTCGAAGCTGGTGACCCGTCAAAGATGGTACGTTGCTGAGCTTCAGAAGATGCAAGGCTCAGTTGACCCAAACACTGACGTATATACTCTCTCCCGACGCCACGCTGCTGCCCTTTCACATGACGCACGCTACTGCATGATGACAGGCCGGAGCAAGTGGAAAGCGAATCGCCGCTTCCAACGCCAAGACGTTGCACCAACTCCGCCTTGCGTTCCTCATCACACATGTGCGTGATCAAACCTGGAACAACTCTTCCAAGCTCGCATTGACCCACCCATGACATCCCCCCCCTGCAGCCCATCTCGCTCGCCTCTTGGGCCTTCTTCCCCTCGTTGAGGGTGTGGAAACATCTCTTCTACTTCTTTACAACGGATTCAATAGCCTTGATCCTATGGTATCAACTCGAAGGGATGGCTCGACGGAAAGATGATGTTGGGAGTCCAGGGATGGCAGCGTAAGTAGCCCACACTCGGGGGGAAAAGATTCTTTTCGTCTTGCTGATGCCGGATTCTTGGTTCCTGCGAGCAGGTACATGTTCGACATCATCTACGTCACCTTATTCGTTCATGCTACGACGGCGTTGATCAGTCGCAAGTTCTGGGCACTTTACCTCTCGGTTCGTTCGCTTCTCTTTCTTCTTCCTTCGGACCCCACCCCCCACACTTCTACCTATCACAAGCACATCACTTATCGCTATTGGCTCCCCCTTCTCCAGATCCCCCTCTACGCCCTCTACCGCCTCTACTCGTTCGCAAAACCTTACTTATTCCCTTCCAAAACCTCCTCCTTATCATCGCAAGGATCCGGCAAGACCTCGAAAGCAACCACTCGATCGTCATCAACCACGACTTTGTCGACGCAGGACTCGTCAACTCCGACGAGTAAACGACAGGCCAAGTTGGCGGAGAGGGCCAAGAAGGGGGATCATCGGGTGCAGATGCAGGAGGTGAGGAAACAGGCTTGAGTGGGTAGTGAGCGAGTGGAACGGAGAACATTGACTGGCTGTGGATACTACTTTCTTGTAATCGAACACGTGTGTTGTGGACAAAGCTTTTTGTCTCATCGTGTGATTCGTCGTTGCATTTGTTACAACAGGGTCATGGTTTGGAAAGTACAGCAAAGGATGCGAGACTGAATCAAAGGTGTTTCTTGGCGCTGGCCTTGACTCTGGCGTCGAACACGGGGCTACTTATCGGGCTGTTGAGTTCGTGGAAGGGATTCAACAGGGTCTATCGATCAAGAGTAAGCGAGTCAGTTCACAGCGTTTCAGTCTGTGCCTTTCACCAGAGAAGGTGGAGTTCCTCACTTTTACATAATTCTCCCATGTCTCTTGGAAGAACAAGCGGATCCCGTCGTCGTTCTTGACCTCGTGCAGAAGGATCAGCTTGACGCCTATGGGGACCGCCAGAAACGATTCAGTGATCCAGAACGGCTTGGCTTGATGATGCTGCCTCTGGCGAGGCTCACCTCCCGGTGTGATCCAGACGGAGATTGTCCATTCTTGAAACTTGTCGATCGATTTGAGGTACCTGATGAACAGCCAGGATCAGGACAAGAAGAAAAGAAGCTTCGCAAACATGTATGATCCCAACATACATTGCCCCATTGGTCCATTGCACGTCCTCGACGACATCGAGACTGGCGTGCGCGACGAGCTGCATCACATGTCTCCCCTGCGGACCCGACTTGTGCCCATAGCCTACGAAAGTATCGTTACTGTGCGATGGTGGTGGTTGGGTTCCAGTTGAAAGAGAAGGTGGAGGCGGTGGTGGCTTGTCGGGATGGGAGGTGGAGGTGGAGGTGGAGGTGGAGGTGGAGGTGGAGTTGGGGTTCGGAGAAAGGGATCCGAATATGGAGAAGGACGTGGCGGGCGATCCGGACGAGACGACGGGGACGGAGAGGATGGTGGACGAGGCGGATTTGGTCGAGGTGAGATAGGTTTCGTACAAGGGGTTATCGAGGGTGCCGACGAGTACTGGGGGAGGGGATCGAGGGGAGGTGTTCAGCAGTGGCACTTGGGTGAGCATGAGGTGGGTCGGGCGGATGGGTCATCGGTGGAGGGTGCGGGCTGGACTGACCCAAGTAGTAACTCATGCCGAGTCAGACGACGCTCAAAGTGGTAGTGGGCGGTGGAGGTGGCTGAGAGCGTTGGATCGCAGCCCCCAAAAGTCGCTCGGAACAAGGTCATGTCTCAGCCGGTTGCTATTCCGCTCGTCAGTCGCGCTAAGGCCGCGCTCGGCCGCGCTAGTCTGCGCTAGTTGTCGTTGTCGCGCTTCCGGGTGGCTGCCCAGTCGCGCCGCCCGCGAGGCCCCCGCGCGGCCCAAGCGCCAACCAAGTCACGCGTCATTGGGCGGCACATAGGGAGCATGGGCAGACATAGGGAGACGTAGCGCACGGTTGACCATTGCACTCCGAACTGCCCGTCGGCACGTCGCACAGTCCGCTTCTCTGGCTCTCTCTCTTGCCCTTGTCCTCACCTCCTCCACTGTCCCCGAAGCTTACGAACCTTTTACCACCCCTTCCACCCCTTCCACCCCTTCCACCCTTTCCACACCTCACATCGTCCTCACCATGCCCCGCGTCAAACGCTCAGCCTCTGCCTCTGCCTTGGTCAACGACGACGACGCGTCGAAGTCCTTCAGCTCCAACTCCACTTCCCACAGAGGCGCCGCAAGTTCTCCTTACGCCCGGCCGACCGCCTCCCCGCAGCGACGTGCGTCAAGGCGTACCACCTCCCCGTCCAAGCGCTCTACTCGCAAGAACCCAGCCCAAGATGACGACCATCACACCACCGAGACGTCGCCCAGGAGGAGCACACGACGCCGCACCATGCTCGTCGAGCACAGCCAAGACGACGGTGATCGTTCCTCTTCTCTCGAAGTGCTCGAGCCAGCGGCCATCGCCGCCACCACGACAAGGGGAAAACCCACTCTCAGCGCAAGCCCATCGACCACGCTCGAGCAAGATGATCTTGCTACCAACAGCGTCACCCACAACGATGATAGCATCACGACCGACATCACCGAACCCGAACCCGAACCAGCCAAGTCTGAAGTCATCGCCGCCGACCTCAAGGGCAAGAACAAGGCTTCGAGCCAAACCTCGACCACTTCGGACCGCGGTCAGGACGATATGATCTCCAAAGCCGAGGTCCGACTCCGCGTACAAAAGTCCATGGCTGCGTGGGCAAAGGAAAGGCAATCTTATGAGGCAAGTCAAGCTTTTCTCTCCACCGCGCAGCGGCTGGCTTTCACTCGTACTGACGGTAGGGTGTCCAAGTTGACTCACACAGGAAAAGATGAAGGCCAACAATACGTTCATCGACCAACAAGCCGAACTGCTCCGCCAACTGACTCAGTTCACCGATTCGCTTCGAGCGACGGCCCAGTGCGGGATCTGCCTTCAGACGATGAAAGCGCCTCATGCTCTGGAATGTGGACATGTGTTGTAAGTTCCATGGTCCTTAGATCGGTGACCACTTTGACCGACTCAAAACTTCCGGTGTACCGCAGTTGCCGCCAATGCCTCATCAACTGCTTCTTCAGCGCCAACAATGGGGACGACGACGATGATGAAGAAGAAGCCGATCAAGACAACGAAGAGAACTTGTCGAGATCCGGCTCCAACTCCCACACCGATTCTGATTCCTCCGATTCGGGACTAGAAGGTAACGATGCCTCCATTCAATCCTTCTGGGAAGCCGATCAACCGCCGACACCACCCGAAGGCATGGAAACGATCCGCTTGACCGTCGGGAACCGATCATTCCAAATGAACCGTCCCGAACCTGGATACCGCCCGGCTCCAGCAACTGCCGAAGATTCCGCGGGTCGGTTCGTCGAGCTTGGTTCGGACGATGATGATGATGAGCAAGGATTTGGAGTGATTGGAGCGGCTAGGGAGAGGATCCCCAGCGTGGAGAGGATCGAACGGGCGGTGAGTCTGAGGCATCGATCACCGAGGGAGAATGATTCGACGTCTCCTCCTACTTCGCCTGGACGAGCACCAACGGCGGGAGCCAGAACCGAGGATAGGATCATCATTGCAGATGAAGAGGTGCATCATGCTGGACCTGTACCACCCATGGCTCATCCCCGACCTCACCCTTCGAACGTCATTTGTCCCTCGTGCCGTACCAAAGTCGACACCGCCCCCAAGCGTATCTTCGCCCTGACGGACCTCGCCCATCGCATCCGTCAAGCCGAACAAGAAGGTCTCATCGGTGACCTCGACGAATCCGCCCCTCCTAAATCGGATGCCAACAAAGCGGACGAGATGGAGGTAACGATCGATGAGCATGACAAGACGTGGGGTGGGTTGTTCATGGAGTTGGACGTGGGTGGGAATACGAATGGACGGACGAGGGTCGCGAGGGATCGAGATGATGGGGTAAGGAGGTGCCCCGAGTGTTCGTGGGAGATTATTGAGGCGACGGGGGAGTGCGCACATTGGTTAGTCCAGGGGTGTGGGATCACGAAGATTGGGATCGGTTCTACCCCTTGGGCTAACCTGTTTAACCTTTTTTCAGCCAACGCGTCTACGAACTCTCCTCGGACGAAGACTTTCAAGGAAGACACTACGACGGGGGAGCCGAATCCGACGACGAAGGGTCCGAAATCTCTGTCCGATCGATGCCTCGACATGGCGTACGCAGGCCACGGGAAGAGGAGGAGGAGGAGGAACAGCCCAACTCGGAAGACGAAGCGTTCATTGATGATGCGCCGATTCGGAAGCGACGACGAACGGATGGAGAGGGTTCGTCGAGGAGGAAGAGGAAGAAGAGTGAGGTGGCCTCTTCTGACGAGGAGTCGAGGTTGGGGTCCACTTCGGATGCGGCTTTATCCTTGAGCTCGGGCTCCGATGGTGATTCCGATTCCGATTCCGAAAGCGCCGTATCAACCTCTTCCTCACGATATTCGGACTCGACGCAAAAGTCGAGCGAGGCATCGTTCCCCGACGAGGGGAGGGACGCTACGAAACGTCGAAGGAAGGCGAGGAGAGAGGCTCGACGAGCGGAGGGGGAGAAGGAACGAAGGAGGGGGAGGGGAAAAGGAAAGGAGCTCTCTGAGGTAGAGGATGAGGATGAGGATGAGGATGAGTCGGTGATTATTGAGGAAGAGGGTCATGAGTCGCCCAGAAAGGCGGCGGCGAAGGCGGCGATTAGGAGGGCTGAGAAAAAGGGGTCTGGGGAGGAGGTGACGGAAACGAGCGCGAAGGCGAGCACCAGCACGAGTACGAGTACGAACGTGGATAAAGCGTCGAAGGAAAAACGTGCGCGCAAAGGGTGGAGAAAGTTGCCAAAGATCACACATTGGGATGACGAGGACGAGTAGACACGGTGAGCCATCCATTTAAGTCTTGTTTTTGTCTCTAGCAATTATCTTAAGTCTTGTTTTTGTCTCTAGCAATTATCTAAGTCTTGTTTTTGTCTCTAGCAATTATCTTTGTCTTGTTTTAGATTATGTAGACTCATACCACTGTTTTACATTGCTTGCATTACGACCGGTTTCGTAACACCGCGTGCGCATCATGTTTGAGAGCGCGGAGCGAGCGATGCATCGCGATCACCTTCTCTGCGAAAGACAGGATGTAAATCAAGCATGTTATAATGATCAGAATAAAAGAGCTACACACACCGAATAGTCAAGTGTCTATCGTCTCCCACGCGCACAGAGCCGCGCAATGCGGAACCCAAACTCGCCAAACAGATAATAAATCATGCCCGACAACCTCACCACCGCCGTCACGAACACGCTCCACAAAATCACCTGGAAGTATCTCGCCTGGACCTCGGAATTGAGCCTCGAGATGACGACGCACAACAGGGCGTTACACAATAACCAAAACGCGACGAAACGGGTTCGGAACGTCTTGTTTCGATCTTCCATCGTAGGCACGGCCCGTTCTTCCACTTCGTCGTGTTTGGCTATCGCGCGAAGTACGGTCGCTTTGAAGGTCGAATCGATGTCTTCTTGTGGTTTTTCTTGCACTTCGATGATGCGGTCCTTGTCTTTGTCGGTTGAGGTCGAGGTGACGGAGGGGAGGGCCGCACTGGCGTCGGAACCTTTGGTGCCCCAGGAGACGTCGTGAAGGTTACAGAATGCGTAGCTTTGGGTAGGACACGCGTGTTCAGGGGTAAGTTTGGGGACCACGGATAGGGTCAAAGTAGTCGTCCACTCACATGGTCAAGATATTGATGAAGCTCGGCGCAATGAGCAAGTACTGCGGCATGCTCGTCAAAAGATGCCAAGGATCGAGGTACAGAAGTGACGAGAAGATGTACACGCCGAACGTGCCCAGCAAACCCGAAAAGATGGGACCATACGTGCCTCCCAAGAAGACACTGGCGATCGATCCGGTTCGTTGAGCGAGGATAGTCCCGATGGGACAGAAGGACATGTAGGTCAAAAGTACTGTGTTTGAAATGAGGTAGAGGGAGAAGAAGGCGAAGATGGAGATGCAGAGCGTGTACGCGAATCTCTCGGCCTTGGGCCGATTGCCCAACGCGAGGAGGATTTGAAGGCCGATGACACCGAGGTAGACGACCTTGAAGACGTAGTTGACAAGCGAGAGCCAATCGAACGACGCCCCTGCGTCATCCTCGATGAACGTCCCTGACCAACATTTGATCGTCGCGGGATCACCATCGGCGATGCTTTTGGGGTACCTCAACGAGTTGGCAACGAGTTCGATGATGATCGAAAAGGTGAGGTAGTAGTTACCGAGCGCGAACCAGCCCAAGAACAATTGAATCATGTTGTACACCCCTTGAACAGTCAACCAGAACAAGCGAAGGATCGAATGATCACTCTGGTACAATCGACCGAAATGGACGAGGGCGTAGAAACCCGCGGCGAAACTTCCATTGAGCCAACGACGACGTTGACCAATCAGTTCGGCCGCCGTTTCGGGAACGTCGGTTTCTCCCTTGGCGGGCTTGACGTAACCCAACACCCAACGTTCGTTCGCCTTGGCGACGAGCTCGAAGCAGAGGATACGATCCTCAGCAAGGAACATGTTCTTGGTCCAAATGCTCATCCCGTCCGTCCCTTTGGCACCCAATCCCGCAGCCAACGTTTGGTCCCCGTGGAAGTACTGATCGAGAGGTCGACCTTGAATTGCGAGGTAGCGGTAGCAAGAGAAAGCTCCCGGTAAGACGGAGACGTATCCGAAAGCGCTTTCCATCGGCTTGTCGAGCACGTTGCTCATCTTGTACTCGAAATTCTGAGCCGCGACGAGCGGGTTCAAGAGTTTCCTGCCGTGATTGCCCAACATGGCGTGGATCTCTCCGCAAGCTCCACCGAGATTGGGGTTGTGGTGGAACGCCTCCCAGAGGTAGTAAATCGAACGTGCACTTGGTTTGGTTCCGGCATCGAGCAAGCAGACGACATCGGGTTTGAGCTGGCGACCGATCGCGTTGAAGAGCCATCGATGCGAGTTGATCTTTTTGGCGTTCTTTTGCTTGAGGCAAAGAATCATTTGTACCGGGACGAGGTTATTGGGACTGGGTTTCAAGGGTGAGTAAAATCAGTGTGGGCCTCGGATGGACAGGAGAACGTTCAAAAACCCTCACTCGTTCGGATGGGGCTCGACCAGAGCAGGCTTGGACGACATGGAAAGCTGGGTTGTATACTCAAAGATATGCGAGACCGTCTCCCTCCCATCCACATCCTTCTTCATCACCCCATCCTGATACAACCCGATCGTCGCCAAAACGTCCAAGCTCCCCTTATCCGCCGGATCGATCCCATCAAAGACGAGACAAACGACGATTCGTTTCCACGCCTCCCCTTTGCGTTGACCGACCTCGGGACCCCCCGATTCGGCTTGCTTGCGGAACTCGGAGAAGTTACCCTTGACGATGTCACGAATGTTGAGCATCAGACCATGTAGGGTACGCGAGAGCAACATCTTGTTCTCGTTGTAGGCGGTCTGTGGGTGCGACAAAGGAGGTTTAGTTTCGCGCTCGAGAATGGGTGAGGTGATGCGCAGCAGTGGATGCTTTGGCTTACAATGCAAACGAGCAGATCGGTCTGACGTCGGTAGGTTGAAGTTCGGAACGTATAGCCATTCTATACACCAGTGGAGTCATGACGTCAGTCTGGATACCCGCAGATTAACGGACAAAGACAGGACGTACGGCCTGAGTAAAATCATCAGGGTCGCAGCACGCCGCCGTGTAGCGCATGTGAGAGAACTCGGTCGGCCCACCCTCTGAGGCCATGGCAGGTGTGAAGTGAGGGATTGAGTCTTTGTAAGTTTGAACGACGAAAAGACTAGACTTACTAGCCCCACTTGACAGATTCGCAGATTTGACCGCGGTTGGAACGGGGCATTCGACGATGAAGTTTCCTGAAAGCTGAAAGCTCAAATCAACAATCGGTCACTCCCGACAAGGAAGGCTCATTTAGACGAGAACACCGACCTTGTGTGAGCTTGACACGTTTCGTGACTGCCCTCTTCAAAGGTTGACGCTGCCTCCTCGCCCAGGCCTAGAATTTGCATTGATGTCAGGCACGGCTCCATGGAATCTGTTTCTGTATCAAGACCCACCTCCGCCGACGTTTCCCTCCTTTGGAGACCCGATCCATCCAAATGCGATGCATGGAATGCGCTCGCGTTGTAACTGTAAACAAAGCCAAGAATTCGCCGTCGCCGTCGAGGAAACTCGAGCTCAGCAATCGCACTGCACGTGACTTTTCTCGGTCCCCCAAAACTTCGCGGACTGCAAAAGTCAAGTCTTCACCCGCAACTCACTCATCCGGATGCATCCCTCCATAATCCGCCTGATCCCCTCTCAGAGGTCTCTTATCATCATCCATGTCGACCTCATAATGCGGCTGACCCCCCTGATGAAACCCCCCACCAAAAGCCGAAGCCGCTCCTTCCATCGAAGCATTCTGATGACGATAATAATATGGGTCCGAAAGATCGACGTTGGAAGTGTTCCTCGAGTCGTATCCTATGGGATGGAAGGACGTGTTGGGGTTGGGACTGGCGTTGGCTGATGCGATCGCTGCGGAGAGGTAAGGTGTTGAGGAGAAGGTGGGACTCGAGTCGTTGAGTCGGTAATGACGGGGAGAAGCGCCATCCGTCGAGTGGGGGGGACCTTGGTTCGAGTAGGTCGTAGAAGGGTCATTGAAAGGATCGTCGTAGGGTGCTCGTTGCTGGTGTGAGTTCGGCATCGGAGGGGCCGGAGGGGCATGAGATTGGTGTGATCGGTACGTTGGAGCAGCACCACTGCCACTCGTGTGGACGGAGTCCGAGCGCGGTGCACGCTGCGATGCTGCTGCTCCTTGACGATCCCGATCTGCTGGACCGTAACGCGAGTTGGGGTGCGACATGGTCCACGCTGATGAAACCTCTTCAATTTTAATATGCTCGAACGTAGACGGAAGAGTGTCAAAGCACACCGGAAAGGTCCAGTAACGTGTCAAAGAGAAAGGGAACCTCGGCGCGCTTCGAAGTTGCCGCGCCGCGCCGCGCCGAACCAATGCCGCTGCTGCGGATTCCGGTGTGAACGCGAGCGAACCTCGCTCGCAAAGCGGCCCAAGCTCAACCGCGCTTTTCGACCGAAGGAGTTGTTGCATCGAGGAAACGGTTTCATGACCCCAGCACGTTCCTCCTACCGGGAGAAAAAAATCCCATCATTTTGAATGTTATCCACCGCATACTCAGTCCAGCGCCTCAAGTTCCTTATGCTACAGCTCTCACTTCTTTCACCGTTTCGAACTTAGAAGGGAGGGGCTTCCTCTATTTAGCGTGTTCTGATGGCGCGTCGTCATCGACGCCATTTTTCGACGGGCCAAGACGACGGGTTGAGGTCGATGGGCTCGCTCGTCAATTTCTTGAACTCACCAGCTTTTCCACCATCACGAGAACAACAAACATCTCAGAGGTGGTTGCCTATTCAATTGACGAGTTTATCGCGAGTGCAAGGGTGTCAACACACCATACAGATGCACGTTTGACAGATGCTGCTCAGCTAACGTCGTCATCGCACACCGGCAGTACTGCTGGTCGCAGACGCAGCAAGCGCAAGTCACTTCCCCATTTAATACCCTAGTCTAGAACTGATATTGACACACAAATTGTAAACGAGAAGCTGGTGTGGGATCCAACCAGAATACACAAGTTGCACAGAGCGGCGCCGAAAGAGAGAATAGAGGTCCCTGGGTGCAACGTGGACGATGAGCTTAGAAGATAACTGCGAAGGGCCAAGTATGGAGCAGGGCGTCAGCAGCATACCCTCATCCGAGGAAGCAGAACAACAGGGAAGACCTACCATCTTCATCCTTCTCGTCCACCATATTCGCGCTCGGGGTCTCATCGACCTCCTCGATCGGTTCCCCCGCCTTCTCCTTTGCCTCCCGCTTTTGCTTCTCCTCCAATTCCCTCGCCGCTCCATCCCGCTTCTTCTTGCTCTGCACCTTTTTGAGACGGAAAAATTCTTCTCGGTCCATCTCATCGAGCCTGAAGGTTTGGAAGACAGGTGAGGTTAGCTTGGACGAAGGGTGTATGCCGTTGTCAAAGATGGACCCACTCTGAGTTGATGTAGTTGATCGTGTTCTCCAGTCGCGGAATGACGACGTGCTCGAGCGCATTCACACGTCGGTTGGTCATCTTGATCACTTCATCCAGAATAACGAAGGCGGTCTGTAGAGGGGTGGAGTGGAAAGAGGGGGGTCAGGATTCGGTGCTGAAGATGGAGGTGGGGATTGGGTGGTTCATGCGCACCTGTAAGGAAGCCAGCTCGACCAAGGTCTCGACAGCTTTTGCGAACGTTTCTCGGCACTTTGTGATTTGCTGACCACCTCGTCCCAAACCCGTCAAGCCGAAACCTGTGCGTGCGTAGCTGAACGTGAGCAGAATAGTACTCGCCCGAATTATAAGGTAATGACGACTGACCCCCATTGCCACCATCAGCTTTGGAATGCAACGGCTCGAATGTGGGCAGGATAACACCCGATACGTTCTCCTGCTTGGTCTGGACCCTGAATGTGGCTTCGGTGATGGACTCTTGGATCTGGTACGAGATGTCGCCCGTGGCGTAGGTCACCTCGGCGAGGGAGAAGGCGGCGAGTTGCATCACGCGGCCCATCTTGCGTTTCGCCTCGTCGATCTTGCCTAGGATCGCTCGGAATCGTTTGTTCAACGCGTCGGACCTGGTCGGAGAGGAGGTCGAGAGCGTAAGTTTCACGCTGTGCGCAAGTGGGGGGGGGGGGGGTAGAAGAAAGGAGCGGGCGAGTTGTATTGGCTGCGAGTCGGGTAACGTACTTTTTCTTGAGCAGCGAGTGACCCGTCTGAGCCCCCTTGAGACGGGTCTTGGTCGTGGTCAGGTTCATTCGTGTTGGGACTGTTGGGCGGGGTCGATGGATCGACGACAGCAGGATTCCGGCCGGCCAGCGAATCGGAGAACGGCGGACGGACACAAAAGATGAGGAACCTGTCAGCGAGGGTGGCTAGGGCAAGGATCTAGGCGATAGAGTGGATCAATGGACTGACAAACATTCTCTCGCGGTCCTGTGCCCGACACTGGATCAAGGAGAGGAACGGTCAGTTATCGCGCGCAAGGCACGAGCACGAACGGAGGGCAGTCTTGATATGCCAGGGATGGGACCGACTGTTGGAAGCAGGATCAAGGCGCGAGGTGCACTAAAGCGGTCAAGTTGAAGCCGAGGCAAGCACCAAAGTACGGCACACCAAGTCGGAGGACGAGACGATGACGATGGGTTGCGCCAGGCGACGAGCTGGGGCGAACGAGGTCGATGGAAAAGGGGTGAAGGATGAAGGAGATGGAGATGGAGATGGGACGAGCTCGAGCAAGTTGTCTGCGTCGTGTACGTTCGATGACTTGCAAAAAGGACGGGGTAGTACAGGGTGGAGAAGAGGGGCCGAGAGCAGTTCGAGCGGGCGGTGCGGAGTGGGTTGGGATAGAAGGAGAAAGCTAATGCGCAATTACGAGGTGTTGAATACGCCGTAATAGGCCGTCGGAGCCCCGCGCCAGCTCGCGCCCTCCCGCGCCGCGGCAGGCAGTCCCCGACTACTGCCCGGCGCCGCAGTTGCGCTCTTGGTCGCACCACACTTGTCCGAGTCGACCTCGCACCACCACACACACCCCAGGTGAGCATCGACCTCGAAACACGTCGAGGACCACGTCTGCTGACGTTGTCGTTTGTCTGCACTCGCTGTCTCGTCACGTTCGCACCGTGTCCGTGGCCGCCGACGCGCACCGTCACCGCACCCGTCCGATCATCACCTACCTGCTGCTGCCTGCTGCTGCCCGCTGGCCTGCTGCCCGCTGGCTGCTGCTCGCTGGCTGCTGCCGTCGCCGATACGATACCCGTCTCGTCTGCTCACCGATCGCCGGTCCGTCCAAGGTCTGAGCCGACCCCACATCCCACATCCCACATCCCACCCCTCATCGACCCCACTCGATCATGTTTATCATCAACTGGTTCTGGGACACCTTGGCCCAACTCGGTCAGTAGCATCCACCCATTCTACTGTGGGCGAACCCCAACTGACTCGGGACGCGTTGCGTGCGACCTCGTTCCCCTTCTCGACCCTTCACCCTGCTGCTGCACCTCTACGTTCATCCTTCCAGGCCTTGTCAACAAGGTCAGTCAATCGCTGCTACAGCGTGTGCGATCGGCCTTGTGGAGCCCAGCACCCATCCCTGGCCGGTCCAGTTCGAACGCCACTCGATGTTTCCTTTCACGCGCCCAGACGGGATCGTCATTTCAGACACTGACGACGAACCGATCTGCCACCTGCCACCTGCCACCTGCCACCTGCCACCCCTCTCCCCTCCCTCCACCTTGTCCCACATTACCACCTTTCACCCCCTACAGAACGCCAAGATCTTGTTCCTCGGACTCGACAATGCCGGAAAAACGGTACGTGCTCCCCCTCCGCCGCGCAACGCTCGCCGCTTCTCGTCGGTCAGCAGAGGAACACGTCAGACCGCTTTCGCCGAGCTTCTTCACCTTGCCCCACCCCTGACCCTCGCCGGACATCCCGCGACACATTGCTCATCCACTTGGAACCTTCTCGTGCTCAAACAGACACTTTTGCACATGCTCAAGAACGACCGATTGGCCACACTGCAACCGACCCTCCACCCTAGTCAGTCCTAACCTCGCTAGACGCGCGCCTGCCAACTCGATTGCTAAACCGACCCGCTCTTGCCCGACCACAGCCTCGGAAGAACTAGCTATCGGTAACGTCAAGTTCACCACCTACGATCTCGGAGGGCATCAACAAGGTGCGTACCCTGGAACCCCATCCCCGTTCCGCCGAAGCTGACAGGGACCCTTCGCGCTTCCCCGACCCACAGCTCGCCGATTGTGGAAAGACTACTTCCCCGAAGTCGACGGCATCGTCTTCCTCGTCGACTCGGTCGACGCCGAACGCTTCCACGAATCCAAAGCCGAGCTCGACGCACTGTTGGCGATCGAAGAGTTGTCCAAGGTACCGTTCTTGATCCTCGGCAACAAGATTGACGCGCAGGGGGCCGTCTCGGAGGAAGAGTTGAGGTATGCTTTGGGCATGCATGCGACCACGGGCAAGGTCAGTAAAGCCTTTTTCTTTCTTTCTTTTTTCGGCGTGCTAGTCGCGGCTCGGGAAGTTGACATTTCTTCGGGGGCGCTTCCTTCGGTTAGGGTAAGATCCCGCTCGGCGAGATGAGGCCGATCGAGGTGTTCATGTGTTCGGTCGTGATGCGTCAAGGTTACGGTGAAGGTAAGTCTTGCTTTGGCAGAGGGAGGGGGGGGCAAAGTCTGTTCCTTGTGCGCGCCGAGGCTGATCGAGGACGAATGGGGCTCCCATCTTTCGTTCAGGTTTCCGTTGGTTGGCGCAGTACTGCTAAACGAAAGGGCGAGCGTGTTGGGACGAGGTTCGCGAGGAAGGGGGAAGAAAGAGACGAAATGGAAGAAAAGGGGGGATGCGTCGTGGTACGCCTTTCGGGAAATTGCATCGGTTGTTCTGAGGGACACTTGGGAGGAGAGAAAGGGGCCACTGCGGTCCTTTTGGGGCTTGGAGACGTCCCAGAGTACCAGAGTAGATCTTTGCACGAAAGCGCAGGGAGGAAGGTTGAAGGAGGCGGGGGTGGGTCGGTATGATTTGGCGTGATGTGATGAATGATCGTATAATGATTCTTTGATTGTTCGGCCTTCGCGAGCGCATGTGGTGTGAGAGGGAGGAAGATGGTCTGGTTCAGGAGGCTTGGCAGTGGATTGCGGTGTCTGCCATTGGTTTCGACTTGGCCCATCGCGTGACCAACTTCATCTTCAATCTTCAAACCCACCGCTGATCCTGAGCTCTTCAAGAGCTCACGATATTCAAAACAACGTCCAGTCCAAAAAACGTTCAAGAAGGTGGGTCCGATAAAGAAAAGAAGCAGGATCGTGAATGGCAAGGCGCGCCCCAAACAAAGAGATCGAAACAAAACAAAAAACCACTACGCCAAAGCAAGCAAAGACCCACATCTCCACCGTGTTCAACCAAGGTAGTTGTAAACGAAGAAATGCAGCAACATCGAACCAAAGACGTAATCTGCGAAAGCTCTGCAGTGTCGGAGTGGATGGATCAGCCTTTGAGGTTTCCAAGGAAGGACGAGGGGACGAAAGTAGTTCCTTCGGCTTACCTTTCCGGTGAAATGGTCGGGAAGATCGTCTTGTTCTTGGGGTTCACCTGAGCCCTCAAAGCCGCGGTCAAAACGAATTGACCAACCGTCGCGGCGAAACTGTGCGAATCAAAGAGAGCATCAAAGACATGAATGAGCCGACCCCGTATTTTTGGAAATTCTCGGGTTCTGCTTGGGAATGGACGTACCCCGAGATGAAAGCGTTGAAGGGGAAGGTGGTGATGACGAGGCAGTAGAGGAATTGGGCGATGCCGGAGAGCATGAGGAACAGTTGGAAGCCGTCCAAGAGTTTCAATTTGGGCGCGGCTATGAGAGTGGGGGGAAGGGGGGGGGGGAGGCCGAAACCGGATGGGTTAGGAGGTCAGGGGAGGCAATTATGGGATTCCTGGTGCAAGTGAGAAGAACGGATGTATGGAAACGGACTGTTTTGGTTATAGTTGTTCCATAGGTTTGTTGCACTGCTCGCCAAGGACGACGAAGAAGAAGAAGCGGAGGAAGTGGAGCTGCTCGTGGTTCGTTTCGGGGTCACGGCAGCTGAAGCCGCCGCGGGTGCAGGGGTAGCGGATGTCTCGGTCAAGACGACCTTGGTGTTGGGTTTTGATTTGGAAGGTGTGGCGGGAGCGGGGGAGGCGGTGCTGGAGCTGGAGGAGGGCTTGGGCGTCGAGGACGAGCCGACACGTCGCGGGGGCCTGGACAGCGGAGTGGCCGAGCGATGGTGAGGCGTGTGCAGGCGGTTCCGGGGTCATGTGGGGACGAGAACCATGATCAGTCAGAGCTCTCCTTCTGGTTTGGAAGAGTATGTACGAGCTTACATGATTGCGTGGGCTAGGTGGTGGGCTGAGGATTGGACGACGACCGTGCACGCCTGCGCAGTTCGAGACAAGCCGGACGTTGACGTGGTCACAAATCGCGCATTATGTACATTCCACCCCCGAAACCGAAGAGCTAATAGTGCCAGTCTAATGAGGTCTAATGCCCCCCTCGACTCGCCTCCGCACGCGCGCGGGCGACGACGACCTCGCTTCCTCGTGCAACGACGAGTCGGCCATCTAACTTCAAGCCCATCCATTGTCAGGCTCACCATGTCGATCGGATCACCTTCCACAGCAGATGCTATCAAGGTCAGTCCATATATTCAGCGTGTCAAATTACCTCTTCACGCGATAAGGCGCAGCGCTAATGCCCTTGTTCCGCTTCCGCGCTCACGTTCCCGACTTCGCAACCGGATCTCACACCTGGGCCATCATCCCTCGTCCGATCGCGTCCACCCACTCCAGGCATCCCTAAAAGCGCACAACGACTCGTTCGATCAGTTATTGCGACACATTCCCGCGCAGTACTACTTTCTCAACAACGACCAGATCCCCAACCAGGTAGGCCACTTCTGCAGGCACGACGAGAATCGACTCGGACCCGCATCGCTGACTTTGCCCCTTGCTTCCTTGCCGCTATCATCTCGCTTCTTGCATCTTCTGCTGCACCCTGAACCCCTCGCATTCCTTCCATCGGATCGAAATAGGACAAGCTGAGCAAATCGCAAAAACAGGCGCTCAAGAGACAGGCCGAGAAACCACAGGCCAAGCAGGCCAAAGCCGACAAGAGGAAAGAGGACCGGATCGCAAGGGTGAGGCACCTACCTACCCTCCCCGGTCATTCTCTTCCGAATTTGGGACTGACCATCGAATTGGGTTTTCCTGCGTGATTGTCCAAGTACGACCCCAACGAACCGCATACGATCCCCGAGATCTTATCGATGAAAGCGAACAAGCGAGCCAAGACGAACGACTCTGATGCCGAAGCGAGTGCCGATGGCGAGAGTGGCGACGAAGGCGAAGAAGAATGGCAAGACGCCGAGGACTCGTCTGACCATACTGACTTTAACGACTCGGATACCGACGATGGGATGGAGGATGAGGTCCCTTCTTTGGCGCCGAGGGATCCGTCTGCTCCTGTACCGACCGTTTCCGCGTTGAGGGAGAAACTGCAAAAGAGGATCGGCGAGATCCAAGCCATGAAGAGATCCAAAGCGGGGTCCTCGTCCGCCAAGGAAGCCGGTGGGGCCGAGGATGCCGAAGTCCAAGTCAAGAGCAAGGATGATCTTTTGGAAGAACGACGACGACGCGGTGCGTTGAGGGATAATCGGAGGAAGAAGAGGAAGGAGGAGAGAAAGCAACAGATGCAGAGTGGCGACGCGACGCAGAAGAGGAAGAAGGACGAGAGGGGCACCAGTAATGGACGGAAAGGAGGGGGAAAGGCGAATGCTCCCGGGAGGGTCGAGGAACAGGAACAGGATGAGGATGCTAGACCGGCTAAGAAGGGCAAGGTTAGTCTCGGGGAGTAGAGTCAGGTGCACTTTTGATGCTGACGAGGAGTCCCGCCTACCCTCTTTCCCAGACCTCGTCTCAGTCTTTGGTCGCTTCGACTTCCTCTGCCGTCGAACGACCGCCCGCGGACGCCTTCACCTTCTCCAATCTCGACTTTACCAACTCGCAACTCGCCGTAGCGCAAGCGACGACGATGGCCGGCTCAACCTCTTCCAAAGTGCACAAGCTCAGTTCGAGCAAGAAGAACCGCCATGACCTCCCCAAGGACGCGAATGCCGCTTTGGCCATCCTCAAGAAACGTAAAGAGAAACTGGCGACCTTGACGGAGGAACAGAGGGAGAAAGTGCAGGAGAAGGAGACATGGGAGAAAGCTGGTCTCCGGGCGGAGGGCGAGAAGGTTCGGGATGATGAGAAGAGGTTGAAGAAGATGGCCAAGCGGCAGGAGAGGCAAAAGGGGAAATCGGCGAAAGCTTGGGCGGAGAGGAAGGAGACGGTCAAGGATGGAATCGCGGCCAAGGTCGCCAAGAGGAACATGAACCTTGCGGCCAGGGAGAAGCAGAGGAAGGATAAGAAGATGGGGATCAAGAGTAAGAGTGGGACGGCCCCGACGAGGAAGACCAAGTCCAAGAGTCATGCGGGGAGGAACAAGACGGGGGGAGGGAGGCCTGGGTTTGAGGGGAAGGGGAAGAAGAAGTAGAGGATGACCGAGATCTCGATCGAGGACTTGTGTGGTGGTGTTGCATGCACGCGCCCTGTGTAATCATATCTTTTCGCCAGTTCGATTTTGCAGTCTTGGTCTGCCCCTCTCCTCTGCTTGATGTTTACGAAGAGCAGTGAAGTCGTGAGATTACAAGAAAGCGTTGGCCGCGAGTACAACAGTACAAATACATCGTTTGGTTATCAACCTCCCCACCCTGACATCCTCAGCCCCTCGCTCCTCAGCTGCTCGTGGCCAAGCCACCGATCGGCGACCACTATCGCCTCCTCTCGAAAGCGCTCGATCTTCCCATCGCAACACTGTGGATCGAGAAAGTTCCGCCGATTAAGCCGATGCCTTGCTTGGCTGGGATCAAAGAGGCATCTGGTCAACCCACATGCTGAGATCCATGACCCATTCTCCCAATTCGAGGTAGGTCTGCGTCAGGAGTGAGCCACGTCATCAGGAGCCTCGTCAGTCTCTCGAATGGACGATTCAGAACTGCGCCACGTGCGAGAGAGGGAGGACCTCTGCACGGAGTACTTACGACGCATAGCTGCCTGAGATCCTTGGAGCCTATCCTCGTTAACGCGGGGGAGAGACCGGTCGAACGCTTGATTCCGGCCAAGCAGGCCGAAACGAGGAGCACGTCGAACGTGAGGTGCATCAACTGAGGCCAACCAGCGGGGGGAATTTGAGGGTCAGGGATTGAGCGAGTGATGTAATGTGTGTGTTGACTTACTCGACCGAAGCCAAACATGATGGTGGCAAGTGGGATCGGTCAAGAAGCACGCCGAGGACGGGCGGTGGGTCCGAGCGGGAGAAAGGTGCTCTAATTGGTCATTTCAAGTGCACTTCTAACCGCACCGTAGTGGCGGCTAAGGCTAATGGCGGCACTGTGGCGGAGCGCGATCGCCGGGTGGGAGCGAGCGAGCGAGCCGGAGCAAGCGGGAGCAAGCGCGTAGCTGCGCGTAGGGACCGATCTGGACCGATCGACCAGTCGGTTGTTTCACTTGTTTCACTTGTTTCACTTTGGCGCCCTTCCCTCCGGTTCGTCAACGTGCACTCTCGACGAAAGCTACCCGCGTCCATGCCCGCCAGCACACGATGGCAATCCATCCGGAGACTGGGCATGTTGCTCTGTGTGATGCACTTCCTCCTCACCGTCGTTTCGGCGGCGGCCTCGGCGCCTGCATCAGCCTCGACCCCGGACTCGACCTCGGTCGTCGACTTGTTCCTGCGATCGGTCAAGCGCCATGAGCACCATGACGAGGACTATGGACCATACGAGCAGAACTTTATGAACGAAGAGGTACGTCTAGTCCGGTTCAGTGCCATGGGCGTCACGAGCTCGAGCTCGAGTTCGCTCAGCCGACGCGCCCTCTGAAACTGTCACGGTGATTGGTGTGCTGACCCATGTCTGTTCACGTGCCACAGCCACTCGATTCCATGATGAGGTGGCACATTGGCATTCAAGCCGTCTGCTGGGGCTTTCTCTTTCCCCTCGGTACGTTTGAACCTCCCCAGGCCGAACTAGCTGAGGGTTTGGCCAACTATAGACCCGCTCCTCCGAGGCATCCCCCTGACAACCTGTTGTACCTACCGCATCCCCCAATCGTGCAGGCATGGTCCTCGGTTTGACCAAGTCCAAATTTCACGCACCGCTTCAAGTCCTGACCTCGATCGTCTCCCTCTTCGGAGGCAACTTTCTCGCGCACCACCACGGAGGCCGAGAATTCCACACCACCGCGCACTCCAAACTGGCCCACTACCTCAAGTACTACCTCATCCTGCAATGTCTCCTCGGCACGTTCCTCAAAACGCACGTGTGGCAGCAAAGCAAATTTCGTCGCGGCGTCGTCGTCTTCCACAGCGTCGTCGGCAAATCCTTCCCCGTCGTCGGGTGGGTACAGATGATCTTTGGCGGCATCGCCACGCTTGGATTCTGCTTTGGCGAGCACACGTTACAATGTGTTGCGCATTTCGCCATGGGCAGTGGTTTCATCGGTGCGTGGTGCTTCATTCTTCGTCAGCGTCTCGAAATTGGGAGCTAATGCAGATAGACGTATCCCGCGTCCTTGCAGGGTATGGCATCATCCTGCTGATCTTGTTCCGGCTCGGAGCACGCTGGCTCGAGCGACGCGGGTGCGCTCAAGAGATGATTGACTCGTGGGTTTTGCTGGTGAGTTGCATCGACTTCTGATCAATTTGTTCTGGGTTATTCCTCTGTGGTCCTGATCCAACTTTTCCAAACTCTTCAGGTTCTTGGCATTGTCAATACGTTCACGGAACACAACTTTTTGGGGGGCAACGGCGGGTGGTCGCACAAAGGTGAGTAGGAGTGAACCACGAGTCATTGTCGTCGGATAACACGCTGATTCTCCTCGATTATGTCTCGCAGACATGAACCATGTCAGTTTGGGCGTTCTCTGGTGGGCCGGTGGAGCGCTCGGCGGGTGGCTCAGTCGAGGTGGCCGTCGCAACATTGTCCCCGGTCTGCTCATCTCCATGACCGGCTATGCCATGTCGGGCCACGCACAAGCCATCGAGTTCTCGACCGCCGTTCACAAGTTCTTCGGATTCGCTTTGATGGCCGCTGGGTTCGCGCGCGTCATCGAAGTCTGCTTCGTCCTTTCGGATCAACCGACGCCCGTGCTCTCCCCCTCCGTCTCGGCTCGGGCATTCCAACACCTGACGCCTTACCTCCTCGTTCTGAGTGGACTCACTTTCCTCTCCTCGACCGAAGAACAAATGGCTTGGGTCGGCCGCGACATCGGGATGGACCACATCACCTACGCCAATATCATGTTCGCGACCGCGTTCGTCATCTACCTCGTCGCCGTCATCCTCGTCGAGACCTACGAACGGCTCATGTTGGAGCTTGAGGCGCGTGAAACGGGCATCACGGGAAGGGTCGATGAGGAGGAAGGTGCCGGAGCAAGAGAACATAGGCGCTGGATCTTGGGTGGGATCATCCCCCTCCCCAGAGCTAGTGAAAGGTTTTGGGAAAGCTCCTCAGCTCGAGGAGGTGCAGGTTCGAACGATCGTCAAGAACGAACGAGAGCACCTTACGAATCGGTCCCCATGTCCGTTTCGAACAGGAGGTCTGACGAAGATGAGGTCGAGTTGAGGAGTGGGGGTAGTAGTGCGACGATGACGAATATGGGTGAGGATAGATCCGTGTTCGATATTGGGGAGGAAGAGGAGGCCGACGCGCGCGAGTTCTGGGACGAGGCAGCTTTGAAGGAGAAGGTTGAACGGGCGACGAGGTAGGCGGCGATTGATTGGGGGTTGCTCTGTTTCTTATCTTTTTTTATTGTGTGAAAATTGCGCTGTCGTAGTAGTGAACATCGGCCTTGCGAGTGCATGTTGCTTTGAGACCATACGCAAAACTTCATTGAAAGCGGAACGTAAGAACCGGCGCACGGCGCATCGAACGTGTGGTGCTCGAACGGGGGAGACGCGGGAGCCTGAAGTCTGATTGATCGAACGTTGCGTGGAATGTGAAACGACAAGCACCCCAGGTCGAAATCCTTTAAATGTCTCGTCGAGTCAAACGTTGCCGCGGCGCCCGCACCGGCTGCAACTCGGAACGGCGCCCGGACGCGCAGTATATAGTTTCAGCTCGCGTTATCGGCTACGCCGTTCGGCGACAGCGCTGGGCTCAGGAAACACGGGTGTGCTCAAAAAAAGCGCCACCATCAGCAACTTTGCCACTCGCGCTTTAGTGCAATTTAGCGCACTTTAGTCGCACTTTTTGTGAAATTTAGCTCGTTTTCTATAATCTCCGGTGCGCTAAATTGCACTAAGCGCGAGTGGCAAAGTTGCTGATGACCCCTGCCAAGATCTCGGAATGCAGGGGCCCTTGAGTCCGGGGCGCTTCCTTCTTGAGCGTGAGACAATGTCGATCACTGGGCACTTAAACAATTAAAGATAGGCCACCTGGTCAAGGATACAGGGGCATGAGCATCTAGGTCGCTACCGGCGCCAAGGGGCGGCCCGCACTTTCACAGTGCTAAGGCAGTGATGGGATCGCGAGTCAGGACTCCATTCGACGGGTCGAAGAGTTGGCGCAAAGAAAAGGGACGCCTAAGAGCACAACTCTACTAGTATCGAGGTTGCTCGGATCGCCTCGTGACGGTTGCGACCGCGGCGCGGTTCGGTGTGGCATATGTGCGTAGAGATAAGATTTTTCTGTCGGACCCCCTTCTCCTCCCCCTCCCCCTCCCTCTCCCCCTGTCACCCCTCCCCAACGTCGACAGGTTTAGACACCAAGTGCTCGAGATAGTCCCTCTTCACTTGTCGGCACTCGCGACTGCCTTGGCTCTGGGCCTCGTCGCGACCCTCTCGACGGCGAACAGCGTTTTCGACCCAGGGCCCGGCCGACATAGGTTTCATCAACCCCGCGTTCCAGGCGTTCATTCGCGGCTGCTGCAACGACAATGCGGACAACGGCGCCCCGGCGGAGCGACGAAGATTTGCCGCACCCTTGTCATCACTGCGACGACGATCACTGAGGCGGATGGAAGCGCCTCCTTAATCGATATTTACAAGGCGCCGTCGACTCCCAGAAGTCCAACAACACGGGATGGTTTCCTTTCCTTTCCAATGCCTCCGCTGGCACACCCGCCAAGGGGTGCCACATCCTTTGGGACGTTGGATTGCCGCTCTTCTGAGTTGACGCGTCGACCGCTTTTTGTCATGCTGCCGGAATTTCAATGGTCTGAGGGCTGGTCGAGAAGGGCAGATTTCTTATTCATGATTCCGGTTAGAGTTCTTCTGATCTCAGCAATCCCGAACAATATTCTCAAGCCGGCCCCGAGCCGTTGGACAGGTGCAGCGCACAGACGAAGTTGAAATCCACGAGCACATTCGGAGCAGCAGCCCCTGAACATCGCGCGGCAGCGCATCAGAGCGCATCGCGAAGTTGCCCAATTTCCATGGTAGTTGTGCCGAGTGGGGAGATCTTCTGAGAGTGGGCACGTTGAACAGCCCGCAGAATTTTGAGCAATGTGTGCACAGGACAATGTGTGCACAGGCATTGCTTGCCGTGGCCGTGTTCATAAATCCAGTGCTTTTCCCCGTTCTTTATCGCCGGTAGCGATGATAGGCCGTTTGCAGCACTCTCCAGTGTCGAAGATTCGCATTTGTGTACCTTTGCGCTGACGTCTCATACCGTCGAGTCCCGTTCCCCAGTCACAAGTGTAGTAAAATGAGTACTTACAAATAAAGTACTGAAGGTATCCACCTTCCTTAGGTGTCTACATCGAGCCTTCAGTTCGTAGCCTACCGGTTGCAGTGCTCGCAGCGACTCGAATCCTATTCTTGAAACTCAAACCACGCTAGTGATAGCTGCGATAGCGCATCGGCCGGAGCGGATCCAAGGTCTCCGATCACGCCTCGGCACCAAACTGATTGCAATCACTCTGGTGTGCGCCAATCCAGAGCCCAAGCTCTTGGTGAAAGGTCCTCGAGGATAAGCCGATTGATCGAAGCTTACTGGAGGTCTTACCGGCCTCCTTCTCTTCTCTGACCTGTATATGCCGACCTGTCTCGCGCCCTTTCTCCTTCTTCCCACTCTCCCCATCACTCCTCGAAACTAATCCACATCTCCACCATGCCTGGGGTTGTTGTCCTTCCACAAGCAGCAGGCTATGGTGTCGTTCTCGGAATTGGTCTCTTCTTTTCTGCGTTAATGGTCGGGTTGACCTGGGTCCAAAATCGGTACACAAAGTTAGTTCAGGGCCGTCCCGCGATAGCCGCGCCGGGTGCTAATCACGAAGAAGTTTCGCCGCTGACCGAGTTTCCCCACTCCCTACCCCCTCCCTGTGCAATAGATACAAGGCAACCAGTGTAGCAGAATTCACCTCGGCCAGTCATTCCGGTCAGTGATTGTTTTCAAACTGGAGGTTGATGCATCTTCACAGAGCCTGGCCGCGTCGGTACACGGCTGACGATCCGGTTGCCTCGTCCCTCCTTATCACCACGAATCTGGAACAGTCAAGCCTGGATTGATCGCTTCGGGCATCGTATCGGCGTGGACATGGGCCGCAACGCTTTTGCAATCCAGTGCGGTCTGCTACAAGTAAGTCTTGTTCTGCCGGGCTCGTATGATCGTATACAAGGGTGTAACTTGATTGGCTGATGTGATTCCTCATCTCACACACTCAAGATTCGGCATTAGTGGATCTTGGTGGTACGCCGCCGGCGCGACGGTGCAAGTGCTCCTCTTCGCTCAGAACAGTGCCAAACTCAAGACCAACGCGCCCAACGCCTCGACGTTCCTGGAAGTGATCAGAACACGTTGGGGGACTCTCGGTCATGCTACCTTTGGATTCTTCGCCCTATGCTGCAACATCCTCGTCTCGTCGATGTTGATCACGGGAGGCTCGGCGACGGTCACGGATCTCACGGGCATGTCGACCCATGCCGCTTGCATGCTCATCCCCGTCGGAGTCGTCATCTACGTCCTCATCGGTGGTCTTCGTTCGTCGCTCCTCGCCGATTACTTGCACACCACCTTCATCTTCTCTATCATCCTGACCTTCATGTTCACCGTCTACACGAGCAAGTCGGCCGGTATCGGCTCACCCAAGGCTCTGTACGAGCGATTGACCGAGATTGCTAAGATCCACCCTGTCAAGGATAACGCTCAGGGTTCCTACTTGACCATGCGATCAAAGTCAGGTACGAAGGGGCTTCACCCGCTCTTCTTTGCGCAGAACTCGTCTAATAACACTGGTATACACCTTGATTACACTTTCTGCGCTGTATTAGGCTTGATCTTCGGCGTCATCAACATCATCGGCAACTTCGGAACGGTCTACTGTGACCAAGCCTACTGGCAACGAGCGATCGCGTCGGAGCCCGCGTCTTGCGTCAAGGCGTTTATCCTCGGTGGGACGGCGTGGACCTCGATCCCTCTCGGTTTCGCTACTACGATGGGTCTCGCGGCAGTCTACTTCCAAGTCGATCTCACGCCGGGTGAAGTCTCTGCCGGTCTGCCCGCCGCGGCCGCCGCTGTTCAACTTTTGGGCAAGACGGGTGCCATCTTGATGTTGATCTTGCTCTTCTTGGCCGTCACATCCGCTGCTTCGGCCGAGCTTGTCGCGGTCAGCTCGCTGTTCACCTACGACGTGTACATACCCTACATCAACCCGCGCGCTTCAGACTCACAAATTCTCAAAGTGGACCACATCGCCATCGTCGCCTACGGTGTCATTATGGGTCTTCTTGGCATCATCTTTTTCGAAGCTGGTATCTCGATGGGCTGGCTGTGAGTCGGACAGTGATATGTTGAAGACGCTCACGCAACGAGAGACTGATTTCGGGGATTTTTTTCCTCACAGCTACGAGTTCATGGGCTGCTTGATCGGTAGCGCGGTGGCTCCTATCGCGCTCGCGATCATGAGCGCCAAGGCGAACCGCCTCGGTTGCATCGCGGCGGCTTGGATTGGTTTGGCCGTCGGAATCGCGGGATGGCTCGGTGTCGCCGCGGCAGAGAACAACGGCAAGATCACGATCGACACCACCTTCCAGGACTACCCGATGCTGACAGGCAACCTCTTGGCTCTCGGCGTGTCGTGCATCATCGCCTTCTCGACCTCGTGGATCTGGCCCGAGAACTTTGACTGGGAGATCACCCGAGCGATCCATTCTGAGCGCGACCACTTCGAGACCGCCCCCGTCAAAGACGTCGATGTCGTCGAGGCCGAAGGCTCTGACAAGAAGGAAACCGAAGCCGAATCTCCTAAGGTTGCGAGTGCCCGTGCCTCTTTCTCGGAAGAAGGTGGCCTCGCGTACAACGAGAACAAGGACCCTGCCAAACTTCGTCAAGCATTCAAGCTCGCCGTCTACGTCTCGGTCGTCCTCTTCTTCCTGCTCATCATCGCCATTCCCTTGCCCCTCTTTTTCTCGAGCTACGTTTTCCCCCAAGTCGGCTTCACGGTCTGGATCGCCATCACTTTCATCTGGGTCTTTTATGGGTCGTTCGCGGTCGTCATTTACCCCATCTACGAATCGTACGGTTCGATCGCCGAGATTGGGAAAGCCATCTATGCCGATGTGACGGGCAAGAGGGTCAAGGATGTGGCTCCGAGCGAGGAGTAAGGACCGCAGCTGGAGCTCGATCGTGTAGCCTTTTTTCTTTCCTGTTCCCAAGTTCCCGGGGGTGTTTTGTGACAAGTGTGATATTTGGGGGAGTTGACGGGTTGGACTAATTTAGTGCCATGAGGCTTATGATAAGCAATCGAACCATGCTCAAAACATTTCGAGCCAAGAGCCGTCCGGTCGCCGAGGTGTGAGTGAGACCGAGTTTGGGTCACGAGTGCCAAGTGGAGCTCAACTGGTGCCCGCTCGCATCCGACCGAGACGAAGCACACTGCTGCCAACGGCGCATCGATCGGCGGCGAATTGGTTCGATAGCATTAGTCGGGACGCTGAACGCTCGTGGACACGCGCTGTTAGAGGTCGTCTTGCTCGCCCATCGATAGGCTGAGCTCGAGCTCTCCGGTGCGAGATGAATCTCGAGCTACTCAGTAAGTCAGCGAAATCCATCGCACGTCCATACCGCCAACGTGGGACGAGCGCACTGATGCACCACCTACCACCTCCATCTCCCAGACCCCTTCTCCCAAGCGTTCCCGGAGAACCATGACTCTGCACTGGAGGCGATCGCGTTGTGTGCCCGATTCAACCCACATGGCGTCTTCGCAGGGCATTACCTCGCCGTAGGAAGGTTGGACGGCGTCGTGTCCGTGTTGGACTTTGAAACCAAGGGGGTGGTGAGATGGCTGGAGGGGCATATCAAGGCGGTGACGGTCGTATGGTGAGTGGGCTGGGTCCGGTCATCGTCGACGCGAGTTCTGCTCGTTTGGCGCGTCGCGGCGCGTGCTGCATCTAGTGCATGCAGGATGCCCAACAGTGGCTTGAACGAGATATGGAGCATTCAGACCGGACTATGGCGAATCCAGCAGACTGACTCGCTCTTGTCTTTCCCTTCTCAGCTGGTCTCGCAACTCTCGCTACCTCCTCACCGCCTCTCGGGACTGGAACGTCATCCTATGGGATCTCGCCGCATCAAGTGCCGAACAGATTCAGGGCGCAAGAAAACATACCATCCGCTTCGACGCGCCCGTTACGAGTGCCGATCTACATCCGAGGAATAGGTCAGTCATAAGCACCGCACAGCCTTCCGGAACATGTCGCCTGGGAGTTGACTGTGCAGAAGCGGTGACGTTTGACAGCAATATCGTCGTTGTGACACTGTATTCCCAAGTCGAGCCTGTCTTTGTCGATTCGAGGAAATCGTGTGGCGGGAGATGGCATCTCGAGACACCTCAGGGCCAGGACAAGGCGGACGAGGAAGATCCCGAGCAAGATGAAGAAATTGACGCCAAGAAGCAGTGAGTGAGAGAATTTTGAGTCGAGCTGGCGTAGCCATGACGATTTGATGTTCTGATGTAATCTTGATGGTCCTCGCAGGGATGTTGCTACCGTAGCACGGTTCAATCCCAAAGGTGACCTAATCTACGTCGGGACCTCACTGGGCAATATCCACGTTTGGGACGTGCAGACAAAGCAGGTGGGTTCTCGTATCCTGCTCGTCCATTACCGCGATACGTGGCGCTCAGTTTGGCTTTGTTGTTGAAAATTTGTGCAGCACCTGTGGACCGAATACACTGACGTTCCCTCGTCGATCAAGCATATGGTCTTCAACAAGGAGGGGGAGTGAGTTGCTAGAAAATGAGAGTGAAAACGTTTCAACGTGCCTGGGCTGAGCGTGCTTGCTCATAATGCCCTCAGTGCGATCGTGCTCAACTCGAACGATCGATGTATCCGTGTCTTCCATTTGTTAGACGAGCCATGGGACAGCTCAATGAAACAAGACGTGGGAGACGGTGCCAGCCCTATGGATACTTCAGGCACGAATGGGGCGACTTCTCTTCCACGACCACCTCGGATACCTTACTTCCACCTGCAGCACGCTTTCCAAGACCTGGTCGAACGCACACCTTGGAACGGCTGTCGGTTTTCGCAGAGTGGGGATTACATCATAGGAGGTAAGAGGATCGCGACGCAGCGACTGATGCATAGAGTGAGACTGACATCGCGGCTTCTCTATTGCCCTCCCAGGTGCCGGCCACAAAGGCGCGCACAACATCTACATTTGGGATTCCGACTCGGGAGGTTTGCTCAAGATCTTGGAAGGGCCCAAAGATCCACTCGAAGACGTCGATGTGAGTTGATACGACTCGTCAGGCTGATGTAGGACGATTGGACTGAGGCGATTATTTTGTGCCGGTCTCAGTGGCATCCACTTCGACCTCTCATTGCTTCCGTTTCGACTTTGGGCCTCATTCACCTTTGGACAACGGGTATCGTCGAGAATTGGAGCGCTTACGCCCCTGGCTTCGAAGAGTTGGATGAGAATCGTGAATACGAGGAGAAGGAGGATGAGTTCGATATTGCAAGTTGGCCTCTTCTTCCTCCAATTTTGACTCCTTCTACACTGTGGCTAACGCGCGGTGGGTTTGGCTTCGATCGAATAGGAAGACGAGACCGTCGTCAAGAGGAGGAAAGCGGACCAACAGGACCGACCTGTCGACATTTTCACCTCCCACCGAGAGCAACTCAGCTCTGCCCCCGTCAACCTCGACGACGAATACGAAGATTACGTCTCGATCGAACCCGACGGGGACGCTGATGAAGGCTTCTATCCGCCTCTGCAATTATTGGACGAATACCAAGGCGAACCACCCGTTGAGTCACCTTCGGACACGACGGCGTTGGGAATGGTCGCGGAGGTGGAGGAAGCGGGGAACATCAGTGAGGAGTTGGGTCTTGTCGAACCTGAACCGGCCGCGGTTGTGGCAGTCACGGCTAGTAAGAAACGCAGTAAGAAGAGGTGAAGACAAAATCGTGTTGTAATATAGTGGAATGAGGGCTATCGGCCTGGGCGGGCATGCAAGATTCTTGGATGCGTGAGCGCTCAATTGAAGTCAATCTAATGAGCGCTCGGCGAGCATGCCGGATGCACAAAGACTGTCGACCTCGTTCTCCCATGATTAAAACAATAAGCCGAATACGGCATGCGTGGTTCGGTGCACGTACCTCGACATCGTGGAAACCCGGGCGAAAACCGCTCGGATCATGCCGCAGACGAGGTCCGGGTGCCCGTCGGGCGTACGCTCTCTCTCCCTCCGTCGTGCCCCGTGTTCGTCTGGACGTCGCTTCGTCAGCATGACTGTACGTCCGTAGCCTCCGTTGCAGACCTTCCAAGCTATGGTGAGAGGATGAAGCTAACTGCGCTTGCTGCATGTGCACAGTCAACGTACAAGTTCAACGTTGTAAGCCCTCTTGAACAGCCAGTTGCGGTGACCGTGCACGTGCCTTGCAGAGGACGATGCGACAAAGCCCACCTCTGCAACTTGCGTCGGGTTCGATGTAACCAGTCATGTTGACGTTCTTACATACATTTCCCTCGTCTTCAGGTCATGACGTGTTCAGGCTGCTCGGGTGCGATCGATCGAGTGTTGAAGAAGACAGAAGGTTAGTCAGCATCCTCGACTCGTTATTGAAGCAGCTCATGGCTCAAACGACCTCCATTTGCTCCTATAGGTGTCTCCTCTTACGACATCTCGTTGGAAAAGCAAGAGGTGCTCGTGCACGCGTCGTCCATCTCGTACGACGACGTCTTGGCCAAAATCAAGAAGACGGGCAAGGAGGTCAAGAGTGGTGAGGTCGTCAGTTCGGCTTGAGGGGGGGCTCGGGGGCTCGTTCATGGACATGTAGAGTAATGGTGCCATATATTTCAAATTCAACTCTCCAGTGACCCCTCAGCATCGATTGGAAAGCGCCTCTAGCGCTCATGGTGCCGCCTTCGTCAGGCCTCGTCTTGAGCCCCACATGTGCTCGCGGGCGATGCACCGCTAGTCCGCCCGATCCAAGCACAGGCGCATCATTCCACTAAGCCCTCACAAAGCCAGCGCAATGAAGTATCTTGTAGGGTTTTGTCGTCGTACCGCAGACGGCGACACAGCGATTAAATCTGCTTGTCGCACTGGCGATGTGTAGCTCAGAAAGTGAGAGTTGCTCAATCTCTACCCGCATATTTTCCATCTCGAATCAAGGACATTGCCCCGACATCCCCATGTATAGCCCCAGATATGATTGGAAACGTTCAGGGCAAAAGACAGGAACACCGAAACAAGCGATACCAGCCATGGCGAGCTAGTAGTTGCGCTCTCCTGCAATGCGCAGCAGAGTTCGATACGACAGGCAACTCCTCGGGCGGTGCTTTAGTTTCGTCGAGCATAAGTTTCAGGTTCGAGCATTTATACCATTAAAGTAAAGTAAACTATATATAAAATTGGAACACTGCAAGGTTCAGACCGCAGACGCGGCCTTCTCGTGGTGCTGCGTCGACCCTTTCTTCGCCTTGTCGGGATCGATCCCAAAGTTCTCGAGCAACGCCGAAGGCGAATGCGAAGCCGACGTAGGGTCGACATGGGTCGAGGAGAACTTTCGAGCGGATACACCTTGTTCGAACAAAACGTCAAGCTCTCCGAAGGAACGCCCCTTGGGTTCGGGTAAGCGGAAGTAGCAGTAGACGGTGCACAGGAAGCAAAAGCCTGGATCGGATCATCGACGAGGGGGGGCGGGTTAGCGTTCACGGAAGCTTGCGTTTGGGGCCACAGCTAACAATTATTTCTGAACGTACCTGCGTAGAAGAAACCGGTCTTTGGCCCCCAGTCTGCGGAGAAAGACATGGTTTCCACAGTGAGCGACAATCCTGAGAGCCTTCAAGCTGGGCACGAATGCTGACCTAGGGCTTCGGGGTTGAGGAAGCGGGGCATGATGACATAGTTCACGATGCCGAAAAGGTTATAGAAATTTCGAGCCAGTACGACCGTCTTGGCACGCAAGCGAGTCGAAGACATTTCGGCGACGAGCGAGTAGCAGACGGGACCGACGGAGAGGTCGTAGATGAACGTATAAAGAAGGAGCATCGCACCGACCGCTCGGACGGCGGACACGCTGTTGGCGATTCCCATAAATCCAATAATAAAGAGAATGCCACAGAGGGCCGCAAGTCCGTACGTGTAGATGTTCCTTCGCCCCGCATGCGACATCAAGATCCACGACGAGCACGTCCCGACTAGACCAAGCGCATATTGTCCGAGGGTTAAATTGAATGAATCTTCGGCGGAGAAGCCGGCTTGCTGCAAGAAGTAGGCCGAATAACCCATAAAAGATGATCCACACAAGTTCTGGATCGACCAGACAGTGCACGCAATCTAATGACAAAGAATGTGGATACCAATCTGGTTAGCTTCAAGGAGACGTCGGGGATGACAACAGAACGACACGGGAGACCGACCTCGGTTCGTCGTCGATCGATGCCTTTGAAGCAGTCAATGTAGGAAATCCCGGCAGAAATACTCTCTTCAAGCTTGTTGGTGTACGACATGAGTTTGACGCTGGCCTCGGGCGAAAATTCGGAGCCTTCCTCCGGGGTAGTCAATCTCCTAACGGACTTGACAGCTTCCTCATCTCGTCCCTTTCGGGCGAGGTACCACGGGGATTCGGGGATGAAGATGCACCCGGTCAAAATAATTACGGGCCAGAACCATTGAAGCGCATAGGGAACGCGGTATGCCTGCAATCATGTTTTCCTTAGCGTCAGCCAGCGTCGTATCTTTCAGTACCAGCCCGAAACGTCTGAGTAGTGACGTACCCATTGATCCGTACGTCCAAGAAATCCTCGAAGGACGCCGGTGGCGATCAGCTGGCCGATAACCCAGCACGCGTTGATCCAAGTCGTCAAGATCGGGCGAAGTTTAGTGCAGCAGACCTCCGAAGCGAATGCACATGCGAGCGTGGAAAAAACACCCCATGGAACTCCTTGCGCAAGGCAACCCACAAAGAGCACCTCGATCGACGGGGCAAAGAAGGGAATGAAGATGACCCCGATCATAACCAATAGGGAGCCAATCATGGTCTTTTTGTATCCGAAGCGATCGACCAGCCATCCATTGAGGAATACACCGGCGATGGAGCCGACTTGAGCACCGATCGAGAGTCCTGATTGCCACGGAGCCGAGATGCCGTACGTCCCGTCGGGCAGCAGTTTTCCATCTATGTGGTGATCATAGGTAGATCCAGAATCAGTGAGATGATACCAGACCCGGATGATCTTCCGTTAACAAGGGTAGTAAGCTGTGACACGCGAGCCGAATACGCGCGAAGTCTACGGAGCTCTCGGCTTACATTTCCGGACGAAGGGTAGAAAGCCGAAGAAGGATGGCAACAAAGCAGTGTCTGAACAGTGAAGTGATAGCAACATCAGTGAACATAGAAGTAGTCACAGTGACGAGAGCGGCAGGACTCGCCATAGCCTTCCATGATGATCGCCATGGACAGGAGCAAAGACCAGCAAATGCCCTTCTTGTAGAGCCGAATCGCCTGCCCCATCGTGAGATTGTGGTCGAAGGTTTGTGCGTCCCGCGCCTCTCGGGTCATACTTTCAAAGTCTTCCACCTGGTTTTTGAAACGTCCACCACTACTGGACCTAACCTTGGTCGTCGTTGACATCGTCCCGTTTCGCACAGAGCCATTTGCCGACAGATCTGCGAGTGCTCGCACAAAGGCCCGAAGCCGGGGGACGAAGACTGTGTCAGGAAAGCCTGTCGTACTCGTTGCCACCTTTTGCACGCACGCTCGAGCGACTTACCGATAGTATCGTTGAGGCTCGACATTGTGATTATGAGCGTGTCCAATATGCAAATATGCGGAGCGGAGTATCAGGAGGCAAAAGACGTTGAAGCAGACACACTTGAACTGCGCAGGCCCGGGCGGGCGGGAAAGGAGGCGAACTGACGCACTGAGCTGTTACGATCACCCGTCAAATCTTCGAAGCCGTTCCATCCATCCACTTTCAACGAATTTGTTCGATTCGATTCCGTCGTGGCGCTACTTGGCCGAATCCGAGTCATTCCATCAGCGTCCATCGGCTTCCAGAATCCTCGACGATGGATCTGGGGCGTCGGGCTCATTCTCTTGCTTCATCCGATTCGCTTCCATTTCCTTCTACACATGGTGTTTGAGATCGATTCTTAACCTTCGGAAACCTTTGGAAACCTTCCACAAGTTTCACTATGGGACCCGGCCCATTTGTAGACGTTTCTTTGCTTTCTGCAAGCAACAGCATCGTCCTTGATCCCATAGTAGTCCCTGTCCCAATCTATCTCGAGAGCAACCACCTTGACCAACATCCGTTGCTTCACCGTCCTAACCTGATCTCTCAATCGAGACTCCGCCGCACCTCATCTCTCCCTTGTTTTAGCCGTCTAGCCCCGCCTACTAGTAGAAGGTCCGCCCGGGCCCTTGCGGCGACAACCGTTAGACCTCTGATTCGCTTAATCGCAATATTTTGTTATTGATCGTTTGAAAAAAAAGCAAGTCGTAACTAGAACTTGATAGTCCTAGCTACTCAGAGGCTACTTATAGGGCTGTATTGTAAGGCATGCCCTGACACTTAAGGTCAAGGATAAGGAGTGGCAGTGAGTCCCGAGTCCCGGTTTTAATTATTCAGTTGCGGCTTGCCGAACATGTCTCCTAACTTCCACCTGCTTGCTCCTGTCCCGCAAGCGATCCCCGCGGCTCTGGGGGAACACGTGCTGTGCCGCATTCCCTCCTGAACATGTATGTAGCAGCGACTAATGAAGAGTGCCCCTTGTCAATCCTGCATTCTTTGTGATGTTATTGTCGTCGCTCTGGTGTACTCCTATGCGGCGTATTACACTTACCAGTTTTTCCACGCCGGTCATCAAAGTGACTCCATGCGCTCGGTCTTCCTCATCACCGTGCTCGTCGCGACCACTGCATGTCGGCCACAGTACTAGGTGTTCCTCTTCACAACGACGGGTAGGTTGTTACTTGCACGAATGTCATCAATAAATTATGATTGCTCGACTAACTAAGTTTTGATTGGCAACTTGAAGCTCCAAAGGGCGAGACAAGACCGCAAATTTGACGACGCCTCAAGCGGGAGTGGCCGACGACTCGAGAAGATGAAGAAGGGGGATCTCCGGTGCTTGCGAACAGAAACTGGTGGCACTCGTTGCGATCAGTTCCTTAATGGATCTGAGCCATTCGAATGTTTTGCCTCTTTCCGGTATCTGTCCATGCTACAGTCTCCTCGTCGCGCAGTGCTTCCTCCGGTACGTGAACCCGGCTGTCTTAGCGTAAGTCGCGTTCGGGATTTCCCGGCTCTCTGGCACGGGGTTAATGCTGACCGAATGGAATGCTTCCGAGTCCCAACCTCCCAGGCAATGTGATAAATATCAGGATTGCCTCCAATCATTGGTGAAGTATGGATTGACCCAAGAGGATATCACAGAGCAAGTTAACCTCTGCAAACAATCGGGGAAACGCTCTTGAGTCGAGACGCAACAAGCGTCGGTGGCCATGAATCGAAAGGGGACCTCTGGAGAATTAGGAAGCATTTCATTTACATCGTTCGTTGGAATCAAGTCATAATTCGTTGCCAGTAGTCGATAGTTCTAGGTACCGACTTCCCGACCCAGGCCCGGAAAGAAACCCCGGCCTACTAGCCCCTGAGTCGCACAGCGCCTCGCTACTTGCCCGGCATCCGGTGTTGACAATTCCGCCCATTCAACGCTTTGTTTCTAGTCTAATAGTGGCTGTCGCACACGGTCTCAGGATTCCTCCACACCCGAAACAGAAAGGAACGCCACAGATCGAATCTCATCATTGGGACGGTACTACAGAACAGTACCAGGACAGAAACAAACCACTAGATCGGAGTAGTAGTGGTGACCTTTCAAATCCGCAAAAAAAAAAAAAGGCAAAAAAAAGGAAAGAAAAAATGGAAGAATGGACAGGGCGAGAAAGGAAGGACAAAAGGTTGTGTAATGTGGAGCTCGCGCAGTCGATAAGCTGTCGACGAACCGAAATGGGAGGAAGTGATGTGGGAGAGTGCGTGCACAGAAGGATAAAAGGGCGAGAACGGAGTGTGGGAGGGTCAAGAGTATGCATGCAAAGAAGCAAAAGAGGATGGAAGGAGATGAAACGTAGACCTTTTTTTTAGGTTGAAATTTTTATTGTAGGGTAGGAGTGGAAGCGAGAGGCGGCTCAAAGGCAAAGGGCATGGTGGGAACGGTCGCGGGGTGTCATCGAATCTCGAGCAGCTAGAGAAGTCGTCGAGCTTGACAGGACGTCAGTACCGTACGCGAACTGAATCGGTGGTACGTGACGGACGATCGCGCTGATGATGCTTGGAGGGTTCCGGAAGGTGTAGTGCAGGAGCTCTTGACGTAAAGACAATCGGAGTTACCACTTCGGCTGTTGCGTTCGATGGAACCGGAAAAAAGGTGTGCATCGTAGAAAACAAGACATTGTGGAGTAATGGATAGATGACGAAGCTGCGAGGCGGGTCAAACAAGTCGACGCTCAGTGTCTATGAGGGTAGGGTGAAGTCCTAAGAGGAGGGTCCTCACACTTGGGCAGACGAGACGAGTGACCATAGACGTTTAGGGTGGATAGGCGGCGCTCAGACGACATATTGATGACGTGACGGCATCGCGACGGTGAGCGTAGGCGATCTGTCGAGCCAGGTCGAGCGACGAGCAGCAGCAGGACGGCAAGGTCCAGAAGCGTCCATGTCGAGTTCGAGCAACGCGGCGTTGCGGCATTGCATCAGGGGCGTTGCCATAGGCGGGAGGAACTTGAACGAATCGGCCGTGCGAAGGCTCTGAGCCACATTAAGGACCATGGGAACACCGACGAGAGGCGACGACGGCGTTGAGGACGTGTCGGAGCCACGAGCGATCGCGCGTTGCAGTCGCTGGATGGCCGCATCGACTTCGACTGTGTTGCCAATGTTGCCGCGACCGAGCGAAGCACGACGCGACATTTCGTTGAGCCAAGCTGCCCATACGGCGCCATCGATTGAGGCATCGAAACCGAGAGAGCCAAAGACGTGGATCTCGAGATCGTTCACGTCCTTGAGCGGGATGCCCGAGACGGCGGCGAACGTTTCGTTGCGGTACGAGTTGTCTTGCAGGGTCTTGTTCGCCAGCATCAAGGCACCAAGCAGAATCTTGTACGGCGCCGACTTGAGCGCATTCGTGCAGCCCTCTGCGCCATCTTCGGCTTTGGCAGGCGGAATGATCGACGATCGAGGGATGCGCGAGACAAAGTGCAAGGCGAGCGCAATGTCCTCGGGCGCGACGAGCGTCGTCGTCAAGAGCTGCCTCACGAACTGACGGAAGGCGGGGGTCGGGTCCGCAGGGAACGCGAGTGGCATCGGTCTGTTATTGTTACTAAGGCGGCGACCGTTCGTGCGGATAACGTCGACGGGGCTGTGGAGCATGTCCTCGTCCGACGACGTCGCCATCTTGGCGCTCTGGCGCGTCTGGAGCTGTTCGCCTACGAAGGGGTAGGCAAAACCGAGGCTGGCTAAGCGAACGTTTTCCGGCGTTCCAGGAGCGGAGCTGCCGGGACTCGACTCGTCGCTGACGTAGCCACCATCCAAGGACAGGTCCGAGATCTTGCGGGGCGCACGGCCATCACCGATCGCACCATAGAAGAGTTCGGGCGTCTGCGGGAACGAGCGCGACCCACTACGGGCCGCAGGGAGGGCGACGTCGTCTTGCGAGTCGTTGAGCAACGACGCACGCGAACGTCCTTGATGAATAATTTGACGACTAGCCCTCGCAGGTGAACCGTTGGCGCCACGCGCGCACGCGTCCCACACCATCTCCACCGCAAGATCAGCCAAGGGGACGGCCGAGTGCTCGATAGGGGGAGGGGGAGGAACGGCGGACATGGGCACGATGAGGTCGTAATCGATGAGTGCCGAAGGGTCCGCGTTGGGGATGACGATGGGCTCGTGCTGGTCGACGCTGATAACCTCTTCAAAGTCCATCACCGCGTCTTCAGCCGCGGGTCCGTTAACTGGGATGAAGCTCTCACCAGACTCCTCTCGACTCCAGATGGAGCGCACAAAGGATTCCGGGTGCTCACGCGCTTGCATCTGCCTCGACTGCTCGGTCCAGCGATCACGAGCGGCGGCGGCGGGGTGCGTGTGCTGTACCCACGATTCCGACCCGGGCTGCGACACGACCGAGGACAACGAATCATGGGATCCCCAGCGTGTGCGAGTGTCGCGATGGACTTCGGCGGCCTTCCTCGACCACGTATCATGGCTCGCTGGCGAAGGTCCGGCGAACGCATGGCGCCTGTGGGTCACGGATGGGGCGTGCGCTTGGGGGGGCAGCGGGTAGTAAGCCGCCGAGGGGACGGCGAAGTAAGCCGAGACCGAGTTGAATGGGAGAGGACGCCATTCAGATTGTTGGGGTGCGTGGGACGGCACTGCGACACACGCCGTGCCCATAGACGGCATGGCGATCGGCGCGTTCGCGGGAGGCATCGACACGGGGTACTGGGGCTGGTGGTGGTAGTAGCAAGGCGGGTGCTGAGGGTTTGACAGAGCGGTTTGTTGCACCTGAGGCGCCAGTTGCGAACCATAGTGGTAATGGCCGTCCAGAGGCGGACCGAAGTAGTTGGAGGTCATGGTGAGGGGGAGGAGGGTGGACAGGGACTAAGACGGAGATTTACCCGTTGATAGGTAGATCTTCGAATGGCCCGGTCGGTTGTGCTATGAAGCTCGTGGGGAGCTAGCACTTTTGGGGGGATGGGTTGCAGGGTTGGGCTGGAGGTCCTTGAACGCTTATCGATCAGATCGAAAAATGGAGCGAGGTGGAGGACACGCCGGCGCCGCCTGACGAGGGGCCCGAAAAGAGGCGAGGGAGAGCTCCGAAGCGGTTGCTAAAAGCGAGAACCGATTCGTCGAAATCTGCCGCCCACTGCTCTTTTCTTATAGAGGCCCAGAGGGTGATAAGGATATGATGTGTCGCGAGAAAGCGGCTTGCTCTGATCGCCGGAGCTTGTCGTTTTTCCGGTCTCTGGACGAATGCAGACTCAACGGGTGCTCGGTGGAAAGGAGAGCGAGCGCGAGGATGTATCGGTATCTGGCCGGTGCGTCTAACAAAGACAACGAGCTGTGTGTGAATGATGGACAAAGCCGTGTTAGTGGCAAGGCTCGGTTCAAAGAAGGAGCGAATTAGATGTGGGGGGGGGGGGGGTCTTACCTCGGAACGGGGGTCGGGTGCAAAGTGCGGGAGAAAAGGCGGAGGTCCAATGAAGGCCTGTCTGAATCGAGCGACTGAGCCGGGGTGTAGAGGGATAGGCAAGACTGGTGTGCCGGGATGGATGACTAGAGGGGCGTGTCGGGATTGGTTCCTTTGTGGCTGGGTCCGAAAACAAGAGCCAGAATATCGGAGAGCGATGCCGTGAAGACCTACTACGCACGTTCGCACGGTGGGAGCCGAGTCAGTGCTCGGCGCTCTGCTGCGTTGGGCCCCGCGGGCACAGGCGCGCGTGGGCCGATTCAGCGCGTTAAGTCACTCACCACAAGCAAAGCTCCAGAGACGGGGAGCAACGCAGTGCACCAAGGGGGACGGAACGCGCACACACGAGGTCGGGGTGGCTTGGGGTTGGGATTGGGGAGAATTGGGCCAAGGGTCGTACAAGCTGGACTGTAGGGAGTTAGGTGAAATGCGGCTGGGCTGAGCTCGCACGTTCTCGAATCGGAGCCTGCGCTGTGTGCCGGTGGGCCCGCTGGCGTTCGCTGACTTGGGGTCGGGCCCGCTGGACTGACCTGAGCCTGAGCTGCTTGGGGGCCAGAAAAAGGGAAGAGCGAACCAGCTGACGACGGCTGGCAGCGTCACTACCACCCTTCCTGCTCGACTTGCTGTACGACTACGACTGGGTCACCTCTCGGTCTCCTCTACTACTTCTTCTCGGCACAGTTTTCGCGCGCGAACCGATACGACCGGCTGGCAATGGACAAGGGTTGCTGAGACGGGGCGTGCTCGCGACCGTGCGTGACGCCTGCGATTCGGGCTGCGACAACGACGAGCAACCACGAAAGCGACGGCGACAGCGACGACGACGGACGGACGACGATCGAACGACGACTGGCCCAGTGACCTCTGGTGAAGGAGGCCAAGGAGAGAGAGAGACGGTGGAGGGACGAAGAAGGGCGCTTTGACCTAGCCCTGTCGGAACAGAGAGGATGCAGGTCGGAAAGGGGTAAAGCACTCGCCCACGCTGACTCACTGCCTCCGCGCCAGAGTGAGCCAGAGTGCGCGTCTGCGCCGCCTCGCAATGCCAAGTCTGACGTCCTTGCCACAGCGCGCGCCGTCGTTCAATCTCGCCGGCCTGCCTCCTCAACACGAAAACTTTTAGGTGGCGTAACCGTGGAACAAAGTCAGCAGGAGGGACCAAGCATCTGTCTGGTCTCAATTGCAGTCTCTTCATACTGCTTCATCCCCGCCTCGCCTACGATATCGATCCGTCAGGCCCTGAAGGTGTCGATCATCGGGGGAAAAAACAGCTGAGGAAGAATTTGTGTTTGCCATTCAAACCTCGCACATCGCTCTGCCCTGACCGATCTCGTCAAAGTCATTAATCAAGCATGCTGTTTACTCCCCTTACTATTTGCATGGCTGATTGTAGGCCACTGAGCCGTTTAAAGTTGGTGCAGTGACTCGGAGATCGCCTCGGGGAGGCACCGGCTCCTAGCTGTCGATCGCCGTAATCGTGATTCGAAATTCGCTGATCAGAGCAGCTGATACGTAAGCCTGCGCCTAAAAAAAGCGCTCGAATTGAAGCTCAGGCAGCACAGAAACACATGGCCAAGGCAGATCGACAAGCTGAAGGCGGTGTCGCACTGGTCGCAGTCTGCCGCACTCGTGCACTCGCGCACGAGAGTCGCACGAGCTGCTGCTGCATGCGCGCCTGGAGCTTCCGAGGCTGCCGCGCTACTCACACTCTCCGGTCGCATCCCTATCGCCGCAAGATACAGGAAACCATGCCGACCGTGGCCAACACATCGTCCCAGGGTTCCCGTCGGAGCGATAGTATCTCGTCTGGATCGGTATCGCCTTCGCTCTCGTCGTCGCCGTCCGGGATGCTGCAGCAGTTTCCGGTCGTGGCGCAGGCCGTACCGCCGCCTTCGGTCGCGATGGACCAGAAGCACGGCGTCGGGCACGTCAGGGCGAGATCCGTCAACGGCGACTCGCCTCTGCTCGGAAGTGACAAGGAGTTCTACGATATCCCCAGTGCGCATGGGAACGGAAACACGAGTCCGAACGCCAACATCAACGCCCGTGCGGCAAGTCCTAGCGCGAGTACGAGTGCAAACCGTCCGAGTCCATCGCCTAGGTCGGTTCCGGCATGGCTCATTGTTGGGGGTTGGATCTGTCTCTCGACTGCAGTGAGTGCTGCGACACGACGCGAAATATGGTGTGGTATCACGGTCTTTGCAACCACTGATGCCCTCGACGCGTCGACCCTTTGGGCTGCCAGGTAATCCTGTACAAGTAAGTCCACAGATTGGCGGTCGCGACGCGTGATCTTAATCCGTCTGGTCCTGGCCACGTCGGCCGAGGCCACCATTGCGGCTCGGCACTATTTTCGGGTCCCGACGCCGAATGCCCAGGAAATGTTCCCGCTTATTGACCCCGTAGAACCCTCAACTTTTCGTCAGCCGCGAGATCATGATGGGCTCAAAACAGTTCAAGTACCCCATCACCCTCACCTCGATCCATCTGCTCTACCAAACCATCGGTTAGTTCACCCTGGCTGTGGCTTCGATTTCGTATTTCTGGCTGACCAATAGACTGTGCCCTCGATCGATTCAGCGACAAGATTGTTGCATAGGTACACCAACCTGATCGCCGGAGTACGAACACCGGACTACACCGCTGTCAGCATGGACGAGCTCGAGACAGGCAGCAAATCGGAAACATCTGCGACCTACGCGACGACGTCGGCTCCCGATGCGCGTCAGCTGCAGACCGCCAAAGACTCGGCCGTATTTGTTCCGTGGGGTGAATACAAAAGGCTGATGTGAGTTGCTGAAAACAAGCGGTCCGATTCTAAAATTTTGGTTACTACGTGGGTATGCTCACTCGGGGTGTGGCGCATCGACCTCGACAGCATCCCGCCCGCCGTCATGTTCTCTCTCTCGCTCGTGCTCTCCAACTGGGCCTACCTCTACCTCACCACCGCTTTCATCCATATGCTTAAAGCCGTCTCACCCGTCGCGATCTTGCTCGCTGCTTTCGCGTTCGGGACCAAAACGTTCTCCGTCAAGTTGCTCCTGATCGTTATCGTCATCTCGTTCGGTGTCGGCATCGCTTCGTACGGTGAAACATCGTTCAACATGACAGGATTCATGATTCAGGTTCGTTTCACTCTCCTTAGGAACGACTGTCAACGATAACGTGTTCGATCTGACGTGCCCCATCCCCCGCTAGATGACTGCGATTGCGATCGAAGCGACTCGAGTGACCTTGATCCAGATCCTCCTCGCGGGCAAGGACATGTCGCCATTAAAATCGCTCTACCTTTTCGCGCCCATCTGTCTCGCCATCAACGTATCTCTCATCCTCCCCGTCGAGGGGTTCACCGCACTCGCTGCGATCCCTAAGCTCGGGTTCTGGGTCATCTTCTCCAATGCGTCGTTGACGATGGCGCTCAACCTCAGTGCGATCTACCTCATAGGCATCAGTTCGATGGTGCTCAGTCTGTCCAAGGTCGTCAAAGACGTCATCATGGTCGGAGGGAGTGCCTTGTTGCTCGGCGACAACCTGACGTCTCTACAGGCCGTTGGCTATACGTGAGTTTCACCTCGGAACTCGACGCTGCCGCCCTCGAGTGCATACACTGACGCTGTCGACTACTGTTGCCTGTCATGCAGAATCGCGACCGTTGGCATGTTGTACGTTTTCTGATCCTTCCGAGGGACCGGAACACCTGAAAGCAATTAACTAACGTCTTACTCACTGTGCTCATACAAAACAGGTACTACAAAGCACAGTAGAGAGTGTCGTTCTGCAGTTAAGACCCAAGCTCTGTACCTTCTTCCTGCACTATCATCATCCTGCTTCTGGGGCCCCCTTCGTTCTTCTTGGCTCATTTTGTACCACCATCATTCACTTTGACCTCTGCCTGTCCCCTGTCGCTTCCTCCGAACCCCCCTCAGATGGCCTGAACTGGGGATCCATCTTGTGGGGCTTCTTAGGCATTTATTATTGTTAATCCGCTCCGCTTTAGAGCTCGACTTTCGTGCATCTACCATGTTTTGTAGTCTTTCGCTCTACCTATACACCCCGGTTTGTAAATGAGGTCACATCGCAGCCTGTACACTGGTGCCTTCAGCGGTCAAAAGCTCGCAACGGGTCGCCGCTTTCACAATCTTTCTGGACGAGGTCGTCTCCTGACTCGGTGGTCAGCTCACGTATTTCGAGGCTACATCGAGGCAAGAGTTGAAAGCCGACTTCGGGCGTCTTCAAGAGGGCGGCAAAATCGTGGCGACTTTCACGTCCTTTTGTACCAGTGGTGCACTCTATTGAGTAGATGTAGATCGTAGAAGCTCTCCCCGGCCTTCTGCTTCTCCAGCGGGCATTCGAAATCATGGGCACACTTTTCGATTACGTTTCATCGCCGCGACAATGCTGACGACGCCGCTCCAATTGCTGTCGCTTCAGAGGAGTTTACATAGCCCACATGAGTGAACCTCCTTCCGCACTCGTGGTGAGCAAGCTGTCACGACGGCCCCGCTCCCCTTCCTCGAGCGTCTCGACGTGAAGCAGGCTTTGACCGAAAACCCGGCATCTTGGGCACATCGCGCCAAACTCGGGAAGGCGGTTGCAGTTTACCAATCTTGTTCTCTTTGGCATAATCTGCGAGCCTTTCGGGGTACGAATTATGTGTGCCAGCTGCTGATAGCATGGTCCTATTGATTGAAATCGTCAGCTTTCTTACCAGCCCCTTCACAGCTGGACTACACAGCCAAAATAGCTACCAATTTCAATCGATGCGGAATCAGAAGGGGGCCATTTAAGGCGCAAGGTAACTTTGGGTGTAGTCCAGTTGTGAAGGGGCTGGACCACACAGCAAAAAAGCTAATAATTCCAATCAATGCTGATTGAATTTAAAAGGGAGCTGTCCACGGCGCAAGACAATTTTGCTCCATGCAGACATACGGCAAGTTGTGCCCTAGCACTGAGCGACGTTTTTGGCGGGTAATACCCATCTGAATGGGTATTCCCCGGGCAACGGTATTACCCACTGAGATGGGTATTGCCCACCTGCATGGGTAATACCCGCTGGTTCGGTATTACCTACCCGACGGGTATTACCCACGTGACGATGGTATTACCCAAGCAGATGGTAATACCCTTCGCTTCGGTTATTTCCAATCTCAGTGGGTAATACTACCCAAAAAGTCTCAATAGGGGCTCTTTTCGGGAGCGTGATCGAGCTTAATTCACATTAGCTTACTCATTAGGTTCTGTAGCATTAATCACTAATGCGAGCTCTTTTGGCATTAGCTTACTCATTAGGGTCTGTATAACTAATTACTAATGCTCGCGTTCATATTTTACTAATGTTAATGCAGCCATTTTATATTGCATGCCAGATGATGTAGTACATATTGTGGTCTGTTTTAGTGCATTATCTAGCAAGTGTCTACCTTCGTTACCATCTCTGACCCGTAGCCGGATAGTGCGGATCGTTGGCGTCCAAATCATCCGCAGCTGCCGCGAGTGCTCCGCTTCCTCAATTCCTATCAAAGCGTTCCAACTCCTCGACTTCTTCTTCGTCCTGTCCCTGATCCTCGTCTAGTTGCTCTTGGTTTCGACCGTTGCCAAGGTCCCTCTTGTGGATGGTCTGTTGGCTTCTGTTAGGGTTTTGATCGGTCTTCTTGCTTTTTGACGGGCCCGGGCCTCTAGAGCCAGTCACCCGATGTGACCGCAAGGACACATGTCCATTCTTCAAGGGCCGATGGAGAAGTGACTGGTCAGCACGCAAAGCGAGCGCACAGTAAAGTGAGGACCGGCGCATTTACTTACATACTTGACGACCTCTTATTGCTTCGAAGGAACAAGTTTCTCCACAAGATAGTGTTGGTGCTTGTTCTGACAGAGACGAGTCTGCACGCGTCCTTGGGATGATGTTCTTCGGGCAGTTGATAGCTGTGGGACCATTCCAGGTCGATCTCCGAAGCGGCCCATACCGCAGGACCTGGACAAGCGTTCTAATCTCTGCCACTTCTGCATCACCTACTGGGTCGAGGAATGTTACGAGTGGCGAAGGGAAGTCAGAGCTAGTCGGTGGTCGGATTCTGCTTGTTGAAATTGCCGGCGCCTACGCAGAGTCGAATGTAAGAGACTTTGTCAGTTTGCCCGGGCTTGCAAGTATACTCACACAGTATCATATCGCCTTTGTCTTTTCGTACGTACATGCCATCCCCATCGACGTACTTTCTGGCTGCAGGGAGTGGACCGAGGCGACACGTCAGCGAAAAGTTGACCGACTTAGCCCGAACGTGAAGTCAGCCCGAATCAGCCCGAACCTGAGTCCGAACGTGGCGAAGCACACCCTTGAGTCAGAACAATTACTCCAAGCTGAGCTCACCAGTGCCCTTCCCATTCAGACTTTGAATCTCCTCGTCCTTCCCGGATGCAGATCTGCCATTGCTGAGCTCCCGTGTGGTAGGGGACAGAAAGGTGGGTTGGAGAAGGACTGAACACGTGAACGGAAAGAGGCAAAGGGAGAAACGGAGACGCGCGCGCGCGCTTTGCGCAGGCTCACATAGCTTGATTAGATTTTGAATTACTGCTCATTAATGTGCATGACTATTGAGAAAATATCCGCCACTGCGCCCATTGCTCCACGATTTTCGCTAAGTCCTTCTCCCGACTCTCCAACGTGGTCGGCGCTCAGATCGACGACATGGCGCTGTCAAACGAGACACAAGCCTCTGGCAGCGCCACAAGTAGTAACTCGCACATTCAATACATGCGGTCTTACACATAGCCGATTTCATCGAATAGCATGGGCCAACACTTTGCCATGGCCGATTGCCAAGCCGACGCCAAAGCGGCGGAAGCGGAAGCTGTGTCTGTTGTGGGAGCGCATAAACATCAGAACTTGTTCTTCACTCAAATTCAACATGCTTCAGGAGCGGTCGAGATCGTGGATCTGCAGTGCATCCTGGGCTCAGCTGGTCGCATACATCGGAGGGAAGTTGGTCGAGAGGAGTCTCGGGAGTACATTTTTGACCCAATTTTTGAACCTGGAATGATACACTGGCGTCCTTCACTCGTCTATTTCATCCACTGCCAGAGTCAAGAGTGTTACAGAGAAGCTCTAGACATCCGAGGGGTGGTATTGCGGTGGTAATAACTCCAAAACCCGGTAATAAATACGCTGCACGTACGGTAACCCAGAGGTCGGGGGAATAACCATCTAAGCAGATAATACCCGGCTGGGGGGTATTACCGCGCGCCAGGGTATTACTGGCCAGCTGGGTATTACCCAGGGAGATGGGTAATACCCGTCAGAGCGTTAATGCCCGGCGTGGGGGCTAATACCACGCGCCTGGGCATTACCCGTCAGCTGGGTATTACCCAGGCGCGCTCGGGACAATACCCAGGTGAGACCTGGGTAATACCCATCAGAGAGGGTATTCCCGGCACAAATCGACCCTCAGTGTAGGGGATCCATAAGTCTGGCGCGCGCATGTGTAATGGCACTTTGCCAACGCCCTAGTCTCAGCGAGACGTTCCAGATTTAGCACCTGTGAGCGCCTCGCCTATCGACTCACTCGGCCCTCCCGTTAGTCGTCTTTGGCAACCGGCCAAGACCGAGCCTGACAGGCCTGACCGGCCAGCCGCGAATCATGCGGTGCTTGGGTTCAGGTCGGCACTCTCGTCCTCTACCCATCCTCAGCGATCGAGAGCGGCTTGACCTCGTACAGTGTGCATGTTCCTTAGAAGGCTGTCTCTGAGATCGCCTTATCCGGTCCTGGTGTTTTCCTCTGTTTCGACTCGTTTCGTACCGCGAGGTTGCTTCCCTCTTCCCAGCGTCTTCAGCTCCTCGCCGTTCCCACCCCCACACGCGGTCGCCATGTCCACGTCAACAGCCACGTCGAGTCCGCCTTCCAACGCCACCGCATGGGTTCCGGGCAAGTTCCCGCCCGTTCGTCGCGACGAGGACTTTACCGAGACGTTCAAGTCCAAAACCCGTGGGGAAGTCAAAGTCGCCGATCCATACCATTGGTTGCACGATCCCGATTCCGACGAGACGAAAGCCTTCGTTAAGGCGCAGGGCGAGTTTGCGTCGCAGTACCTCGCCAAGTTTGAGGATGCCGACAAGTTCAAAAAGGCGCTGACCACCAACTGGGACTATCCAAAGTGTACGTGCTCCTCTTCCCCCTTCTCCTATCGGGGTTGCGCATGCGATCGTCGTCCGTGGACGCGCTCGTCAGCTAATACGTCCCCTTGATCTGCCGATCGGCTTTCCCCACTCACCCCGAATAGTTTCATGCCCCGCCCTCAAAGGCGACGGAAATTACTACTTCTCCTACAATCAAGGCCTTCAACCGCAAGCGAGCGTGTACCGCTTCTCCAAGGCCGATGCCGGCAAGCCCATCGAGGAAGGCAAGCCCGGAGGCGAGCTCTTTTTCGATGTGAGCACTCTGCTGCCGGCTCGGAACCGTTTCAAAAAAGCTGCTAGGCTGACTCGTCGCATCGTATCTTGTAGGTTTCCCTGCTGAGCGAAGATGGCTCCGTCTCCAAGGCAACCTCTTCCTTCTCGGACGATGGCAAGTACTGGGCCTACGCCTTGTCCCGTTCCGGATCCGATTGGACGACGTGCTACGTTCGCCCGACCTCGGCTCCCCACTCTCCCAACCAGCCCGTCGGCACTGACCAAGGGCGTCTGGAGACCGACATTCTGCGCTACCTCAAGTTCTCCTCGATCGGTTGGACCCATGACTCCAAGGGCTTCTTCTATCAGCGATTGCCCGCCCGATCAGAGCATGGCAAGGACACTGACGACAAAGCAGGGACTGAGACGGACAAGGACCTGAACGCGATGCTATACTACCACCGCGTCGGCACCACTCAGGAACATGATGTGCTGGTGCACAAGGATGATGAGCATCCCGAATGGATGTTCAGCGCGGGCAACACCGATGACGGTCGCTACGTCGTGCTCAGTGCCTCCAAGGATACAGCTCGGTCCAACCTGCTCTGGATTGCGGATCTGCAAGAATCCGAGATTGGGTCCAGTATGAAGTGGAACAAGGTCATCAACGAATGGGGCACATACTGGACCGATCTTGGCAACGACGGCTCGTTGTTCTATTTTTACACCAACGCCGGCGACTCCCCCAACTACAAGATCGTGACGTACGATCTGGAGAAGCCGGAACAAGGCTTCAAGGACCTGATCCCGCACCGCCAAAATGCGCTCCTTTCGAACGCCCAAATTGTGGCCGAAGACAAGCTATTGCTGCTCTATTCGATCGACGTCAAGGACGAGTTGTGGTTGCACGAACTCAAAGCCGGCACTAAAGTCAAACGCATTGGCGAAGGACTAATTGGCTCGATCGACCAAATCACCGGTCGAAGAGAGGATCGCGAGTTCTGGTTCTCGATGACGTCGTTCACCAGCCCTGGCACAGTTTATCGCTATGAGTTTGATGCCAAGGAGGGCGAGGAGCAAAGCATCTACCGTGCCGCTACGGTCAAGGGAATCAACCCCGATGACTTCATGTCAGAGCAAGGTAAACCCCAGAGACCGGCGATGTACCGTGGTTTCTTCCAGTGCTGACCCCGTTGCGTGACCCCGTTGCGTGTACTCCAGTGTTCTACAAATCCAAGGACGGGACCAAAATCCCGATGTTTGTGACTCGCCCTGCTGATGTCAAGCAGGACGGCACAGCTCCCGCCATTCTCTGTGAGTTCTCCGCCAAGCTCTCCGCAACAGCCCGCTTTTGCTGACCTCGGGTGTTTTGAATAGACGGCTATGGCGGATTCTCCATCTCGTTGGGCCCCTTCTTCTCTCCCTCCCTGCTCACGTGGATCTCGCACTATGGCGGTGTCTTGGCCGTGGCCAACATTCGTGGCGGTGGAGAATACGGCGAGGACTGGCATATCGCGGGCATAAAGGAACAAAAGCAAAACGTCTTTGACGATTTCCAGTACGCGGCCAAGTACCTCATTTCAGAGAACTACGCCGCCAAGGACAAGGTCGCCATCTCTGGCGGATCGAATGGTGGTCTGCTCGTAGCGGCATGTGTCAACCAAGCACCGGAATTGTTCGGAGCCGCTGTCGCCGACGTGGGCGTGCTGGACATGCTGCGCTTCCATCGCTTCACGATTGGTCGGGCTTGGACAAGCGACTATGGATGCGCGGATGAACCCGAGGATTTCGACTACCTGATCAAGTGAGCAATGGCTATGCTCTGCGCGTCTGCTTACTAAGACTAAGCCCCTTTCTTGGACAAATCGACAGGTACTCGCCTCTGCACACGGTTGATGCGACCAAGACATACCCGCCGCTAATGCTTCTCACAGCGGACCATGATGACCGTGTTGTCCCCTTGCATTCCTTCAAGCTCGCAGCTGAGCTTCAGCACTCGCTCCCTAACAATCCCAATCCTTTGCTCCTTCGAGTCGATACCAAATCGGGTCACGGCGCGGGCAAATCGACCGACAAGAAGATCATCGAAGCGGTGGATCGGTATGGGTTCGTCTCGCAGGCAATGGGCCTCAAGTGGAGGGAGTAATCCGTCGGTCTCTTCTCGGAGGGTATTGAAGTCACAATTCTGGTCATAGGTATCTGGTCAAGGGTGACCAAGTTGACATTGAAAACGGACGACAATGAATACTATGTATCCGGCGCTTTTTTGGGGATGATGAGCCATGGTCCTATTGGATCAGTCATGAAGTTGTGACGAGGGCGACGAGCAAGCCTTGGCGCTCGGCGGAGAACTGCGCGAACTATCTTCATCAGTGCTCTTCGGATATGGTTATTAGTGCATTGTGGATGCGTTTTTTGCAAGGTGACAGATCGACAGCAAGTGATCACGTGGAAGGGATCTTACTGATTGCTACGAAAGGATGAGGGGGTGGCTGAACATCTCAAGCAGGAGGGAGTTTGGCAATGTCTACGCACAACGAACCTCGGGGAGCGTCAGTCTCGGTACTCTTCGAAGCAGAAAATCCGGTGTTCCTGCAGTGATCACGCGACACTCACAGTACGTCAACAAATTCTTCCGATCCTGAGGCATGTCCCCGATCACGTCCCACAGCCGATTCTCATCGCGATAGACCTTGTACACGCTCGTCAAGGCATTGATGCTCGACCTCCTCACCTCCCCCGAAGGAGCCTCCAATGCCTTCTTGATTAAGGGCAGGGACGCGGGTACAACGTCGTCAAGGACTTCTGGGGGAAGGCGTTCGAAGAGCGTTCCCAAGCATCGAAGACCGAGGGAGAAGCCAAGAGATTTGTCCAGTGTGGTGTTGGGCGTCGAAGATGAGGAAAGGAAGCGTTCCATCGCCTGGTTGAGGGACGAGAGAGAGAAGAGAGGCTCGCTCGTCGTGCAGAAGCAAGAGGCGATTCCTTCGATCGCACCAATCGTTGACCGCGTCGGATCACTCGATCGTACGTAGAGCAAGGTCGAAAAGACGTCTTGTTCGGATCCGGCAAAGGAAACGAGTTGGTGTTCGATAAGTGACTTGAACAAGACCAACAGCACCTCCTTTGTTGTTGTAGCTTCCTCAGAGGTTGGAGATCGCAAAAGCTGGGATGTTAGAGCCTCCCAGATCAGCGTGAAGCGATTTGTCCAAAACGTGCTGGACGACGTTGTTGTTGAAGGAGACGGTCGATGGGACGGGGACGAAAAGGGCGAGTCACCACTCGAATCCGTCTCGACGATGGGACGCTCCTTGGATACCTGAACGAGTTTGAGCAGGTCAGACGTCGATGCTTGGTCAGATGTGAAACTCGAGATCAACGAGTCGATCTCCTGGATCTTTTGCGGTGTGTCGGCCGGCGTGGAAGTTGCTTTGGGCGGTGCTGGTTCTGTGCGCCAAGTAGAAAAAAAAAGTGAGTCGACCACGTTCTAGATAGATCTCGCTGACACCCATAACTCACGATCGACCTTCTTCATCCACCAATTCCTGAGCCCATTCGTCGCACTCGCCACCGCTCCATCCCCATTCCTCAGATCCGGACTATCAGCAAACACGTCGACTTGCCGAGGCACATGAGGAGTCTTCTTGTCGTCCTTGGGGGGCGCACGTTCTCCCTGGCTCTGCGGTTCATCCTCATCCGCCAACTCCAACAAGCGTTCGGCAGCCTGCTCGGCCTGAAAAGCCTGGTCCCTCAAGGCGTCGTCAACGATTGGTTCCGGCACAGGCAAGACTAGACTTCCATTCGTCCCCTTCTTCCCGACCGCCGCATGCGTCACCGGTGACGATTCGGAATCACCACCACCGCTGGCCTTGACGACCTCGTCGATGTTGTAGGTTTTATTCGTCGCTTCAGAACCGTCGACGCTGCTCATCTTGCGTCGACTCGGTGGCGATCGCGAGCCTTGATCGACGGGAAGATGACTAGGCGAACCGAGAGGAGAGTGAATGGGAATCCGAGATTGCCGTCTGGACCCCGTTGAGGAAGGTGCGTGGACCGGCGGAGGTCTAGACGGTGTCGCGACCAAAGGTGGCGTTGAGGGTGGCGGAGCAGCGGGAGCCGCCAAAGGGGTGCTTGGTAAAGACGTCGACTGGGTCTTCGTCGTATCGAGCGACGATGAAGGAACGAGGAGGTCATCGACGGGATCACCGTCCGCTAGCGCGTCCTTCGCCAACTTGGCTTGCTTGACCATATCCCTGATACTGGGCCGTCCCGCCGCCCTTCCCAAAGCCGGCCCACTGACCGACCTCGCTCCTGCACTCGCACCCGCCGTCGTAACCTTACTAGGATCGCTCTTCTCCAACTGCTTCCTTGTTGTCCCGTCAAGTCCAGCCAGGATCTTGTCCCCTAGTCGCGGCCAAATCTCCTTGAGTTTCCAAAACACCTTGCGCATCGTCTCCTTGACGACCAAACTCGAATCCTGCAAGCCCTTCTTGACACACTTTTCCAGCTCGTCCAGTCCATTCGTATGTTCGATCGCTTGCTTCGACCGTACGGCATGCAATTCGACAAAGGTCATAACGTGAGCGGCGGTAAAGTTGCGGGCCGAGACGATCTTGTCGTTCATCGCGATCCAGAGGAGTTGCAGCATCTTGTGATGGTAGGCCAGATGCGTGAGAAGTGAGGTCACCGAGGCTTGGGATGCTGAAGCGACGAGCTTCTTCGTCCCTCCAGCCATGGACAGGCAGTGCGACATGAGGTGATCGAGAAAATAGACGTCGAGCGAATGTCTTAGCGTTGAAGCGAGTTCCGAGATCAAGGAAAGCGCCGAAACCGCGACAGTCGTCCTCAACGACGAAGCCGTCTTCATGATTCCCTCCAGAACAACCTTGAGACCGACAAGCAAGCTCTCAAGGAAGTCCCTCGGAGCGTTGCCTTTGATCATCCCTCGGATGCGAGCGACCGACTTGTCCCGCTCGATCCAATTGAACTCGGTCTCTTTCCCTTCGAAGCAACCCTTCATCCCTTCTAACTCGCGCAGGACGTCTCGATCACTCGCCATGTAGACCGGTTGTATTTCGGCCAGCGGGGCGTGTACAGAGGAAGGGTCAGAGGGGAAGGCCGCGGACGGTAGCGATGCAGCGAGGGAAGCGCCTGTAGGAGGACCTCCGCTGGGTCTTCGCAATGCCCCCGGAGGCATTGTCGGGGCCGAAGTCGAAGGCGATCTGCTCGCTACGGAATGGGCCGATCCCGATCGTTCGCTCTTGGCTCCCTCGCTCGGGCCCGACGATCGAGCCTGGCCCAGATTTGTCCCACTCGACCTCGTCTCCATCTCGGCGGCAGATGCTCCACCCAGCACAGCCGCCAAAACGGTCTCTTGCGTCTTTTTCCCCACGTCCAATTTGATCATGGCCTTCTTAAGGTCAGCGCGAGCGGCGGGCGTGACCGATTCGGAGGCGAAGATTTTAATCGTCGTCGACAGCGCCAACGTCCGGACGGTCGGATCCGAGTCTGACAACAAAGGCAAGAGGAAGGTTGTGAAAGGTCTCAGAGGTGCCAGAGGAGGATGTACTGGGTCTCGCAGAGCAGCGAGCGCGTGTAGGGCCTGCGATCGGAGGACGAGAGTTTAAGTCTGCGAACCCGGTCTGTGTGGACGACGCAGAGAGGTGCTTACCTGTTCACGAGCTTTGGGGCTCTTGGAATGGAACCCCAATTCTTGTATTCTCGCCTCCCACAGCTGCCACGGTCCTTCCTTGTCCTTACTCGGCCCTGTGCCGGCATTGACACCCAGCTTCAAAGAGGTCCTAGCGGCGCTGACGATCGCCGCCTTGGCCAGGTCGCGCACCTGGACCTTGGAGTCGGCGAGCTTGTCGAGGGGCAGCAGATTGAGAAAGGCTTGTTTGAGTACATGGGCCAGGTGATTGGTCATTGAAGCGCTCGGAGTCGAGGTCGAGGTCGATGCGGAGGGATTCTGGTCCGAGGCGACGTTGTCGAAACGAGCAAAGTAGTCGGGCAGACATGTCAGTGCCGCGGTCGAGAGGAACGAGTTGGCATGCTTGAGCGACGCTTTAATAGACGGTATCAGACGTTCAAGGTCATCGATTGAGATGGAATGGGATGTCTGAGATGAGAGCCGAGTGACGGGTCAGTGCCTCTCTGGGGCTCGATCGCCTCTCAGACGTGGCTCGTAATTGTCTCACCCCGTTGTCGTTGTTTTGCCCTTGCAAGCACTGGTGCAATTGGTGAAAGCCTTGTATCCGCTTGTCAGTGTCTATGACGCGCAAGTCCAAGATTGGGGTGCGACGCGTGGCACGAGCATTCGACGAGGGAGAGGAGACGAGTGGGGCAACATCGCACAGGAGATCGACCAAGTCAGTACATGCCCTGGAGCCAGGCCGAAAGTGAACGTGGCAAGCTTACCTGCCAACTCGAGCAATGGCTCAATCTCCGACAGAGCCATGGCTTCGTCCAGCGGTAATGGGTTGCCTAGTGTTGCTGTGATGGTGGTGATGTTGAGCAGGCCAAACAGGGGGCCCATCGCGCCAATGACGCGCGCCGTGGCCCAGCTTCCACGCGCTTAGTAATCACCCAAGCCGCCGACGCGCCGACCGCACCGGTCAGTAGTCGGTCAGTAATTGCGAATGGAGCGCCTGGTTGGCCCGGCTCGCCCTGGCAGGGCTCGCCCGCGTCGCCCGCCCGCTCCGATGAACGTTGATCGATTCGCCCGAGGCCTACAGAGAACTCCGCTGCTCCTTCCGCAGGCACAATGCCCGGTTGGACGTGGGGTGTGTCTGCGAAAGTCGAATCGGGGTTTCGATTCCGCCCCTGCCACCCTCCGTCCCCGTGTGCGCTGGCGTTCCAATTCATTTACAAACTCGGTTTGCCTAATCAGAATCAGCCCTCTACACCTCCCCCCCTTTCAGCACCACACCCACTACCATGCTCTGCCGTTCGTCCGCCGCCGCTTCCGCCTCGTCGGCCCGACGCGCTTTGACCCAACGAGTCATCGCCTCGTCCTCGTCCTCGTCCTCGTCCTCCGCGACGACATCGGTCCCCTCGACGTGGACCTCGATCCGCTCCTACTCGGCCTCGAACCCGGTCCCCAAAGCGAACGTCGACTACCTCGAACCGACCCATTCGGACGAGACGCCTTCGAAAGAGGTGCAGTCCCGCCTGGCCAAGTACGCCTCCGTGACGTTGGCGACCTACTCCCGTCCACCTTTCATCCTCTCCAAAGGTGACAAGTGCACGCTCTGGGACTCGGAGGGCAGAGAATACCTCGATCTTTCCGGTGGGATCGCCGTGAACGCATTGGGTCATGCCGATAAGGGCGTGCAGAAAGTCTTGACCAAGCAATCCGGGTTGCTCGTGCACAACTCCAACTTGTACCACAACGAATGGGCGGGGGAACTCGCGTACCTCTTGGTCGAACAGACGAAGCGACATGGTGGGATGGGTTTCACTCCCGGATCGCACGAAGGGATGAAGCCGACCGACAAGACCTCGGGGCTCAAAGTCTTCTTCTCCAACTCGGGCACCGAGGCCAACGAAGGCGCGCTCAAGTTCGTGCGCAAGTATGGCAAAGGCTCGACGGGCAACCTCAAGGCCGTCACCGACTCGAGGGGACAGAAGCAAGCCAAGGTCACGGGTCACACCGACAAGGTTGAGATCGTCTCGTTCCGCGATGGCTTCCACGGTCGATCCTTGGGTGCGCTCTCCGCTACCTGGCAGGAGAAGTACCAGGCTCCTTTCGCCCCCCTCGTCCCAGGGATCGTACCCGCCGATTTGAATGACATCGAGGCTCTTCAAACCGTGATCAACGAAAATACATGCGGTGTCATCGTCGAGCCCATCCAGGTCAGTTTGCGCCGCCGGCGACGGCTTTTGACTCGGAATTTCACATTCTGACTCATCCGCATGCAACAGGGAGAAGGCGGTATCCTGGAAGCCACACCCGAGTTCCTGAAGGCATTGAGGAAGCGATGCGATGAGGTTGGAGCGTTGCTCATCTTTGATGAGATTCAGGTATGTGTGTGTGCCTTGAGCTATGCTCGCAAGGAGCTCTCGGCTGACAGCCTCTTTCTTTTCGGCATCAATGCAGTGCGGTCTTGGTCGAACGGGATCACTCTGGGCCCATGGATCATTACCGGTCGATTGCCACCCCGATATTGTCACCATGGCCAAGCCTTTGGCCAATGCGAGTTGGCACCTCTGAACTCGTCGCTGCCCAGCTACCACACTGACCTGACCTGACATTCCCTCCACTCTGATCGTAGGGTGTGCCTATCGGAGCCATCCTGATGAAGGACAAGGTTGCGGACGTGATCAAGATCGGAGACCACGGCACGACCTTCGGTGGCGGACCATTGCAAACCCGAGTCGCGCACCACGTCCTCGGACGAATCAGCGAACCCGCTTTCCTCGAGAACGTCACCTCGACGTCCAAAGTCCTCCGAGAACGACTGGCGACCCTACCTGGCCTATTCCCTCGTTTGATCGCCGGTCCTCCGAGGGGACGCGGCTTGATCATGGGTATCCCATTCACGAGGGACGAATATGTTCAACGTGTGCTTAAGCTGGCTAGGGAGAGGGGCGTCTTGTTGCTCGGGTGCGGGAAGAGCACCGTTCGATTCGTGCCGAGTCTCATCATCACAACGGAGGAGATCGAGAAGGCCATGGATGTGTTGGAGAGTTGTTTGGTCGTGGTCAACCGTCAGGCTGAAGGCGTATAAGGCGAGGCAGTCACTAGATTCTTTGGCGTCGCCCCTGTTTTTTTACCACCCTACATTTCGTTGCACGTTCAGTGGTCTACTCTGTTATGCTTGTGTTTTCTCTGGAAGTGCCAGCCATTATACATATGCTATACAGTCATTTCGTCGTCGTACCCTATCGAGCACCTCTTGCAGCTTACTACGCTGGGGAAACCTCCGATCGAGAGCCTCGATGCGGTCACGTGTCCTCGGTACGAGTCCACTTTATGCCAGTCCCCTTGAGCCCAAGGCAACTTCGATTGCGGTGGACTTTCAGGGGCCACTTGTAGCGGCAAAGTGGCAAAGGAAGTCGGGAAGTCGGTTTGATCAGGCCAATGGAACATCTTGATTGACCAAGATGAAGGTGTGAAATAAGAGTGGTGGGGCGGATAGTGTGGCATGGCAGGGACGCATTCGGAGTCAGTGGTGGTAATTCATCATTCGGGTGGCTTTGAGAGCCTCTGATCAACGCTTCATGCCACTTGGGATCTCCAGCATGAAACTCGTGCAACCAGTAATTACATGAAAGTGTACCCATTACTGTTACCAAAAATCCTTGTACTCCTTGCCTCAAGCCCGAGACCTTCTGGCAATGCACACAAGTCCGATCAATGGTCTCTTTCAAGCCGCGCACGTGACGAGTACTTGTGCTCGCTTCAAGGACCAGGCCGAGTTTGCCCTCCGAGTAGTAGCTCGGAGCTGTGCAGCTAGATGCACTATTACCCACCGACGGGACGATGCTCGTTTCAGATTTTTTCCCGTCAGTTAAAACAAGGAGCAAATATCTGGCAGTCGGTACAAGCCGTTCACTCGGATTGCGATTCGGTTGAATACCCGGTCGCGCACTGCACCGTCACGGATTTCACGTCCAGGCCACGACGTGGAGGAGCGTGGAGGCTCGTGGGGTGGTGCTGCAGAAAGTCTGCAGGACTAAGCTCGAAACCCTCCACTCTGTGGAGGGGCTTGTACCTTATCGGCGCGTTTGGCTGAGTTGCCTATCGAAATTTGGCCCAGAAAAGTACCACCTTGCTGTAGCTTGGCAAATAAAATCACCTATACAATATGTAGAAAAACGCGCATTCTTACGCTATTTTTACGAGCATCTGCCCAAGGGAAGACTCTTGCATGTCCTATTCATTGAGCTACAGCGGTGAGAGTCGTTAGTTTCAACTTGGAGCTGGCTCGCGCACGGACCCAGAGGGACGGTTCTTCGCGCCGACGTGAATCAGCCAGCCGCGCCTCACCGGCCTCACCTTCGGTCCACAACGCCAGTTCACGACGTCGCTACCGCCCTCATGATCCACCATGCCCGTACAAACGCCAACGCTTGTCAAAGGCACACCTCGTCGGTCTCCATCGATTGAGTTCAGAGAGTCGCCCTTACGATCAGCTTCGAGGGCAAAGCCAACGACATCAAGGGACCATCACTCAACCGACACAACCCCCGAACTGCCTACCCGTCGCTCTCGGGCTGCTCACTGGAGATCACAATTAACTCAAGAAGATCGAGTTGGCCCGATTGAGTTACGCAAGAAGCTCAGACTCCTCTTGGTCGACAAATTTGGCGAGGACTTCGTCCCCCGGCCGGTGCAAATCGAAGCTCTCGCGGGACTTTTTCAGCTCGAGCGGTTCAAGACTCGAAATCAGTATGACGCTGTATTCGTCATTGCTCCAACGGGTTCAGGGAAGAGCTTGATATTTCAACAAGCCATGTAGTTGGTTTACGGACGCCGGGCTGTGACCATAGTTGTCAGTCCTCTGACTGCGCTGAGCCAACCTCACGTAGGTTTTATTCGGTTGGCCGTTGAGGCGACGCGGGTGCTGAGTCCCACGGTCTTGATACCTTTACAGGCCGACAATCTCAATCAAGAGCGAAAGACAGCGACTGCCATATGCAAGGAAACATGGGGTGACGGAGAGCTGTACCAGCAGTTGAGCAATCCCTCCCATACTGTCTCATTCATCTTCATCGTACGTGTCCATTCAATCCGCCGCAGGTTTTGCATGCTCACAACCCCCGTACTGATATCTTGCTACTAAAAATCTCCGACAGTCTCCAGAGATGCACAATGGAGACAAGCGCTGGGCTGAGCTGATATCGAAGGACTCGTTCCGAGAACGAGTCAAGCTGCTTGCCTATGACGAGGCAATCAAGATCGCCGAGTGGGGATTCAGCGAAAGGGAGCGCGCCGGAGCTATTAGCCACCCAATGGAAGGCTCGACTGCATTTCGCCCGGTGTATGGGCAAGTTGCGGAGCGGCGTCTCATTACTTGGCTGTCAAACACTCTTCCTCACCGCCGGCGCTCCACCCTACAAAATCAACAAGAGCCTAAAGGTATCCAGTCTCTCCGAATCGCGGAAGTTCTTCGCCAAAGTCGACTTTTTCCGACCAAAACTACGCAATGTTGTTGTCGAGATGAAACCAAGAACAAACGGTACGATGGGAAATATCAGGGATCTCCTTAACCAGCGGCCAGATCCCAGCACCTTTCCCCAGTCCACCATGTACTTCGACAGCCGGGAAGCGACGTCAAACGCTTGAGCTGGGTCCAATTACTGTTGAAGAGCTTTGGCCTATGATTGTGAACACCATCGTGTTGTGTTGACGGGCTGAAATACCACGAGAGGTATTGATTTGAGGTATTGACATAGTGAGAGCTTGTGAAGCCGAAACCGAGCGAATAGATCTGCCTGACGGCGGCGATCCTGGCGAGTCGTCGAGTCATAGCGTCTGCGGTTGCGCGTCATTCTGAGATAAGCGTGGTGTTCCATCGAGAACAAGCGAAGAGCATAGTACCGGGAAGATGAGTGATGCGGAATGGACGGGAGAAAAACCGATGCGCACACGCCGAAGTGCGCAAGCCGGCGGCTGCAGCAGTGTGTTGCCGCTCGGACCACTTGGGACGGAATTGACCAAATTTACACACTTCAGATCATTATAGCTTCGGCTACAGATGGAGTATCCTCTTGCCGTTCGGCACAGGCCATTTTTTCTAGTAGAAGATCAATAACATCTCTGCGTTTTGGATAATTGTAAGTACTTGCCACGCTACAGAAAACCACCCCAAAATGGCCCTGAAATTTCGGAGGGCAACTGGGCCAGGCGCGCCGATAAGTCCTAAGCCCCTCCCAGAGGGAGGGCTTAGTTGAGCTTACTGCAGGAACGGGCTAGGACGGGGGCCCGTCGGCGCGAGGTCAGGCGAGGTCTCGGTCCGATTGTGCTCTCGCCTCGTCTCGTTCTCGTGCTCTACGCTTAGCTCTTGGCCGCTCGCCGCAAGGGTTGGACCGTTCGTGGCTTACCCACTCGTTCACACTCCACCTTTGTGGACGATCCACCCACACGCCCTATACGGCGGCCATGCACACGCGCACTCGGTCGCGGTCGAGCTCCGTCTCTGGCTCCCCCTCCAAGCCCCATCACGGCGCCGGATCCAGCCTCCGCTCGCCGACGACGGGGGTCGGTTCCAGCTCCGTCTCGACCTCGCAGCAACATTCGTACCGGATCCCCATCATCGGGCATAGCAATTCGCACATCGCCTCTCCCGTGATCAATGGCCCGGGCGCATCGGGCAGCAATAGCCACAGCAATGCCCACGGCAGCGGCAACGGCAACAATATCAATGCAAGTCGATCCCCTTCCCTGACCCCTCGTCTCTCGATCCGTACCCCATCCATGATGCTCCATTCCCACCCGACCTCGTTCGACCGCTATTTCCGATCACCCTTCTCCTCCTTCGTCGCCAAGCGAGCCCGTTCCTCGCGTCGCACGTTGCTCTATCTGCTCCTCCTCCTGACGAGCTGGTTCCTCCTCTCGCGCCCATCGACGACGAACGAGCTCGTCAAACTCAAGGCACTCGAAACGGCATGTCGCATCTTTCCTTGGAAGAGCGATTGTCTAGGCGTACATTCACCCTTCGACTACCTTCATTTCGAAAGGGAGTTGGGCTACTTGATGTACCCGGCTCACGAGGCGAGGAAATCGACGGAGGGAACTTTGGACGATTCGGGGTCTGGAACCGAGGCGAGGTATTTGGGGTCGAGGAAGAAGTTTACAGGGAACGGGGCAGAGAACGTTGCTGCGCCTTCCCAACCTCATCCGATCCATTTGTTGATGGATTCGGCAAAGCGGATGTGGACGAGGAAGGTCGAACGACAGAGCAAGACCTTGAGGGAGGCCGTCGAGGTGAGTTTCTCTCGTGGAGGTACCAGAGCTTGACCAGAAGGCAATCCAGAAAACTGACGAAACTCTCACGACTTGGCAGGAATATGAAAGGCGCTACAACCGACGGCCACCGAAAGGATTTGCCGACTGGTGGTGGTACGCCAAAGGGCACAACTTTCTCCTCGTCGACGAATTTGATTCCCTCGACGAAAAGATACTACCCCTCCTCGCGATACCTTCGAGTGTCATGCGAAAACGAGCCGAAACGATTCAACACGATGCAAACTTCTGGATCCAGGACAAGACGTTTACGTTGCAATTGTCTGGAGGGGGCAAGGGCGTGGATGCTTCGGGTCCGATGTCGATTCATGTCGATCGACCGAATCAGATGAAGCAGCTAATTCAACCGATTGCAAAGTACCTGCCGGATATGAATCTGACGTTTACGGGCCATGATATTCCTTGTGAGTCTGCGTGGCTGATGTTCCTTTGAACAAATTGGGGCTGATCGAGTTGACTTGAATTTATCTCAAAGGGATCGTAATGAGTGGGGAAGCAAGAGAGCAGCACATACGGAGTGCGAAGGCGGGACAATGTGAGTGAACGGTTCTCCAACAGAAGTTGGCCATGGGCTGACTCGTTCATTGCTCCTCTCCTAAGACGTACCCGAGAAGTTCTTGACGGACCCCATCGACGACTGGAAATACGACGGGTGGGCGCAAAGCTGTCCCCCAAACTCACCCATGCGCAAAGCCGCTCGATTTTCGGACCGACTCAAAGACCAAGCCAAAGTGGCACCGCCGGCCCAGAAAAGCCTCATTCACGATCACGTCCAAGCGATGGACGTATGCTCTCACCCCGAACGACAAACCCTTCACGGCTTCACGTTGTGGGACGGTCCTCGCTGCGGTTTGGTCTACCCTTTGTTCGCGATGACGTCAACGTCGATGCATTCCGATTTGTTGGTCCCTCCTATCGATCAGTACGATCGACCTGTGGGCAATGATCCGAGGTGGGAGGAGAAGAAGAGGGATAAAATTGTGTGGAGGGGTTCGACGACGGGCGCGGATTTGAATCTGGCTTGGATGAGGATTTACTCGCAGAGACCGAGGTTGTGTCGATGTGAGTTATGCCGAGATCGGCGAAACGACTTTTCGTGATGCTGACTCCAATTTCTCATCTTACCCTCGCGCAGTACCCGCTCAGACAGGCCCGATCACCCTGACTTACGCCCCGAATGACAAATTCGGCCAACTCGGTCCCACGCAAGAATTCACCGCGGACAAGCGCACCCTCGCGAAGGAATGGTTCGACTTTCAGTTCCTCGGCAAACCTGAACAATGCGGCGATTCGGTCGCGTGCGCCGAATTCGCCAAGGAGTTCACATGGTCTGAATATATGGGCCAGGACGAGCAGAATGAGTACAAGTATGTGATGGACGTGGATGGGAATGGGGTGAGTTTGACTGGGCGATATTTATAGATGACGGTGCACGAGGGTTTAATGTCTGGTATCTGAGCGATCTCACAGTGGTCGGGACGTTTCCATCGCTTGCTTTCGACCAACTCGCTCGTGTTCAAGAGTACCATCTTTCCCGAGTGGTATCGCGACCATATCCAACCTTGGCTACAGTACGCTAAGTTCACCTCTACCGCACCTTCCAAGGCCTCTCAACTAACGCGCCTTTCACTTTTTCTCATAGCTACGTCCCCATCTCACCAGACTATAACGACTTATGGGAAGTGATGGCCTTCTTCAAAGGCGATGAGAACGGTAGGGGCGAACACGACGCGTTGGCAAAGGAGATTGCGATGGCCGGTAAAGAGTTCGCCAAGACATGTTGGAGGATGGAGGATATGAGGATTTGTGAGTCGGTAAAATGAGTGTGCGCGTGGGAAAACAAATTGTACTGATACTCTGTCCGCAGATACTTATCGATTGTTGCTCGAGGTGAGTGCTGCGTTTTTGCGACGATCTTTCTGCTGTGAGGAAGGAAGGCTGACCTTGCCCAATTCAAATATGTGCCTCGTCATAGTACGCTCGTGTTTTGTACCGCGACGACGATAACCCGACGTCGATGGACATGTAATGAGAGGGGAAGGGGTGGGGGTCATGTGTGGGATTTTGCCTTTTCTTGAGGGAGTTAGGTGGCGCGGGAGCCCTGTTTATCAGTTCAGGTGTGTGCATGTTGTACAGGATTCTCCTTCTTATCTTGCCGTTCATCTTGCATTTAGCTGTGTTGCAATCCATCTGTTTTTTCAAGTTGCGTTGAGACATCTGTCGGCGCATTGGGGTCCCACTGTGAATTTACCGAGGCATTAGGAAACAAATCATCTTCTTGCCTTTTCTAATCGCTTGATTAGCCCCTCGCAGCGCCGGCCACCGCAGTCGCTCGCTTGCTCTCTCGGTCGCACCACGCACCGCGACCTCCTTCCCACCCACTCACCACCCAGCACCCCTCACCCAGCCCGATCTCATCTCAACGATGGCCACCCCCCCCGCCGCGCCCGCCTTCTCCGCCCCCTTCCCGCTCGAAGCCGAACTCTCTTCCTACGCCTCGAGCTTCCCAAGTTTCCTCGCGCCCGTCGGCGGCCTGTTGGATCGGTTCAACACTGCCCGCGATGCGCTCAAGTTGCCCGATCCTGGCATGGCCGAGGATTTGGCGCGTGAGGTCAAGAGTGAGTCTGAGCGAGCATGGTCGAATTCGACTCCGGAGGGGTGGGTGGTCTTGAGAATGGGTTGTTGGACGGGTTAACGGGACCGAATGGGGAGAAAGGACGCTTGCGAATGACGGAGGGAGCATCGGAGCGCCCGCCATCCACCTCGTCCCCCACGTCTCCCATTCCACTTCGCAGATCCACGCGCCCAGAAGCACATTTCAACTCAACGTTCTGTGCTTGTTCCCCGACCAGATGTGCACTACGCCAACTTTGCCTTTGACGGCGCGCGAGCGGACCTGTCCAAGACGCTGTCCCAGATGCCCGCCTTCCAGGTTACGCACTCGTTCACATCCGGAGCCCAGGGGCAGATGGGGCCCTCACCTGGAACGTACTCGTTCAGGGCCGTGTATGCGACCAATGAGGTGCGTTCGGGGAGCGGATCTTTCGGGATCGCCGGCTGGGCGAGGCGCAGCGCCAGGAGCGAGACGGAGCGAGCGAGAAACCCCCCTCCACACCCCCCTCCACGAGGAACCAGTACACTGATCGGATACACGAACGGCCACCACAGAACCTGATGCAAGGCTCGATCGATAACGAAGGCTCCGTCAACGGCCGACTGAACCACACCTGGTCACCCGCCGCACTCACAAAAATCGGCATCAACGTCAGTTTTCATACCCCGTTCATCATTGCCACTCCAATACCGAGTGCCTGACCCGCACTCCAAACCCACTTTGTACAGCTTCACCCATCGCCGACGACGCCATCCATGTTCACGATCGAGCACGACCACACCGGCAAAGACTTCACCCTCGGCCTCAAGGCCTACAACCCTTCGCCCGCCGATCTGACGGGCACCTACATCGCGCAGTACCTGCAGTCCCTCACACCCCATTTCGCGCTCGGTGCCGAAGCGCTGTACCAACGACCGACACCCCAGATCGAAGAGGTCGCGCTCGGGTACATGGCCAAACTGCATGACGTCAAGAAGGACCTCTCCGGACAACCCCTCGCCGGATCATGGATCGCCTCGGCGCAATTGATGAGCCAAGGCGTGTTGCAAGCGACGTACTGGAAACAGTTGGCCGAACGCGTCGACGCCGCCGTCGATCTGACCGTGCTTCCTGCCGTGGACCCGTCGCAGAGGAAAGCGATTGCCACGGCCGGTGTCAAGTACGATTTCAGGATGTCGACGTTCCGAGGGCAGGTCGATTCGGATGGCAAGGTCGGCGCGTTGTTGGAGCAGAGGCTCAGCCCGTTGTTTGCTTTCTTGATTTCGGGAGAGATGGGTAAGCACTTTCGCCATCTTCGGCCCGTTCTTTTGGCTCGAGTTTCCAGCTTTTGGTGGGAGGTAGTCCCAGATTGGGACGTTGTGGCTGACCGAATTTATCTTCCCACATGGTCCGCCTTTCAGATCACAAGACGAACAAGTCCAAGTTCGGTCTCGGTATCATGGTCGAGTCCGCATCGGAGGAGACGATCGCCGCGGCCGAAGCCGCCGCACAGGCCGCAGCCCAAGCTCAGGGTCGACCCATGTAAACCAAAACTAAAACGACAAGACACGTGATCATGAAGCATCGAGAATGGAGGAAAGAAGGAGGGCACGTTGGACGTTGGACGTTGGTGAGGAGCGAGAGGGACGAGAGGAGGGCCTTCAGCCCGTCCGCGGGATGTCTATTTCAACACCTTTTATGTCACCATTATTCTCGTGCGTGTCGTTTCTTCTTCACTCTCATTTTGCCCCGCTGCTCCCTCCTAGACGCTTTGTATGTGCTCTTTCCTCTCTCGTGTCAGAATGAAATCCCACCCACCCACCTCAACTCGCATATCTCGCACATCTCTCTCTCTCGGCTGCCATCAGGATTCCCAGTTATGGTGTGAAAAAGAACTGGTAATGCTATGTCTCCCCCTACCAAAAAAACAATTGCGGGCACACACACACAAACTGGAAACCCCATCCCTCTTGCTCCCTACTTTCGTTACGAGAAATGTTTCTTTTTTTTGAATTGGTTCGAGGTGAACGAAAGAAGTGATAAGGACCGGATGTCTGCGAGGGCGTTTATTGCTGGTACGACCAGGTTTGCTTCAAGAGACCGTCCCCCGTTGCGAGCCTGAACGCGACGAATGAATCAAACGGAATCAGCACCACCACAAGCCAAACCTCAGCGGTCATGCCGGACGAACCTGTTGAGCGCATCATCGGAATCGCCCGTCTCGCGCAACGAGCCCTGGAACGCGTAGGTGACGTTCGAACCGGTCATCTTGCCCTCGTCGTCGACTTCGGCGATGGCGATCTGGACCGAGGCGTGGTCCTTGGCGGTGATGAGACGGTTCGTCGCGCTGCACTTGCGCGGGACGTAGAGATCGACGACATGGCCCTGTGGGCGGTGAGAGGATGCGGGGTGAGTGGGTTTTATGGTGTAGTGCGGTGGGTGTAAGGACGTACAAGATCGTTTTGCATGATGGAGGGATCGATCTTTGGAGGGGAGGCGGGGCAAGCAAGGGCGATGTACGGTGTGGTCAGTACACAGCAGTGCTCTGGGTATGTCGGTGGTCGGTTAGTAGGCGCTGCACATGCTCCGATCGGCCAGCACGACCCCCTGTTCATCCCGCCAAGCGGCCATCACGACCACCGCCCCGGCCTGGGCCTGACTTCGCAATTCGGGCCAGCCCGCCGCGCTCACTCGCCCAGCCAGGCCCACGCCTTGCCACACTCTGCGGACCCATCCCCATCCCCATCCCGATCCCGGCAAGTCCGCGATGATCCCAATCACAACGAGGATTCCATCCTCCTTCCCTCGCGTGATCCTGGCCTCGCCAAGTCTGCCGTTTCCAGCTACACCGCCCCACGGTCCGATCCCTGCACGCGGCCCGACGCTTTTTTACGGGCCTCCAATACGGCGGAGGCCCATCATCGAAACCACCGCTCCCTATCCCGTCCATCTAGGCGACTGCAACGCTCTCGTCCATAGTCGAGGATGTTGTGGAAGGGCGATGAATGGCTTACCTAAGGTGGTGTTGAAGGTGGTGGAGCGATGTGCGTGCGTGCGTGCGTGCGTGCAAGGAGGGGTGTAGGCAGGAGACGGTTTGGTAAGGGCGCGCGGGCGTCTGCCGTACAGCCTGGGCGCGCGCGCGGGTTGGCGCGGCAATTCGCGCTTGGTAAAGGCTGGTAAATGCTGGATTTGGGGGCTTCAAGCTTGGTGGTGCTACCCTCACCGGTCCTCATATAGTATGGCCGATTTTTGGCGGTTTTGCTTAGAAGAAGGGTGGGAAGGCCGTGTTTCGACCCGGCCTAGACTGGACAAAAACTGGCCGCTAGGTCCACGTAATCCAGTGAAGTGTCAAAAGTGGACCTTCCGGCCCCGGCCCCCCTGTCTCGACTGTGTGAGAGCACCTCTGGCTATATTTCTAAGCACACCAAAAAGTGGCGCGCGCGGCGCCCCTCCCAGCGCCGCTCTTAAGCGGCGTACCCATACAGGTTGCCCCCCCCCCCTGCAACCCGGGTTGGCCGCTGGCCCCAGGCCAAGATTAACTTGCTAATGAGATTGAGCATTTAGTGACTAGTATGCCCGCAGACCTGTCTCTTTTAGCTTCCGCTCAGCGCCAAGTGAGACCCGCCTCAGTTCTAACCAGAGCATCAACTATCGAGACACCCTTCCTAAATCTCGAAGCTACGCAATTCACATCGACGATGGGCAGGCATCGATGGAGACCTTTCAAGGTCCGTCTGGACTACTTTGAGGAGCATCCTTCCTATAGGCCTCAAGGCCTCCGATCGGACGCCCGACTCCGCACCAACATCCCCGGAACCCGGCACCGTGTTACTTACACTGCCCGCCAAATCCAGCAAGGAACCTTCGATGATTTTGGCGAAGCTAGCTCGCCGTCTCCTCAGCGTCCAATGGCCCTTCCAATTCAGGCCGATTCCGACGAAGCCGCGAGTGACGCCGCCAACCCGAGTGGGATGGATTGGGATGAAGAGCGTTACAGCGAGTACGGTGGTGGCTTCGAACACGACTTCGATCCAGCCCCATACTCTCCGGATCGAACATCCCATTTCCCAATCTCGCCTGACTATAGTGCAATCGCCGAGCGATTATCACTGGCTGACCTGCGCCAAGTCGAAAGTTTCGAATCAGCCACACGTGGTCAGTCGAAGCAAGAAACGTAAAGCAATTCGTGTTCAACGACGCTCGCCTTAGGCGCTTGGAACGGCCAGCGCTTCTGCGCCAGTACATCGCGTTTTGCGCTGGGGTCAAAGGTCATCTACGGCCCTTGATTGACGTGGACGAGGAGCTGTGCCAGGGTTCGGTCGCTAGCGAAGTGCCGCCGCCTTGTTCATGCAAGAGTCCCCTCACGTTACGGCTTGACGTGTACGACCTCATAAGCTGTATGTGAATCAGGCGAATTGGGTCACTGTGTCGAACGTTGCGCTGACAAGGTCGAATGGTTGAATCAATGCAGTGGTCGAGGTGCCGATCGCTTTTTGTCCGAGATCCAGCAGCGATAGCCCATGCCTTACGTACGCCGAGCGCCTTGCTCAGATTGGATTAATCGGATCGACCGCAGCTGCTCCTCGCTCTGCATTCACCTTTCGACTTTTGGTGGAGCACCGCGCCGTTTCCTGTCGATGGAGCAGCTCGCGGGCTCGACATTTTCTATGAGATGGGGTCGGCCGGGCCTGAGTTAGCATAAATTCGTGAGTTCGACCTCCTGTCATGATTGCTATTGAGCATTATCTGATGTTTATCATCGTTTGCGCAGGACAAGGAGTTGCGAAAGCAACTCCAGCGCGCCCTTGACGAATTTCGGGCTCTCACGACATCCGAGCGAGAATTGGGCGACCTCGTCCTCGGTGTCGCGGATTCTCTCTCGGACAAGTGTCCAGCATGCTACGGATCGACGCGTCTAAACCAAGCCCACCATAGAGTCGAAGTGCAGCATCTTGTCGCTCTGGATGGCAACTTCCAACATTCTCGCGACACCTCAGCCAAATACGATCCTCAGGAGTCGACGCCAGCCCTCTTCCTCGGCGAAGATGAGCTCGAATCGATGAAGGAGATCTGTGATGGTGGCGACAGCAAGAAGTCAGAAAAGGTCCGCTGATCCGAGCCGCCCCCTGCGATCCTTTCAACGCGCTGACGCCTTTCCTCTTGCGTCTTGAAGGCTTGTGCTGATTCGTGGAAAGCGGCCAACGGCGGTGCGACACAAATCTCGCGGGGCAAGTCCGATACGGGCCTAGTTGCCTGTGTCTGCCGTCACGATATCGCGTTGAAGATGGTCAACTTGTATCAATCAGGTGAAAAGTTCGTCAGCTCAGCTCCTCTCTCACCCGCTTACAAGGCCTGACGCTCGTTTTTGATGAGGCAGGCGCTACTACGGCTTATCGCTGCTGCAACATATTTCGAACCAACTCCCGTCCGACGATACACTCGGAGTGCTGTATGATGTTGCGTGTAATTTGGACGGCTACATGCAATCGGTCAGCAAGAGTGGCGGATCCGTCGTTTCTTAGATTTCTGGCCCTGGGGCGCCGCTGACCTTCACTGTACTTCGATCGCCCGCAGAGAGGTATCCTTCCCGATTTGTTTCCGAGATTGAAGTTTGCCACGAGCGTGTTTCATGCTTTTGCTCATCAATGGCCCTGCCAGCTCGAGTACAACCCGCGCCTGATTCAGCACTTTGGGTTGACGGATGGGGAGGGATGCGAACGCGTTTGGAGTCAGCTCCGATCGCTCATCCCGATCAATCGTCCTGCGAGCGCTTCTCACCGGCGCGTCAACATCTCGCGTCGCATCGACCTGATGAACAAGAACGGTGTTGATAGCCTCGGTATGCTCTGCCATCCACACTTTCACGCCGTGTTCGTTACTCAATCATGCGGTCCCTTCATTCATCGTCCATTCTAGGCCGTTGGCTCGGCAGACGACTGTCGAATGCTCAAGATCAGCTTGGAAGGGCACAAACTGATTTAAGCGACGTTTCGGCAATATGGTCCGAGTCTGACCTTCTCGCGCAATGGGATTTACAGCGAGCTGCTCAAGCGGCCACAACGGCGAGTCAACGTCGGGAGAATGAGGACAAGGAGCGATTCGAGCTTTTCAACATTGTACAGAAGCTACACCAGGTGGAAGAAAGGCTGTACGTTCGGCGCGTCAAGCCCCATTGGAGGACAAGGGCGTAAAATTGACACTGTGTCTTGGCATTGTGTGTTCAGATTCGATCCAATGGCTTCCGATGAAGCGAAGGCTCGCTTGCAGCAACAGCTAAGAGCTTATCAACAAGAATACAATCGTACGAAGGAACTTGCAGCTTCAGGTGCGGCGCGCGTCCTATCTTTATGATTACCGCCACCTGATATTTGATGTCCCATGACATACCTAGATTTCCAGCATTTGTGCAACTGCGTAGTCAAACTTCGCGCATTACACAAAGCGACGGTCCAATTGCAATGCTGTCAAGAACGAATTGACTCAATGGGTCGGGGACGAAGCGGCGCAACAATCGGTCAAGTCGAAGCCAGCAAGCTTGTCAGCGTCTCACAGACGCACAGCAAGAAAGGAAAAGTGGCAATCGATATGTACAATAAAGCGGTCGGGGATTACCGAAATGCTGCGACCGAGCAATCGGCCAAGATTCTGGACAACTTGCCGCTCGCTACCACGATAAAGTCGCTTGTGACTCTGTCGCCAACGGACGCTTTCTGGCAAGACGGTTTTTTCGAACACGACACTGCGCCTTGGGCGATCGATACCGACGTTCAGAAAGGGATCAAGGCGGTTCTACTCAAAGCCAGGGCGGAAGAAGAGATTCTTCGAATCGGAGCTGAGGTTCGACAACTACTCGCGTGGCTCGAAGATGAGGACACTCGCTTTGTTAGGGTATCTCAGGCATGGGCAGAGGACAAAGGTGAGATGGACACACTCTTTCTTTGTGATGGTGCTGTACCTTACGTCGCCCCTTCTATTAGTTCCCGAAGAAACGATCGAAGCGGCTAGGAAACTTCTCGGAACTGATGGCGCGGGCGAGGTTGGCACGGCGGTGTGGCATGTGCTTCAACGCCGACAGATTTCGTTCAAAGAGCGTCTAGATCGGCTCGCCGAGCGCGATGATCTCTCGGTTGTCTGGTTCAGAACGCGTTCACCCGCAGTTCATGAATCGCGGCCCTCGGCATTCGGTTTGATCAGGGGACTTTTCGCCGGACGGCCGAAACAGGTGTCGCGCCGTTCGCGCGGTAGTCCACGTCATTTCGGTCGCCGCCTTTCGACGCTGAATAATACTCAAATGCAGAGCCTCGTCGCTGAGTCGAGCCGCCGCTCATCAGGTCCTTCTGCCGTGGACGTGCGCCACACAACCATCGACCTCGACGCATTCCGAAGGGAACTTGGCCTGACCCCCGATCCAGCCGCGGAGCAGGCCGAGCGAGACCGCGATGATGTGTATGAAAGACGAATGGAAGAA